TATAAATACAAGATATCTAAACATAAAAATTATTTTAATATTTGTTAAAAAAAAGTTCCTGCTAATAAAGTCATAAAACAATAAGAATTTTGAAAAATTTTTAATCAACATTTATAAATAGTGCATTTTATATTTATAAATAGTATATTTGCAAAATTAAAATAATAGTAATTACACTTATATATATATATATATATATATATATATATATATATATATATATATATATATATATATATATATATATATATATATATATATATATATATATATATATATATATATATATATATATATATATATATATATCAAATTATAAACTTAAAATATATAATTATATTTTATTATGTGTGTGTGTGTGTGTGTGTGTGTGTGTGTCATAATATATATATATATATATATATATATATATATATATATATATATATATATATATATATATATATATATATATATATATATATATATATATTATGACACACACACACACACACACACATAATAAAATATAATTATATATTTTAAGTTTATAATTTGATATATATATATATATATATATATATATATATATATTTATATATATATATATATATATATATATAAATATATATATATATATATATATATATATATATATATATCAGGCTTGGTCGGGAAGCGGAAGCGATCGCTCTCGATTGCTGACCACGCAAATAATATTAAGTTGCAAAAAGCTGGCCAGATTTTTTAGCCGTTTTGAGAACATTTTAAAAAGGTAAAAAAAAAAGCAACAAAGATTTGTTGGACCGATGATAGACAATTACAAAAAAAAAAAAAAAAAATAGGCAAATAGAATATCTTTAAACCCGAAAAAAGTTAAAGCTAAATAAATTACATTTAGAACAAATATCGCTTTTTTACAATTTTTTTTTAAATAAAATTAAGCGATGTTACGATAATTACATTTATATGTAATACATCATAAATACATCATTACGGACATACATGTTTTCATGTATGTCCGTAAAACAAAAACTTTTTGTTTCGTACATAAACTTAAATGTTCTCAAAACAACTAAAAAACCTGGCCAGTTTTACGCAACTAAATATAATTTCTGGGGTCAGTATTCAAGAGCGATCGCTACCACTTCCCGACCAAGCCTGTATATATATATATATATATATATATACTATCAATTTGATCATAATATTTACCATAAAACAAAAAATGAGAATTACATGTTGCAAACCTAAATAACTTTTTTAAATTAGCATTAAAAATTTTAAGTTCTGGATTTTTATTTAATATTTTAGAAACTGCTAATTCAATGGTCACTTCCCATGGAATATTAATGAATAAACTTTCAACATTAAAAGAAATTAAATAACTATTACTAAAATTGAATAATTTAACTCTTCAATAAAAGTAAAGGAATCTTTTAATGAATACTTAAAATCAATACGCGGTTTGACTAAAGTACTTAAGAATTTAGCTAGTTTGTCATTATAGGCATAAATTGAAGAAATAATTGGTCTGAAATCAGTTACTGGAAAAAGAAAAAAAGAATAGAGATATAGAATAAGGAAACAGTTTACAGAAGACTTGATAAGTTGTAAGTTGTACAAGTCAGGAAAACATGAAAATGGGAGAGAGTTTCAAAGGGTTGAAGTATGGGGAAAAAACTAGACAATTAAAAGATTTTAGAACATGCAGGGACAGATACAGTAAAAGAATAAGACTTTGCTGAATGACAAATTAAGCAGGAATGAGTTTTAGTTGATGGAACTAGAGATAATAGTTCCTTTGAGCATCGAGCATGATAGTATTTGTAGAAAAGAAAAAGAAATGCAACTTACAACGACGGAAAAGAGGCTCACGCTTAGCAGATAAACTGGGTCCAACTACATTTACAATGCATTTTTGAACCTTTTCTAGGAGAGAAAGTGCATCATTAGAAAAACTAGTCCAAATATGATAACAGTATTCCATACAGGGAGGAATAAGAGATTTGTAGAGGTAGAGAATGGAATCAGAAGTAAGAAAATGGGGAGAACAATAAAGAGAAGCAACCTTAGCGAATTCTAATTTAGCAATCGATTGCATATATGGTTTCCATTAAAGGTCAGAAGTAAATGATAATCTATAAAGCAGGGATTCCCAAGAAAGCCGGAGTCCCAAAGGTCCCAAAGTGCTCAAAAATTTGAGCATATAGGAAGTCACAGAAAAAGGATGCGACTTAATTGAGTAACACGAGAATGAATTTTAATAGATGCCACAAGAGATGCTAGCTCTTTAGAGCAGTGCCCATTATAGTATTTATAGAAAAGAGAAAGAGAAGCAATATTACGATGATGTGATGTTTACAGTATTTTAACTCAGTAAATAACTGAGTTTTGTTGAGTTAAAACTCACAAGCCACTCCAAGCCCCAATCTGTTACAAAAGTGAGATCGAGAATGATTTTGATACAGCGGTTAGAAAGAAACAATTTAATAATCTTAAAAACTTTCCTAGATACACCATATGAAACAAGCTTATAGAGAAGACCAGCATGCCAAACTTTGTTGAAAACTTTAGATATGTCAAGAGCAATAGCTCTAACCTCCCTTGCACATAAAAATCTTTTAGTCACAGCAGTTAGCAAGTCAGACGTAAAGCAAGAGAATCGAAAACTGTCTGATGCTTGACTTTTAATCGTAATGGGCGTTTGACTCTTAATAGTTGTTTGACTCTTAATGGGATGTTAGAAATTTGTTGATCAAAGACTCAAAGATCTTGCTAATAACAGAAAGAAGATAGATCAGACCAAAACTGGAGGGGTTAGAATATTCATCTGAGTTTTTGAAAATTGGAACAACAGATGCCATTTTCCAGCAGGGAGGAAAACAAGACTCAGTCAAGCACATATTAAATAGTTTAGAGAACATTGAAGAGAGCTCTGGAGAACAATTTTGTTAGACAATGACAGGAATGTTGTCTGGACCAGAAGCTGTTGAAGAGTTTTATTGAAATATTACTTGAACAATGGAAACTGGAATGATTTGAATGTCTAAAAATGGATTAACCCGTTTAATTTGAATGAAAGGAAGAGAATAGCCATAAGATTCAAGAGTCGAATTAGAAGAAATTTTCGTTACAAATTTAAAAGTTCTTTACAAATAGTTCTGTCTTATCCTTAGGGGAGGTGATAAGATCAGTCCCATGAATGAGAGAAGGAATGTTAGACCTACCCTTGTTAATGACGTTGTTCAAGTCTCTAAAATCTAACTTCTGAGACAAGACAAAAGATTTAGTGCAGGGTAGGCATTAAAAACCTGTCTAAAAAAACCTTCCCAATAAAACTCGCCTAAAAAAATCCAATAAAACCCAGGCAATCTGGGTTTTATTGGGTATTTTATAATTTTATGAACTATTACAACCATTATTAACATTATAACTATTATATTGATAAATAAATTAATCATTAACTAAATTATTATTAACTATTATAACTAACAATAACAGTATCAGAGCAGATTTACTAATATTTGAATCATTATTTGGAAATTCAATATCACAATTTTTATTCAGATATTTTTACAGATTGAGATCGTCCCTTTTTTATCTTTTATATTATTCACCTCCCAAGGCTGAGAAGGCCACTACAGTCAATTAGGTTATCTTACTGTGGTTACAACCCTCTCTAAACTCTTAAACTCCGAAACACAAACCTTTATGAACAAGATTGCTGCGGTGTGAAATGAGTTTGTTTATTTAAATTTTGAGTTCGAATTCAAAGTTTAATTGAAAGTTCAGTTACTTCATCCCATTCTCCAGCCTTCTTTACTCATTTCTTATTTATACTTTTACTTATAAAAAAATATTACTTTTAAATCTAATATAAATCAATACATATAGTTTTAGCGTGAAATTTTTTTTTTATTTTAATTTTTTTTAATTTTAATTTTTTTTTTTTCTTTTTCAAAATAATTTGAAAAATTCTTGTTATAAATTATTAAATAACATTTTATAAAATATATTTTTAATAAAGTTAAACTAGAAAATTATTCTATTTTTCAATATCATTAAATAAAAATAAATTAAAAAATTTAACAGATACAAAATAAAAATAAAACCCCAAAAACCCCAAATTTACCCAATAAAATCCAAAATTACCGCAAAAAAACCCACAGGGCCATTTTATTTTTTTTTTAAATGCAGGTTTTTGCTAACCCTGATTTAGTGAACTGAGAATAATGGAGCTTAGCATCAGTGCCAGTAGGGTCAGTGGAATTAGAGTCAAGCCATTCAGTGAAATCAGAATTAAAGTCACTACAACAACAATATTGGCAGAGGGTTAAAGAGAAAGGGCATGATCAATTTGATCAGAAGACATTTAAGTAAATATAAAGATGATCAGAAAACAACTATTAACACTGAGAAATGAAGAAGGAATAGCAGAACTTAAATAAGTCACATTAAGAGCAAGCAAGTTTGGTAAACTTTACAAGAGGTAAGATTCAACTGACAGAAGGTTGCTTCGCAGATGATGCAAAAGCAAAAATCTATAAGTAGAGTCAAGAAGATACAGCATTCATTATCCTAGGGAACAATATAATTCAGGTTTACATCTACACCAGCCTAATAGATGAAGAAGGGGTTCAAGAATAGTCAGCAGATTTATTTTGCTTACCCCATAATTCTTTGCCTAGGAGGCCTTCTACAAGACAGTAGCTTAATGCAAATAACATCTGCCCAAGATGAGTATTTTTATCAAGACATCATCTTTGGCTTTTACTTAATCAAGAGCCCAATAGCAGGGAATTTTTAAGTTGGAGTTTGTTTCTCCTAGCCTTTACCTAAAAAAGTAAACCTTACAAAGAAGCAGTAGGCATGGGGCAGGAAACACTGGAAATGATACAGTAGCAGGGTGATCATGATGATCCTGAACTTGATCTGACATGGCACTAATTTGGAAAAAAAAAAAGCGTAAAGTTTATCACATAAAAAAATCAAGCAAACAAAAAATGAGAAATACTTACAGAAGATTTAACACAAGCTTCATTCGGAGGTTTTAAATTTAAAAACATGTTGAATGAGTCGCAAGGATGGAAAGCAAATAACCATCTAACATTGTCTTTTGCTGTAAACCTAAAAATAAAATAAATTTTGACAAAAATATAAAAATATATGAAAAAGCTAAATTTAAATATATTGCCAATATATAAATATATATTTATTTTTTGAGGTTTGATACCTATAGTTCCACACTTGCATAATTTGGACAAGTATTCATTATGATTATTTTTATTTAAATTTGACATTATGAAGAGTTAAAATGAATTTTTACAACTAAATATCGTTCCTGATGACAACCTGTTTTTAGGGGGACTAAAAGCAGGCTTTCACAGAAAGACATGCAATCGCGTGTCTTTATATGACCAGGCAAATTACATTTTGCTATGACGAATTGACCGCGGCTAAATCAAAAAACATTTTAAAAACACACTAAATACATATAGTTTTGATGTAAAAAATTTTTTTAATTTTAATTTTTTTTAATTTTAATTTTTTTTTCTTTTTCAAAATAATTTAAAAAATTCTTGTTATAAATTATTAAATAACATTTTATAAAATATATTTCTAAAGTGAAATTAATTACATCAAAACATCTTAACAAATGTTTTTATATTAGCGAAATGCTTTTAAATAAAATAACAATTTACTGATAATGGTTTTTTTAAATATAATTGACAGTTGTATATATTTTTTTAATTTATAATATATAAATTGTTTAAGTGTGCATTTCTATAATTAACGTTATTAAAAAATAAAAAATTGTTTTGTTTTTATAAATGATGACATTCTACAACTACGAAAGACTCTAACAAATTTTAATATAAGAATAATCGAAGTTAATACATTTAAAAAGATAAACAAAATTTCGTTGAAAAAAAAAAAGTTTTAGAAAGCCTTTACAATTAAATAAGTTTGATCTTAAATGCTTTAATATTATCGAAACGCTTTTCAATGAAGTAACAAAACAATTTTAATTAATTTTTAAAAAAGTACTAATGAACTGTTGTTTTTTTTATTTAAATAATTATGTATTTTTTATGAGAAATGTTTATCTTTTTTTGCTTTAAAAGTCAAATAAAGTTTAAAAGTTAAATAAAGTTTAAAAGTTAAACAAAGTTTTAATTGTTGAAAATTTAATTATCACTTTTATTGAAAAATTTAAGTTGATTAAAAAAATAAAAAACATTTTTTTTTTTTGTTTTAAAAATGTTTCTGTTTATGCGACACAATGATCACAAAAAGTGACCAACGGAGCCGTCCAGTTTCATAGACCTGAGAGATGTGATAATAAAAACAGTTAGGAGATGGTATCATTGAATAAAAAATAAAAATCATAAGAAAATATAAAATGAGTGATAAGACTTTTATGAAGGTGAAGAACAAAGTTAAATCTGCTCAGGGGGCAGGGGGAGAACCAACTAACACTCTAGTCACTCTGTGTGAAGATCATATGTAACAAAGAACAAATATTTGATATACTAACTTTGAAGACTGATGATGTCTACAGGTGTGATGGTGTAGTGCATTAGTACTTAAACTTTTTTTCGTCTAGTTATGGTCTTGTTATGTTTCCGTTCACTTTCTAATCGGGTGAATAAAAAAGCTAAACACACTCACTTCTTGCGCTTATGGGCTAGCACATCAGAGCCAGACGTAAGACCGTGAAGTTACCGACTGAACCTGTGCGTGAGTGTCAGCGTAGTCATTAGGTTATTGAGTAACCTCATCCAGTGGGATAGCCTAATGTCCGTTTTGTTGTTGTGATGTACATTGGAAAAAGTCGGGGCTCACCAGCCACAAAGAATAAATCTTTTTGCTTATGCGACACAATGATTGCAAAAAGTGACCAACGGAGCCATCCAGTTACGTAGACCTGGGAGATGTGAAAATAAAAACAGATTGAAGATGATGTCATTTAGGTAAAAAAATATAAATTAATGTTAAGACTATTTAGCAGGAGGAGTAAATGTTAGCAACTCAGGAAGAGAGGAACCAAAACTCACATTCTAGTCATCTTTCAGCAAAAAACAATGATCTATGAAACAAGTCAATATAAATCTACTGGTTTATTAATGGTATTCATAACTAAAATAATCGCACCATACAAATGTCTAATAAATGTGGTACTATATATGATCTAAACTCTAGATAAAAAACTGAGAACTGATAATCACCTGTGTAACATAAAAATATATAAATGTCGTTAATGTAACAAATTCATAATAAAAAGTTTTGTTTTAGTCGGGCTATATATATATTTATTTTTTTGTGTTTTTGCTTTAACTAAGTATTTTATTTATTTTCTCTTTCACTAAAATTTTTTTTCATTTTACAATTTTTTTTTTTTAAATAATTTTAGGTAAGTTTTTGCAGCGCATTTTTAAATTTTGAAAATATGTTAAAAGCTGTGGTCAAATCATTAAAACATATTATTTTTTGCATGGTCATATAAAGACGCCTTCCTGTGAAAGCCTGAAAAGTGCAGCTAGCTGTCCCACTTTTAGTCACCCTTAAAAGTGTTTTTCTACTGTTTTTATGTTAGAATTAGTTAATCATTTTAATTTTTTTTTTTCAACATCTTTGTTTCTAAAGAAAAAAATCTGCAACCAACCATTATTAGAGTTGGAAGTTACTGGAAGAAAAAAGAAGACGCTTGTAAAGCAAAATAACCATTGACAGACAACTTAAAAGAATGCAAATTATATGAATCAGGAAAGCAAGATGAAAGAAGCAAATTCCAAAGAAATGATGTTCGAGGAAAAAAACTAGATGAATAAGAGTTTTTGGAGCACATAGGAACAGTCACAGAAAAAGGATGAGACTTAATAGAATGACAAGTAACACTAGAATGAATTTTTGCAGATAGCACAAAAGACGCTAGCTCTTTAGAGCAGTGCCTATTATAGTATTTGTAGAAAAGAAAAATAGAAGCAACATTACTACAATGTGATAATGGTTGGAGGTTGACTGCAAGAGTTAGGTAAAATTAAAATAGGCAAAAAAAACTCAACTGCTGTATTTGCATCTCGACCCCGCAACATTTTAAAAAGGTGGAACAAAAGCTTGTGAAATCTCTAGCGATGAATTTGCGCTAACTAAATTTGTCTAAATACATCAAGTTTCTTTTTAATAAACAAGGATTGTTAATATTTGGAATAACTTACTGTCTGACTTCATTAATGCCAAAAACATTAAGAGCTTTAAAATTAAAATTAGCCCTATCAACTTCAAAAAATTCTCCAGTGAACAAATTTTCTTACACAATAAAAAGAAGTGATTCAAATATCCATTTAAATCAGTTTCCTTTTTGGAATATATTCTGATTATTTTGAAAAAATATTTTTTTAAAAATATTTTAAGTTAAGGGCTTTGTAGTTATCAACACCCCCCAATATTCACAAAGCCCTGTTTACTAATATAGATGTGTATCATTTAAAATATATTTTAAGAGTGTTATGGCTCCATAACACTCTTAGATTTATATTAAGAAGTTTATTGGTTAAAGTTTAAACTAAAAGCATTCCTGTAAATAATATTTTGACATAATATAAAGTACCACTTAAACAAATAGTTACAGCACTTAAGTTTAATGTTTATTAAAAACTTCTTTTAAGATACCCAGCGCCGGGTACTGCAACAAAATGGCAGATTCCAAGTACTTGGGAAAACAGCAGAATTACAAGGTAATTCCCCATAAATACTCCAGGTTCAAACTGGGTACTCAGCACATCACTAGTACATTATCATTTTTGATAATATATCAATATTACACAATAACTTCTAATTACTGTTATCAACTATCAATAATAATATAAAATTTAAAAAAAAAAACAATAATTTTTGATTGCCCCTTTTTGCAACCATTTGCTATAAATTAGGTATTTTTCTGTCACGCTAGATTCTTATAAATGCAGGAGAGAATCATGGGTAAGATGTTTTTTTAACTTTATGAAAAATTGAACACTTCTTTAATAGTTACAACATACAATTGTCTTGGCAAGGATGTTTCCAGTCTGTCATTTATTTTACTTTTGTTGTGCAGAACTTTCTTTTGTTAAAATTTATAAAAATTTTTAGTGATGCATATATAAGTAATTTTTGTGTGGGTGTTTTTTTTTTTCATCTGATTAGTTTTTGCAGTGTTAAGTAAAAAGTTTGGAAATCGAAAAATTATATAGAAAATCCATTGTGCTTATCTTCAATAGATGCAAATACATGTAAAATTCTTAATACAAATGTTAGAATCGTCATAAAATGTTATTAGGAGAACGAAACTATGAACAAAAAGTAATGTGATGGAAAATCAAGATTTAATGACAAAAAGAAAGCAAAATCAATAGATTAGCTACAAAGTTTAAATGTAGAAGATCTTTTATTCAAAGCAGTAAAGGAAAATCTGAATGTTATCACAAGAAAAAAAATACAAAAAAAATCACTTGATGGAGAAACGAAGGCATTTAGTCGCTTAAAATTTACTTAAATTCACAATAAAAAAGAAATGGTATATTTTAAATCTAATTTTAAATTTGGGCGCTGCCCAAATTTAGAAATAAAGGACCTTTTTTTTTTTTTTAATAGCAAGCATTGTTTTGTTTTGCAAAAAAATGGCAAATTTCTTTATGGAAAGGCGCCAGCACAGGAGGTACCGCGTTTGCATGCGTCTAAGGCACTTACGTCTAAATATGTTCCACTAGTGACTATACTCACTTATTCTAGTTGTGAACCTGATATGTAAAGAGAACATAATAAGACTGGACTGAGCGAGACTAAGAACCATTATTTACGAACACACAGATTCAAAGCAATAAAAACATTAAATGACACATAAAACTTTAACGTTTAGAACAATACAAACACAAAACACAATAACTTACAGAACACTGCAACAACACGTACTTAAATCTAACATGAACAACACTTACTTAACTCAAACTTAATTACTGAATAGTACTCTTCTTTTAAACAACAACTCTTAATTCTGGACATCTGTCCAAATATTATAATTTATCTTGCACTTCCTTGCACTTATATAAAATATTTCTTGCTTCTCTTAAGACTATTACGGCCTGATGGTTCCATATAAGTGGTGGAACTTTAATAGCTTCCACTGCGAAACAATAACAAAAATCACAATCAGCCGCAAACAATATACCAGAAGTTGCAAAGTATGAGCCACTTCGTTGATGTAGTGTCATGAGTGTGCTGTTGTAAATACTACTTCATAATATTTGTCAACGAAAAAAAAATTTATTTCAACTTTAATTCACATGATTGCTCTAGAAGAAATTATCTTAGGCACACATGATCACATTGGATGACAATGTATTACAATTTTAGGAGCACGAAATAACATGCTGGTCAATTTTCTTTATCGCAAGCCCTGTGTGTGTGTATATAGAAGAAACAAGTTGAGCGTGGTACTACCAGGGACGTGGTGGCAATCGAACTCGGAACCTCTCGCTTATAAAGCAAGCGCTCTACCACTACACCACTACCGCATATATAAGGGCAGTTCCATTTTTAACTTACGTAACACGCGCAACAATTTTATCAAATATTTGCCTATTTAAACTGAAAATTAAACTTTTAGGTATTTTGTATGAAAGCTGTTAGTCTAAAGAATAAAATAAAATGAGAAAAAAATTACTTTAACTTTTAGGTTAGATTTTTGCGAATCACTATATATATATATATATGTATGTATGTATGTATGTATGTATGTATGTATGTATGTATGTATGTATGTATGTATGTATGTATGTATGTATGTATGTATGTATGTATGTATGTATGTATGTATGTATGTATGTATTTATATATTAGGGAATTAGAGAACAAAATAAAATAACCTACTAAATAGTGTTTTATTAGGATTAATTTAGAGGTTTGAGGATTGATAAAAATGAATCAAAAAATTTCTAGAATAAAAAATAATTCTGGGATTGCATGATCTAAAAAAATTATCATAGAAACCTAAAAGCTGTAATTTGTTACCTTGGAACTCTTTTTTGAGTGTCATTTGTTATCAGTAAATCAAGTCCCATAATTTCATTTGTTTCACTCATTCGACAGGCACAACCTCGATAACCATCAACATAATCACAACTAACTGCTAATGTTTTATTTAAAAAACATAATAAAACGAAACAGGACAAAGCAATGAAGCCAACAACAGAATTCATTTATTCTATTAACTAAGTATTGCTTTTTTATTATCTATCAAAACTAAAATCCATCACACAAAAATTTTGATAAACTGAATATTTTAACCAATAATTGTATTACTTTATAAGTATACTATTTAAGTAAATTATCAAATAATTTCTGCTATATAAATATTTATTAGGGTTTTAAGTTAAAACTTTTTTTTTAAGTTTGAACATGTTTAAACTGTTATGAAAAAAAGTTCGAACTATTTTAAACTTTATTTTAGTTATATTAAAACTCACAAAAGTAACACTAAGTATGCGTAAAAGTATTTATTTGTTTATCATCAATTAGGACAAAAGTAAATATCAATGAATACTATTCATAGTTTGCTTTAGAAAAGTTAGAGCATCTAGAGTTTTGTCATTTAAAGAACTTCTTATTTTAATAGCAAAAAGTCCAAGACTTGAAAAAGCTCTCTCAGCGTCTACGGGTGTAGGAGGATATGTTTGAAATAATTGTTCAATAGAAAGTTTGAGTTGTTGAGCTAAATTTAGTTCATTTTTAATATTTTTTAAGTTATCAGTTATGCTATCAGTATTTACTTCCTGGTCATCATCAGAGTTATCATCAGATGGCTGAAATAAAATGAGTACCAAGATTAATCTCGCTGCCAAATATGTCATCTTTATTTAAGATATGACAAATAAAAAATTCATTTAATTCATTAGATTAATTAAATGAATTTTTCTTCTTAAATTATTCTATATACAAATATCTGTTTAACAAGTTGATTTATAGGTGTATTAGCCTCATTATGTTTTTTTCTTGTATTTCTCACAATTTTAGAATACAAAAGATCAGCATCTCCTTTTGAAGGAGTTTTAATGGCCAATTTTCGTGGTTTTAAAGCAACACAAAGTTAATTCATGACATCAAGCTCATTTTTACTTAAAGAAAAATCAATATTCGTACCAATCAGTGCTATTTTTACTACTGTTTGCAACTCCAAAAAATGTTCAAGCATATCACTGTACTGCTCATCATTTTTTACAGAAGTATACTTATCAAATGTAAGACTAAATTTACCTTTATCTTCAAGTTTCATTATCAAAAAACTTATAATTTGTTTTTTGACTAACCTGAAGTATTTAATGACAAGATCACAAATGGTTTGAGGACTTTGAGGGATTTGGTACCATATTGGGAAATGGTTTGAGGACTTTGAGGGATTGCAAAGTTTCACTTTTAGCAATTTTGTGAAAGCTGATTCCATCAATAGCTGGAAGTCGACTCAAAATTTCAGGTAAAGTTTTATGGTCATTCTTGAAAAAAATTTCAATTTGCAGTATTTTGGCAGCAGGAATGTTTGCTGCAGCCTCGGGCGCAGAGTTATGGCATTTAAGAACTTAAATTTTTTCTTTAAATGCCTTGTAATAGCTGTTGTAGTTGAACTAAGTGTTTTGAGAAAAATTTTACAGAGTTTACACTTTGAACTCTGTAATTCTTTGGAAAATTCGAAATAGCCCCATGCCTCAGATCTTGTAGTTGTGCTTATATCTTTAAACTTATCCATGCTTTTTTTTTGTACAACTAAAACTTTTAGATCGTTAAAGCTGTATTAACCTTCTTTTTTTTTTAATTCTGAAATTATAACAATCTATTTTATGGGTATCACCATGGAATTTCTTAAACAATTAAAAATATTTAACTATTTTAACTTTAAAGCATAAAAGTAATGTTTTAAATTATTTGTTTGCATACATTCCATTTGTGACTTTAAAAGTGTTGCTTTTGAAAAAAAATATTTACAAATACAACAAAAATTTAGAGTAACAAAAACAGTCTAAAAAAGTCACAGTTTAAAAAAGATTTTGGTTTAACTTTAACAAAATGAAAATAAAGAACCTAATTTTGATATATATAAATGTTCGAACTTTTAGAGAAAAAAATTTTGAACTTGAAACCCTTAAAAAATGGCAAAAGTACGAACGTTCGAACCTGAACATGTTCGAATTGGGAGCTAGTATTTATCAAAAAAGTAATGAATGATCAAATATACAATAAATATACTTTATATATCTTATACTTAATATATAACTTATATATAATATAATAAATATACTTAAATATATCATAGAAAACTATAATTAAAGAGTTTGATTAACTTACATGAACTCGTCTACATGGTACTGATATAATCTGCTTAAATTTTTGAACTTCTTACTTAAATCCTTGTAATTTTTTTTTAAATAAAAATAAAAAGATTGAAAAAAAAGAAAACTAAATTTGACAATTTAATTTCTAATGTGAGTAACAATTATAATACAAATGTTTTAGCTATTACCATGTTACTTGTTACTAATCATAATAGCAATTATAACTATTGTAAATCAAAGAAGAACAATATTTTATATGACTTATTTGAATGTGAAATTGCTAAACTAAACTATGATCAGCAATAATTCACCAAAAAGCAAAAAATAAGTTAATACAAGAGTTTCAATGACAATCTAAGACAATATCTCAACCTAATATAAAAGTGAAAAAGTTTCTGTGTAATCCTCTTCTTGTTCTGCTAGATAATGCTATAAACCCATATCAGTCTTTTTATATGATAATTTAACTATTAAACAAACAAAACTCTTGTAACTCTTTTAGACTACTTCCTTTGGGATTTCGTCAAGTAAAACGTCTATGCTAATGCAATAAAAACAAGTAACCTTAGGCTTGAGAACCTCAAGTCTAAGATTACTGAGGTTATTAATGAAATTCAGTAATTTTTAGTAAAATTTAGTAAAGGTTTAGTAATTCAGTAAAACTTTGTGTAAAATTGTGATCAAAAATTAGACAAAAAGGAATGACTGGAGTTATCAAATAAATATGTTTTAAATGAAATAAAAAGTTAACTAACATCAAAATATAAATAGACTATTGTTAATTAAATATAATAACAATTATTAAAAAACTATTATTAATTATAAAATACTAACAGTATAAATTTTCATTTATTTTAAAAACTGTATTTACAAGCATTAATTAAAAATAAAAACTATTATCATACATAAGTGGAAACAAAATTTTTGACAAAATATTAAAGAAATTTGTCTTTCTAAAAACAAGTAAACAAGTATGTCAATGGACATATACAAATATATAATAATGATTTTAATAACTATTGAATAAAGAATTACTTTGTATATAACTATGGGTGTTCAAAAAAAAAAATTTTAACACAAATACACAAGTAGCCAAATTTGGGGCAAATATTAAAAAAAAATACTATTACAAAAAAAATCCAAAAAAATTGACATTAATCTTGTTCTCAAGCAGCAAAATAACCCGAAAAATGCCCCAAATAGTTCCCATGTAATTTGGCTTTAAGCGCAAAGTAAATCTCAATATTTTGTACATTTTTTTTTCCAATGTGCTCACAACGGTCCAAATTTTTTTTTTAGTTGCGTATCCTGGTTTTTTCAAAATTATTGTTTAAAATATTTCAAAAATTGTGTGCACAATTTAACATAAATTATTAAAAAACCAGGATACACAACAATCAAAATATTGAGATTTACTTTGCGCTCAAAGCCAAATAATTTTAAACAATTTGGGGCATTTATTGAGGATTTCTTGCTGCTTGAGCACAAGGTAAATATCAATATTTTTGGAATTATTTTTTTGTATTTTTTTATACATTTTATCATATTTTACATTATAAATTTTTATAAACGCCTTGAAAAATTTAATTGCTAACAAAAAAAACTATTTTTCAAACAAAAAAAACTGTTTTTCGTATATATATATATATATATATATATATATATATATATATATATATATATATATATATATATATATATATATATATATATATATATATATATATATATATGTATATATATATATATATATATATATATATATATATATGTATATATATATATATGTATATTATATATATATATATATATATATATATATATATATATATATATATATATATATTATATTAACAATAATAATAATAGTTATAATAATAATAATAACAAAACCTTTTAGTTTAACTTCACTAAATACATTATAAATTTTTATAAACGCCTTGAAAAATTTAATTGCTAACGAAAAAAACTATTTTTCAAACATTACATCATGTGAGAAGCTCCTCATTAAATTCATGAGTTTTTTTAAGAAACCATCTACTTGGACGGTACTCAATAATCCACATCCCCAACCTAGTCTGCGGATGTAAATATGCATGAGCAAAGATAGCAATTAAAACAAGAATTAAAACACAAAATATCACACCAAAGACAATTCCAACTACATTGGCTCTGGCTATATTTCTTCTTTTTTTGACTTCAATTTTGATATTTGAACTTGATGGAATTAAAGAACATTTACTGATTGAACTAAAAGAACTTATAGAACATTTTGATGAGAGCCAGATCTGACGATTCCAATTGATAGCATCAGAACATAAGTTAAGTTCCGGACACCATTTGCATTGAAATGAAATATGAGAACTAGTGCAAGATTCACATGAAGTGAATTCTAAACAAGTTTTAACAGGATCTAGCCGATATGCAGAAAAAGATTTTAATTTTTCTAAAGGTAATTTTACTTCATGATACTTGTAAACAAAACTATGGTACACAGCAAAATTAAATCGAGAGCTATTTTGTGTTAATGAAATTATATATCCATCTGCAATACCAGCTGTTACAGGATGATCAACATTTTTTATCTTATACACAGGGTATGGAATTTTTTGGTAAATCATTAAAAAAGATCCATTCTGATAAATGATTACCTGAAAAGTGAATGTTTCATTACTTAAATTTGGGTCATCTGTTAGAACATTGTCCCATTGAACAATAAACATGTCTACACCTTGCCCAAAATATACAGCAGAATTTTTATTAAGCTTTAAATTAAAATCAGCCATAAGAGGAGCTATATAGTGAACTGAATGAATAAAGGAATGAAAGTCAGGGTAAACACTGAGAAAACCACCAGTAGTTATATATATACTATTAACTCTATTTCCATAAAATGTAAAGTTAAATGGCAGGTTCACTTTGGTACCTATTAGATATCCAGACGTTAATGAGTTAATTTTTTGTACACTCAAACTGCTAATTTTGTTTTGTGTCAAATCAATAAAATCATGTCTATTAACAGAAAAGTATGTTGACGTATAGTACTGATGATCATCTGTGATAACATCGGTTTTATTGTTCTCATCAGTTAATGTTCTCTTAAACCTTTCTCTTCTGTCTATCGAAAGTTTATCAACAATTTTTGATACAAATATTGCATTTTTGCCTCTATCTTCTAAATTAGTATAGAGATTTTTATGCAAGTTGAGGCAGCACCCATTTGATATTAAAAAGGATACTATGACTGCTAATAACATTTTTGAACCTAAAAAAAGGATTTATATAAATAAAACTATTCAAGGGTGTAAAAAAAAAAAGAAAAATGTCAGAAGAAAAAGAAAAAACAGTGATTTGTGTTAATTTTTTTGCAACATTGGAACATCGAGTAAATATGCTTGTTATATTACAATTTTAAAATTTAACATCTTAGATTTTTTTTTTTTTTTTTTTGTAACTAAATTAGGTTAAAACATTTGTTCATGGTACTTAAACTTATCCTTATAAAATACCTTTTGATATAATATACAATATTACTATATTTAATGTTGAGCATTATTTTGTATCATATCAAAAAAAAAATTATAAGGACAAGTTTAAATACCATAAATAGACGTTTTAACTTAATTTGCTAGTAATATTTAATATTGTAATATCATACTACATATAATATATGTATATATGTATAGTATAGTATATATATGGTAGTATATGATATACTATTCTTATTGCAAATGTTATTCGTAATATTTACGCAAATTATTTTTAAATTTTGTAATACTATATTACAAATTTTTAAAATAATTTGCGTAAATATTAAGATTTATCAGGAAATATTAGGATTACTCATTTTATTTTCACAAGTTTTTATTTCGATGAAAGTTTTTCTTTTTATCTTGACAACTTTTTTTATTTATTTTTTTTCAATTAAGCTGACTAAATGAAAACATTAAACGGTACATTAATTGACGCATGCGTGTTTGGTTGATATAATAATAACTCAACGAATCGCTAACTTGTGAAAGGGGATATGTTATGTGAATTTTTGCAGGACATATCCCCTTTTTCAAGTTAGCAATTTATATAACCAAGGAGGTAAAATAGCTTAGCTATTCTCCTTGATAAAACTAAGGCATGGTACACGTTTTTCCAAATAAAAATATAAGTTTTTTCAATTACAATATAATATATTGTAATTGAAAAAACTTATATTTTTGATGAAAAAACTTACATATTATGTAAGTTTTTTCATCAAAACCTATGACATATTTGATATGTATGGAAAGATCATTTAAACCATTTTTATAATCTTGTAAAAGTAAAGAGATTATAACAAATCGTCAAGTGTAGTTTTTTTTAGAAAAGATGAAATTTTCAAAATAAAGTACCTTGGGGCTTGGCTATGATAAGTCTATTTATAATCAGACATTATTTGGGAGAGTTATTCATGAAAAAGCATTTTTTTTATGAAAATTGAAGTTATTATTTTCAATAGCACACCTAAATGAGTATGTTTAACAATAATGTCACGTTAGATTCAAATAAACTATGGTAGTGTTAATTTTTCTACAAAAGTTTTTTTTGCATAAATAGTCATAAATTTTAGCCAGAGTTGATAATGCCGGCCGGCGGCAAAGTAACTTTCTGCCGAATAGGCGAATTTTAGCGGCGTTGGATCAATATTTAGCGGCAAAATTTTCTTTCTTCCGCCTCCAGTAGCTTCTGCCCTTCTATTGGCGGCCGCAGCCAGAGTTATGTTTTGGAGGCAAAATGTTTTGAAGGCTGACGCTATTAGGCCATTGGTGGCAGAATCATTTTGAGGTCGCTTCCAATGGCTTTTGCCTTCCAACTGGCTGCAGCTGCCAAATTGGAGGCGGAAATATTTGCCTTCAGGCGGCGGATGTAATGAAAAATAATTATTCATTTGCTTTAAAGTGCGGACGTGGCGCAGTGGTTACAGCGTTTACTTTGTAAGCAGGAGATCCAGGTTCGAAACGAGCTCTGGACATATTTTCGCATCGTTCCTGGTTAAATGCGTTTCCGCGGTGCTCTGTGACAAGACCTTTAGGTCTTCTTGGGATACCTAAATAACAAAAAAAAAAAAAAAAAAAAAAAAAGCCATTACATATTAACTAGAAATAAATGTTATTTGACATCAAGTTTCACTTTATATGATTATTTGTAAAAGTTTTAAGTATTTAAAAAATTTCCTTTTTTTTTAAATTAATAAATTAAGTAGAATAAAATAGCAGTTTTATTATTGAAAGCAAAAGTTAAAAGTTGGAAAATTTACTTCTTTGCCATTGGCAAATAAATATTTTTAACAAAACCAAAAAAATTATTTTAAGTAGGTATCTGGCTTTTACGGCAACGATTTTAAAGTAAAAATCTGTGACCTACTTTTTCACAGCGTGCTAGGAGTAGGTATCGTAAGGATGTGTTTGGTATTGTGATTTATCCTCCTCCGGCTAATTGCTAGAGGCCACATTACCAAAGCCGCAAAAACAAGATAGGCTCCCCATAACTCGCGTCATAACTCGCTATACGGATCAAGAGTAAGGTGATTTTGGGAAAAACGAAGATATGTTAGAGTAAAAAACAGAAGTAGTCGAGTTAGAAAGATAGCATAGAGAAAGCGGACAAAATTGCACACGATGTTAGAAGGTGCAATAGGTTGAAAACATACAGTTAGTTAGGTTACCTAATTAATGTATGCGGATAAATACAGGGACTAAAAAAGTTTCAGTATGAGTTTTGTTTAGGGTTGTTTGCTGTATACAAAAACTTACGAAAATTTCGCATTTTTATCTTCCGTATTTCAAATTACTACTGTGGAAATTGTACATGCGCAGATTCTCCTTCCGTATTGCATTATACGAAAAAAATAAATAATAATAAATCCGTAATAACCCTTTTACGAAAACAAAATTGAGAAATAAATGATTTCGAAAGAATACTTGCGAAACAGTTCCTTATACCATGTTCACACTAGCGATGTTCGGCGGAACATTATTCCGGAACAAATATTCCTGGAACAAAATGTTCCACAAAATGTTACTTGTAGCGTTCACATGTAAAATTGGCTTGACGGTACATAAAAGAAAAAAACGAGTAAAAAAACGGTAAGTAAAACTCGAATAAAAATTAGTGAAAAACAGTTTGGCAAATACACATTGTTAATATAATTTATTAATTTTTAATATTTATTCATTTATGAGAGGTAAAACTAAATGCAAATAACGCTGAGTGTTCAGCTAGCTCAGAGTTAAACAATAGAAACCCAACCCAAAATACCCGCCATACAAAAGGTGACGTTGGAGTTTTGTTATCCCGTTTCTTGGCTTTTATGGATAAGTCATATCTTCTTTAGTCGCTTTTGACGACACAGAATAGTAGTCCATCAGTGGTATAGTACCGAATAAACATATTATACATTAATAAGTTACCCACGACCAGTTAAAACTAATCTCATTTTGTGTTCATACATGTTTAATATTTATTTATTTAGGCACATTTGATAACCTCAAGGAAAGTAAGTTTAGTTCAAAACTACTAAACACATAACCATATTACAGCTAAAGCTTTAAATAATAAATAATATTATTACTACTTTACTTGTCCCTTTCATAAAGGTATTTAGCAATTGAGTCACGAACATTTTTTTCTGGTCCATTGTTCCTAGTTGTAGAAACTGTATTGGGTTGACTGTCATCATGATGATGCATAAGCCATTTTATAGACTGTCATCATGATGATGCATAAGCCATTTTATTATAATAATATCGTCATAATTTTCACAAATGTTGTATAGAGTGACGCAAGCATTAACAATTCTTGTAGCAAAGTTAATATCGCATTCCATACGTTTGCAAATTACACAGAATCGAGCTTTAACGCGCCCAAAAGCATTCTCAACTACTCTTCTAGCTCCGCAAAGTATTTTATTGAAATTTTTTTGAATTTCACTAAGCTCCAAATTTTCAGGATAAGGTTTTAACAAATGACGCGTTAAAGGAAATGCTGAATCACCTATCAAACATAGTGGAACAAGAGAATCGCCCAGCTCTTTACAACATTTATCAAATAGATTTGATTCTAAAATTGCTTTCAAAGAAGAATTCTGCAAAATATAGCTGTCATTATTTCTACCAGGCAATCCAACACTTGTAAAAATGAAACGGTATCGACAGTCTACAACGGCAAAAAGTACAATGGAATACCACCCTTTATAATTATAATAAGAAATTGCTTGATCTTTAGGGGCTGAAATAGGGATGTGGCATCCATCAACAGCTCCAACGCATTGTGAAAACCAAGAATAGCTTCGAAATCTCTACTATGTTTATTTAAATTTTCCACTGACAATGGAAATTTAACATATTTAGGGAGCAAAATGTCATTAACAGCATTAATAAATTCATAAACAATTAAATTTGCTGTTGACTTTCCTATGCCAAAAAGGCTAGTCACAACACGATACTCTTCACATGAAGCTAGATAATGTAATGCAACTGCAACACGTTTTACTACTGAAATAGGTTCTCGCATAGTTGTGGTAGTTTTGCCTAAATGTGGATGCAATTCATTAACTAGGAAATTAAATGGGTTACAATTTACTCGAAAATGCTCTTTAAGTTCACATTCCTCCATTTGAGTAAAAATTTCATTAAACCATTGAGAACTTTTCGGCCTAACCCAAACTTTTCTTTCAATCAGATACCCTTGTTGATTTAACTTAAAGGAAGCTAAATCTAAATATGAAAATGGGTGGGTGATTGATTCATCATTGATTAATGTTCTACTTCTTGATCGAAGTACGGCCAAAACGCTTTCCATGTTTTTCCAATAGCTTTTTTCTTTACAGATGTCTCCCTAAAAAGCTATTAAAACTATATAAATATATTAAATAAATATAATACTTATTATATTACAATTCAAGGGAAATTAAAACACATTTTTAAAAACCATTTTGTTAGAATTGATACAGCATGATCTGTTAACAAAAACAAAAATGAAACATGTAATGCAATTTGTATAAATTAAAAACAAAACACATTGGCAAAAAACATATCAGTACAATTCATCTACAGGCTTGCTTCATATCGCAAAAAAAAAATTATTTGGTAAAAATACTAAATATATATAGCATAGAGATACAAAAAAAGGTATTTATAAAATAACATGACAAATTTAAAAAATACCACCAGATATGCATTTTAATGCTTGAAATCACAAAATATTTTTATTTTACATAAAGTAAAAATTCCTTCGATAATAGTAATATGGTAACATGAAAAAATATATAAATAGAGCTTCATCTACAAGCTTGTACAATATTTCACCAACCATCTCTTTAGTTAAAACATTGAAAAACCTTATGAAATATATATTGCATAGAATTGTAAACAAAGTATACTGTTGAAAAAATACTGACCTTTCAACTTTAACATAATTACTAAAAAGATATCTTGACTAATAGAACACCTTATTTTTTTATAAAAAATTTATAATATTCTACTTGGGCTTTAGACACATCTACTAGGGCTTTAGATGCATTTTCAATTGCATTGAAAATAAATTTGAATTTGCATTGAAAATGCAAATTTCAAGTTATTTTTAACAAAATAACTTGAAATTTGTGATGGTCAAATAATTGTTTTTATATAATTGCCCACCATCTGGTCTACTTATGATTGATCCAACACGAGTGGGATCGGAATTTCCTTGGTTGCATGAAATTACCGCAAGTTTTTACTCAATGAATAAAGATATGAAATTATATTCGAAGAAATGTTTTGAATTTAATAAAAAAGATGGAAGGCAAAAACTAAAAGTTTCAAGGCAACATGTTGAAAGGCAAATATTATATCGATAATCTTGTCTTGATATATGATCAAGACCTAGGACAATGCAGAGATTAAGGACTAAAAACTCTGGTTAAGATGACAACAACTTTGTAAAAAAAATAGTTTGAGTTACTTTCACAACAAATTTGCATCTTGCAATGCATTTTTATTGAATCATTTAGCTTATATGCATACGCTTATTTTTAAAATAGTTGAAAATAGTCACCATTTTTTACACAAAACCAAATAAATGTTCCAGAACATTTATTTGTTCTGGGTTGGCGGGACGGTAAAAAAATTCGTCAAATGTTCTTTGAATTTTTGTTCCATTTGCGTTCACACGAGAGGATATTTGTTCATGTTCCATGTTCCACGGAATGTTCCATCAAATGTACCCTCGTGTGAACAGCATATTAGGGAAGGAGCGTTTCGGAATGTGCGCTTACGTAAAAGTCTCAAAAGCATTCACTAAACTGTTATACAAAAAAATGTTATTATTTATTGTTTAAATAAGATAATGTTGTTAAATGATTCTTCAATGATTTATACATATATATCTGGTATATATATATATATATATATATATATATATATATATATATATATATATATATATATATATATATATATATATATATGTATATGTATATATATATATATATATATATATATATATATATATATATATATATATATATATATATATATATATTTTTATATTTATATATTTATTTTTACATTTTCGTATATATTTTAATCATATATATTGTATATATATATATATATATATATATATATATATATATATATATATATATATATATATATATATATATATATATATATATATATATATATATATATATATATATTTACATATATATTTATACATTTCCGTATATATTTTAATCATATATATTGTATATATATATATATATATATATATATATATATATATATATATATATATATATATATATATATATATATATATATATATATATACATATATATGTCTTTAAGTTGCGAGAGGTTTCGCCAATATAACAGGGTTTACATCCTGCACAAACAAATTTGTAGACGACGAATGATTTAAAATCTGCAGAAAGGTGATCTTTAGATGAGAAAAAGTTAGACACTTTTAACGAAATGAATACTAATTTTACGGTAACCGACTTACAATGTCTCTTTATAAAAGCGTGTAATCTTCGTTTCGTTAACTCAGATATTTGACCAATATAAGGAAGTTTGAAATAGCGAGAGTTTTTAAGGTCTTCAGACGGTAATACCATGTTCACACTAGCGATGTTCGGCGGAACATTATTCCGGAACAAATGTTCCTGGAACAAAATGTTCCACAAAATGTTACTTGTAGCGTTCACATGTAAAATTGGCTCGACGGTACATAAAAGAAAAAACGAGTAAAAAAACGGTAAGTAAAACTCGAATAAAAATTAGTGAAAAACAGTTTGGCAAATACACATTGTTAATATAATTTATTAATTTTTAATATTTATTCATTTATGAGAGGTAAAACTAAATGCAAATAACGCTGAGGGTTCAGCTAGCTCAGAGTTAGACAATAGAAACCCAACCCAAAAAACCCGCCATACAAAAGGTGACGTTGGAATTTTGTTATCCCGTTTCTTGGCTTTTATGGATAGGTCATATCTTCTTTAGTCGCTTTTGACGACACAGAATAGTAGTCCATCAGTGGTATAGTACCGAATAAACATATTATACATTAATATGTTACCCACGACCAGTTAAAACTAATCTCATTTTGTGTTCATACATATTTAATATTTATTTATTTAGACACATTTGATAACCTCAAGGAAAGTAAGTTTAGTTCAAAACTACTAAATACATAACCATATTACAGCTAAAACTTTAAATAATAAATGATATTATTACTACTTTATAAATAAAATGATATTATTACTACTTTACTTGTCCCTTTCATAAAGGTATTTAGCAATTGAGTCACGAACATTTTTTCCTGGTCCATTATTCCCAGTTGTAGAAACTGTATTGGGTTGAGCTAGACTGTCATCATGATGATGCAGAAGCCATTCTATTATAATAATATCGTCATAATATTCACAAATGTTGTGAAGAGTGACGCAAGCATTAACAATTCTTGTAGCAAAGTTAATATCGCATTCCATACGTTTGCAAATTACACGGAATCGAGCTTTAACGCGCCCAAAGGCATTCTCAACTACTCTTCTAGCTCCGCAAAGTATTTTGTTGAAATTTTTTTGAATTTCACTATGCTCCAAATTTTCAGGATAAGGTTTTAAGAAATAACGCGTTAAAGGAAATGCTGAATCACCTATCAAACATAGTGGAACAAGAGAATCGCCCAGCTCTTTACAACATTTATCAAATAGATTTGATTCTAAAATTTCTTTCAAAGAAGAATTCTGCAAAATATAGCTGTCATTATTTCTACCAGGCGATCCAACACTTGTATAAATGAAACGGTATCGACTGTCTACAACGGCAAAAAGTACAATGGAATACCACCCTTTATAATTATAATAAGAAGTTGCTTAATCTTTAGGGGCTGAAATAGGGATGTGGCATCCATCAACAGCTCCAACGCATTGTTGAAAACCAAGAATAGCTTCGAAATCTCTACTATGTTTATTTAAATTTTCCACTGACAATCGAAATTTAACATATTTAGGGAGCAAAATGTCATTAACAGCATTAATAAATTCATGAACAATTAAATTTGCTGTTGACTTTCCTATGCCAAAAAGGCTAGACACAACACGATACTCTTCACATGAAGCTAGATAATGTAATGCAACTGCAACACGTTTTACTACTGAAATAGGTTCTCGCATAGTTGTGGTAGTTTTGCCTAAATGTGGATGCAATTCATTAACTAGGAAATTAAATGTGTTACGATTTACTCGAAAATGCTCTTTAAATTCACATTCCTCCATTTGAGTAAAAATCTCATTAAACCATTGAGAACTTTTTGGCCTAACCCAAACTTTTCTTTCAATCAGATACCCTTGTTGATTTAACTTAAAGGAAGCTAAATCTAAATATGAAAATGGGTGGGTGATTGATTCATCATTGTTCTTCTTCTTAATCGAAGTACGGCCAAAACGCTTTCCATGTTTTTCCAATAGCTTTTTCCTTTACCGATGTCTCCCTAAAAAACTATTAAAACTATATAAATATATTAAATAAATATAATACTTATTATATTACAATTCAAGGGAAATTAATCACACATTTTTAAAAACCATTTTGTTAGAATTGATACAGCATAATCTGTTAACAAAAACAAAAATGAAACGTGTAATGCAATTTGTATAAATTAAAAACAAAACACTTTGGCAAAAAACATATCACTATAATTCATCTACAGGCTTCATAATATAATTCATCTTCATGCAAAAAAAAATTATTTGGTAAAAATACTTAATATATATAGCATAGAGATACAAGAAAAGGTATTTATAAAATAACATGACAAATTTAAAAAATACCACCAGATATGCATTTTAATGCTTGAAATCACAAAATATTTTTATTTTATATAAAGTAAAAATTCCTTTGATAATAGTAATATGGTAACATGAAAAAATATATATAAGTAGAGCTTCATCTACAAGCTTGTACAATATTTCACTAATCATCTCTTTAGTTAAAACATTGAAAAACCTTATGAAATATATATTGCATAGAATTGTAAACAAGGTATACTGTTGAAAAAATACTGACCTTTCAACTTTAACATAATTACTAAAAAGATATCTTGACTAATAGAACACCTTATTTTTTTATTAAAAATTTATAATATTTTACTTGGGCTTTAGACACATCTACTTGGGCTTTAGGTGCATTTTCAATTGCATCGCAAATACGCTCTAAAGCAACAACCTCTCTGATTCATAGCTCTTGTGAACGGATTTGAACATCTAGATTTTTATTTGCTATTTTTAAATATTCAGAAAAAAAATTTGTTTTTTTATTTTTTCTCACCGGTTCAGTTTTTGCTATTTTATTCAAAGTTTTTTCATCATCAGAGCTCCTCCGTTTATTGCAGCCGGATGTAGATTGAGTTGGTTACTCATCAGGAATAGTGACAATTGATTGCACATCGCTTGTATCATCCAAAGCTTCAGTATTTAAAATACTGACAGTCTCCTTGCCATCTTCCATTGTGGCAATCTGTAAATAAAATATACACATTAAAAAAATTACACATTTGAGAAATGATTATAAATCATGTTTCAATCAAAATTTATCTCTTGACTTTGAAAGACTTGACTTGAAGTCATTTTACTCCCTTCCTTCCCTAAACAAAAAGGATCTATTTAGACAATAGCATTTTACAAATATCCCTTTTATAATTCAAAAACTTTATATTATATGTTTTTGATCTTTATGTTTTAAGTCTGCCAAATGTTGCAAAACTAAGAACCTCTTAAACCTTATTTTTTAGAAATAGTTAACATGCTAGTTTACATTACTTTAAAAATATATAGCACTTTAAAAAATACAACAATAAATTATACTAAACTTACCTGACCATCTTGAAAATCTTGAGTAGAAAAGTTTTGACTTTGAGATAAAAGGTCATTGTCAAGGGAAGCTTCACCACCTATTATTTTGGCAACAATATTGTAAGGCCACCATTTACTAGGAGCTCCTCCCGATGAACCAACTTGAAGTTTTTCTCGTCTATGAAAAATATACATAAATATAAGTAAATATAAGCACATCATTAACACCGTATAACATTAATCAAATAACTTTAAATGGACAAATTATTATTAAAGAAATAATTATTAACAAAATTAACGAATTATTAACGAATAATAAAATAACAAAATATTAACAAAATAGTTATCAACGAGCTGTATATCTTTAATACTGAATAAGATTTAAGTAATTTTTAATATAACACTCAGTTACAAACTAAATTGCAATTAGATATTATTACACATGGTTAGTTTTGTAAAATACTTTCAGTATTTCAGTAAGGTATCAAACATTAAATGTAGAATATGTACATACCTAAATTGTTTCCTCAAATTACTAATTTTAGATTGAATTTGATATCCAGTTAACGGAGATACGATATTAAATGTGTTTGAAAATTTAGCTGCCATTTGTTTGTAAATATTTGTGTTTCTTCTTGCAGATGTTAATGCATTGTAATTATCTTTCCATAAATCTAATAATACTCTTGTGTTAGCCATATTCCATACAAATTTATTTAAAGGAGATGTGCAAAGACTAATATTTGTTGTGCTAGCGTCAATACACTCTTTTTCTGAATGCTGAGACATTGTGTAAAATTAAAGTTATACCTATTAAAAAGGATAAGTACATTGAATCTTGCAACAATAACAACAACAAAAAGAAGAGAAATAGTTAATAATAAAATTAAAGGTTAAACTTCATAATTGCTATAAATGTTATGGGCTTAAAATAATTTAATAATGTTATGGGCTTACTAAATAATTTAATAAATTGCCAAAAACTGGTAGCCAAGAGAACAGAAACTTTCAGATGCTACTTTTACTTTTTTTTACTTTTAATGTGCTATGTGATAATTATGTTATTTAATAACATCGATCTTTCAACACTATTGTTTATTTTTATTTTTAAATGTCAATAATTGTAGTACATTGTGTCAAAGATATAAGGTACAGTCATATCAATACAGTCAATCAATAATATATATTCTGAATAAAGATCTTATTTTCACAATTATTCACAAACAGTAAAATAACTAATATTAAGTAAATACAAAATATTTATGAGGAAAATACTAATGGTAATGTTTACAAATTAAAATAACAAGATAAGATAAAGCTAATATAATAAAATATATATGACATATAAATAAAATATATGACAAAGCTCATATATAACAATATATACCAATAATAATATCAATAATAATGTTATTATAAATAGTAATAACAATGATGATAATAATGATAATAATATTAACAATTGTTATTGTTGTTATTTTTATCATTATTATTACTATTATTATTCTATTATTATAATAATTATTATAATAATAATTATTATTTTTATTATTATTATCACTGTTGGCAAGGCCAATGATAAACAAATCTGCTTATTAGTTCAAAGTTGAATTTTATAAATAAAATTACTATAAGTTTATTAAAAATGCATTAAAAGCAATGCTTTTTTAAACAATTGCCCACTATCTGGTCTACTCATGATTGATCCCACACGAGTGGGATCGGAATTTCCTTGGTTGCATGAAATTACCACAAGTTTTTACTCAATGAATAAATATATGAAATTATATTTAAAGAAATGTTTTGAATTAAATAAAAAAGATGGAAGGCAAAAACTAAAAGTTTCAAGGCAACATGTTGAAAGGCAAATAGTATATCGATAATCTTGTCTTGATATATGACCAAGACCTAGGACAATGCAGAGATTAAGGACTAAAAACTCTGCTTAAGATGACAACAACTTTGTAAAAAAAATAGTTTGAGTTACTTTTACAACAAATTTGCATCTTGCAATGTATTTTCATTGAATCATTTAGCTTATATGCATACGCTTATTTTAAAAATAGTTGAAAATAGGCACCATTTTTTATACAAAACCAAATAAATGTTTCGGAACATTTATTTGTTCTGGGTACAAAAGTTCCTCAAATGTTCCTTGAATTTTTGTTCCGTTTGCGTTCACACGAGAGGATATTTGTTCATGTTCCATGTTCCACGGAATGTTCCATCAAATGTACCCTCGTGTGAACAGCCTATAATAGAACGACATAATTATCTTTATTTAAGTAAGAGTTGTAGATTTTTCTATTAGCCAAGATGGGTACATATTAGGTTTGAGAATTTTGAAAAGATTTTTAGTTGTGTGGCCGTGGTGTAGTGGTTAGAGAACTTGCCTTTTAGGCAGGAGATCCAGGTTCGAAGCGAGCTTTGAACCTATTTTGCGTCATGGTAAGGAAAGAGGCGTGAACTTCCTGGTTAAATGCACTTCCGCAGTGCTCTGTGACAAGACCGTTAGGACTTCTTGGGGCACCTAAAATAACAAATAAAAAAAAAAAAGTTTTATTTTAAAGCTAATTTATTTAATTTTTTGTAAGGAATTGTTTTGCTTATTCTTTCAACTTTTTCCGAAGTTTAAGTTTAGATTAACGTTTCTTTTTTAGACGCACAAAATAAAGTTTGGAATGAATGACGAAAGCTTTTGCTGACCACGCAAATGATTTTTTTGGTTAATTGACCACGACTGTTTTAAATGTTTTGATGATTTAAACGTTTCAGAATTAGAATTTAATTCCCGTCGGTCAAAATGTCTGATTCTTTGGTAAATTGAGCTAATTAAGTAATCTAAGGACTTAGCTGGACAATGTCCGAAGTCCGACCGTTAAATTAAGCCTTGGTAGTATTAAATTAAACATACTAAAACATATAATATAAAATTACATACTTACATAGTAAACTCTTATAATAAACACTGTTAACACTACTGTTACGTTGGGGTCCAAACGGAACCCACGAGTAGTTTGTTTTTGCATTATATATTTATGTAGTCAGTTGTTTTTTTTTTTTATTTTATGTTTCTGTTAAATATCACAAGATGTACAAATATCCAAAAAATTGTTTTTGGACATAGCTTCCTTTTTAAATAACTTTCAAAGAATGCATCTATGATGTCCATATGGACTCCAACATAAAAACATGTTGGGGTCCATATGAACCCCAACATGTTTTTTTATTACAAAATATATAGTTTTTCAAAACTAATGCTTTTATAAACTATTTTTATATTTTTATTTGTAACTTATTCAATCTTTTTATTTGATACTTTCAAAAAAATTAGATAAATTAAGATTTCATAACAAATATTAGAGTTTATGGCTGAAAAAAAAAAAAAGTTTGTATTACACTGCTGAACAGGCTCAATAACTAAATAAATAACTTGATAACATCGCTTACAATAACATAAAATCGCTTTGATCGCTTGATCAATCAAAAGAAGTAGAGCTATTATTTTTTTTTTTGTCATTAAAAAATAACCTTCTACAATGTTTTTACAACATAAAAAATGTAACATTAAAGTTTCGACCAGAGCTGGCAGAAGACATGGTCTTATCATCCAGCCCCGTTAATATAACTAAAAAATTCAGCCGACAAAAATGAAAAAAGAAAAAAAGAAACTAAAGCAAGAACTGATTTAAAAACCAATTTGCTATTTACAGAAAAAAAATAATTAATTATTTCTTCTCATTATTATTATTTTTCTAATTCTCTATCTAGTTCTACTTTTATTTTTAATATACGCGCACGCACACACATACACAAATATGCACACGTACACACAGATATATGTCTGTTCATAAATATATACATACAAAATCAAATAAATCTGTTTTATATTTCGTCTACAAATTGCGTAAGATATAGTAAGTATTGCATTTACAAATTGCGTTAATTATTGTAAAATAAGATAATCTTATACAAGTTACCATGCAATTAAGATTTTAATAATAGGGTAGAAATTGCTTTGAATCAAAATCAAATAAGTGTTGTTTTGTTGCACGTTTATATCTGGTGGTAATGAAGAGGAAGAAGTAACAACAGAGAGCTCAGAAGATACTGAGTCAAGTAGATACTCCTGTAATTTCAAACGTAGCGAATAATTCAACACCAGTATTTGAAACTAGAAGATGTTGAACTCGTGGTGAAGTTAGAGGCACTAGCATCATTTATGGCACAAATAGTTAAGGGAAAATAAGTTATGCAAATTAAGTCTTAGGAAGAGGAAACATAAATAATGATATATCTGAGGAAATAAATCCAGGTAAAACTAATGTAATAGTATAAACTGAAGTCAAAGTTTGCTATACAACAAATTTTTATAAGTACCCAAAAAGTAAAATGTATGTATAAAAAAAGTAATATGTATAAAAAATATGGCAAAAACAAAGACTAAACAGTTCTAACAAATTTGCATCACAAAATGAAATTGATCATGAAAAATACTAGAATTTACACCATATGCAACACGTATGACAGATTTGATAATTGCTGCTTTTCAACTTTTTTTTACCTCAAAAATTTTTATTATAGTTTTAACAAAATCAAACAAATAAGGTAAAATTATTTTTAAAGAAAAGTAGGTATTTTGTATTACCAATTGTAGGTTTGGTATTACCAAAAGTAGTTATTGTAATACCAAAAGTAGGTATTTGTATATACCAATATTTGAGCATAGACTAAATGGACTTTTATTATGGCAGGTGTTTACCGAACAATAGGGATATTAGTGATGGACAGCAGATTCTTGTTCTGTAATCAGTCGTGAGCGTTTTCATGCCATTTGAGAGATTTGATGACAAATCAACTCGATTAGTAAGATGCAGCAATGACAAATTTGCACCTACTCAGGAGGCTTTTGACATTTGGGTAAAAACACTTTCAAATAGTTTTAGCCCATATGAAAAAAGTACCGATGATAAACAGCTGGTTCCCTTTCATGAATGTTGTTCCTTTAGACAATATATAAAATCCAAACCAGCAAAATATGGGTTAAAGCTATAGTTACTGTGTAATTCTAGTACCAGTTATGTCTTGAATGCACAAATTTATACTGGCAGTAGTCCTGGGGAGCGCTTAGTAAGAAATCAAGGGCACTAATTAGTTCATCTTTAAGTTGAAGTTATGAAAATCTGGAAGAAATGTTGCAATGGACAACTTTTTCACATCAGTTACACGAAACAGTTACACTTGCACGAGACAAAAAGATACATTTGAACGAGAACTTTTATAGTTGTAACACGAAAACCTTTATAGTTGTAACGATGCGAAAAAATGAAAAAGAATGTCTGTATGTATATATATATATATATATATATATATATATATATATATATATATATATATATATATATATATATATATATATATATATATATATATATATATATATATATATATATATATATATATATAGTTTTGAATAGAGAGCCTATATACTCAGAGAGCGGACATACGGAAAATACGGAAGAACGGCGGCCATGTTTTTGCCAAACTAGCGTATGACATTCACGAATTCAAGTAAAAACAATTGAAAGAAAATGAGCACAATAATATTTTAAACAGAAATATATTTTTAAAAATTAAACCTTTTTATGTTTTATTTTTTCAAAATTATTTTTCGACAAAGTTATTTATTTATTTAGGAAATACCTTTAAAAAAAAACACAGCAAAAAAGTAGTTGTAATCAATAAGTAATTTGAAAAAAGCTTTACAGTTTATTTTATAAATTAGTTGAACCTAAACCTTTAGTGCAAATGCATGCATTGTCATACTCTTGCTGCCAAGTTCACAAGAACTTTTTTTAGTTTTTTTCTTTTTACATAATAAACGCTTTTTTTTAAGGTTAAATATTTTAAGTCTGAATGTTATAAACCTGTTTTTTAGCTTCAATTTAATTTGATGACAACTAGGATAAGACTTTTAATTTGTTCATCAGAATTAACTTTCTCTAAAAGCATAGTATTACAATTCTTTTGGGAATTAAGGTATGGCTCAAATGATCTGAATATTAACTCCATTTGTAAAAAGAATGCAAATGTTGTTTCATTAGCAAAAAATAAACTACCCACTTTGTGCTCTTTGTCTGTAACAAACTTTGTGTAATCAGCATTATCTCTATTTTTAGAAACTAGAGATTCAAAACAAATTGTGCAAACTTTTTAAATTTTTTTAACTCTAGAAATTATATAACCTGCAATATGAAACAAACAACTTTGCTCAGCATTACTTAAGATTAAGTTAGAGGTTTTATCCCAATCTTTAGGTAAAAAAATGCACTCTCTTTGCTGTGGTTTATGCACATTACTATTAACTATATCAAGAAAACCAGATAAGAATTGACGGTCATCTATATCATAATTGCCTTTTGATGATTTTTTCAAGAATTGGGCAACGCAAATAAGTTTCAAGTTATTTTTAAATTGAAGAGCAGTAGGAATTACTTGTTTTGCACGTACCAGGGAAAAAAGATTCTCCAGGCAATCCTGCGTAAATCGTGATGTCATTAGAAAATCAAACTTTTTTTCTAGAAGAAACTTATTTTGCAAGTTAATAACTGATGTTGTTGATAATATAACACCAGATTGAATAGGTTTCCAACTTATTTTTTCAGTTTGGCCTAATATTTTTAAACCATTGAATATCTCTATGACTTCATTTAAAAAAGTTATTGTTTCATTGTAAACTTTGTCATTTTTCATGCTAAGAGCCATACCTGGGTTTCGTGAAGTCATTAATGGAAACCATTTATCAACAATTCCTATAAACCGAGCAGTTGTGAGAATAGAATCATCTTTTATTTCACTTGCAATAAATTTTAATCCACAACTTACATCATGATTCATTACAGATGTTGCTCTTGATACTTTCATTTTGTTGAAATGTTTTTCATCAAGATGTTCAGATGTAAGCTTGTAAGCAAACTTCAAATCCATACCTTCTTGAAAGTCTACAAGCTTGTTAAGGTGTTTTGAATCTATAATTGGCGATTGAACTTTATATTTTTCTTGAATCTTAGCTGTTATTATAAAATGTTTGTTACATAAAAGAGATGTTCTTATATTCTTTAATAAATGTGGTACGTCTGCTAAAAAATCAATTGTACGAGTAGGGTCACATGGGTGTTAAATTGAACTAGAAATACTGCCACTTTTAGTACAGCTAAAAAATATTAAAACATTTCCACATTGCCTGGTTAATGGCACCCATATCAGAAGTAACACTATTAACTTTTAATCCTATTTCTTCAGTATACTTTATTATAGATAGGACAATGTTTTTTAAAACAAAACTTCCAGTATAAAATGTTAATATTTTTTTTTTTGATTAATGACTTTTTTTTCTAATCTCTCCAATTTCGCATTTAAATCTTGTATAAGTAAACTTTTATCAACCTCAGTTGTGCAAACTTCAGATAGTTCATTGTTATTTACTTCAATTAAAATATTTTCCACAACTTCTCCTCTTTCTATACAACTTATTTTCTTTTTTTTTGGTATTGGAAAACGCTCGAGTGGATTTTTTCGCTTATGTTTTGCTCTAACATGTTTAAAGACAGTAGGAATTGCATTATGTTTGAGTTTTCTTGATCCATCTTATGTTTTTTTCCCATTGATCAGCATCAAAGTGTACCTTAATAAAAAAATTGAAAGAATATAATGTATTTGTATGGATTCTAAAATAACTCATTTCTAGGATTAATTACATAAAACTGTATTTTCTTATGCTTACTTCACATAAAAAGCTTGTGTTTGTAGGTACCCAGTTAAGTTTAACTTTAGAAGTCCAAATCGCCCGTTGTTTTTCATTTCTTGGGAAGCATTTTATAATAAATCCTTTCTCAGGCCTGTTATGGCAGCCTACTGCAGCACAACCAGGCATACTTTTACAAATATTTAATACAAATTTAGTAGTAGACTTTAATCGCAGTTAGTATTTTTGGCAAAAAGATGGCGTCTAAAATCAAAAAATTCGAACAACCAATCAAAAACGATCACACTTATGTCCGCTCTCTGAGTATATAGGCTCTCTAGTTTTGAAGATATATATTTTTAACGAAGTAATATACTATTTTTGGTAAAACAGAATAAAATTATCTTGGTTAATCTTTTTAAACAACAATATATTTTATTTAAAATATAATTATTTAACTAAAGTCAATTAGCGACGGCATAGTAGGGTTAAGTAAAAACTAATTATACTTAGTAAATACACACGGTAAAGTAAATAATAATTATAGTTAATATAAGGACAATAGTTTCATTTATTGTGTATAAACTATAATATAGTCTATATACATAGACTCTCTCTCTCTCTCTCTATATATATATATATATATATATATATATATGAAGAGTACATGGGAAAGACCGGCAAAGTCACATTTTCACAAGTCACAGTCAAATTTTTTTTTTAACCTATCTTTATACAAAGACTTTTATAAATGATCAATATATACTTTCTCAAAACTTTTTAAATGTGACTTTTTTTTACCGTGTATTCTTCATATATATATATATTATATATATATATATATATATATATATATATATATATATATATATATATATATATATATATATATATATGTATATATATATATGTATATATATATATGTATATATATATATATACACACGCACATATATATATTGTGTATGTATACACATAGTTTATATATAAACTATAACATAGTTTATAATATAGTTTAATAACTGTTGTTCTAATAATAGCCGCATCGGTTAAAAATAGGAGTCGTGGTTCTTATTTGGTCAAAAGAGTGGTTATTATAAAGACCTATTTGAAATCTGAGAGTTTAGGTTATATTTATGCTTCTGTCTATCGTATATTGACCAACAAAACAGTTTACATTATAATATTAAAGTAACACAAATCAAAATGTACCAAAAACCCGTAACTAAAAAAATATTGCTATAAACGCAATATTCTTTTAGTTTAAATTTTTTTTATAAATTTGATGTTTAAGAAAAAAAGGCGATTTTTTTTTTAACTTCTCATAACATGAAAAAATCATTAAGGCTATTCTGAAATGATCGTGACAATGATTTTATAATCAACTAAAATGAAAAACAGTACTAACATTACGCGTTTAACGTTTAAAAATAACCACAAATTATTAAAAACATGATTTAGCATCAGAATCAGAATTGTTCAGAATCATAAGAATTGATAAACTTTGAAACTAACCAATGAAACAAGTGCATTGTCAAAAGAAAACTATAAAACTATTAAAAAAACAACTTGCATCATCGAATATTGAAAATTCTTTTTATAGTTGGAGCTTTTCCAAGAATCAAAGCTCATTTAAGTTTCACCGTATTCAAGTAGATTTTTTAAAAATTAATAAAAATGTTTTTGGTACATTCTTTCGCACCGTGTGTCCATACTTTTAATAAAATATTTGATAATTAAAAAAAAAAAAAAAAAAAAAAAAAAAAAAAAAAAAAAAAAAACATTTGAAAAATCAAATTCGAGTAAGGAATTTTTACGTTTCATGTATTTTGCTTTAAAAATTGCTCTAAAGAGACACTAAGGTTACTTGAATTAGTTTCCAACAAACGACTTAGTTCCTGACTCGGCTGCGATAACATACTAAGCAGTTCGCTGTGCATATCCTTCAACGAAGGTAAGTTTGCATAACTTGCGATATTGTCCTTATTCATTATTGTATTTTCTATTACAGCGCCTAAAAGGTGAATTCTCGGATTGCGATTAAATAACTTCAACACCGATTTTATGTTAACTTGGTTACCAAAAGCAACAGCGGTTTGAGTGAAAAAGAGTGGGGCTATATTTTTATAAGGAGAATCTTTGAGATACACCCTTGAAATTTCATTAGGGAAAACTTTAACAGATATATGCTCTTTACCCATATCGTATCGAAAATCATTCCATTCAAGAGCAGATAATGAATTATATTGGAAAATAAAAATTTTCTCGTTTGTTTCAAACACTTTGACTATTTGTTTTCCTGAATTGATTTTCCACTCAGGATACTGTATAAAAAAATCAATTAACATTAAGTTCAGAAAAACAATTAGCTAAATAACAAAAGTAAATTTAGTCAAAAGCATTATTCGTTAGTATTTACCTTGCGAGGTTTTCCTTTCTTTAATAGGTTTCTTCCGACCCTACATAACCGGGCTGCTGCTATTGGTGCACTCATAGTAAAAGATCATTAGAAATTTATTAATTGGGCATTTAAAAGCTAACTGAAAGTAAACAATATTTAATCAATGTTAATTAAATATCTTAAAAAACTTTACCTTTTTATTCCAATCAAACTCTTTAATGCAAGTAATTTAAAAATATTATGTCAAAACAATTCTGCCGTGACGAAAGAACTTATAGAAAAATTCAAAATATAAATTACTAAAAAATATATCTGGGCATATTGTATTAAAAGTTTAAAAACTTATTGTAACTCAAAGGTTAAAAACATAAGAAGAACTCAAATAAAAAAACAAACATAAGAAGAATTCAAATAAAAAAAACAAACATAAGAAGAACTCAAATAAAAAAAAAAAACATAAGAAGAACTCAAATAAAAAAAACAAAACATAAGAACTCAAATAAAAAAAAAAAAACATTAGAAGAACTCAAATAAAAAACTTCTTTTGAATAACATAAGAAGAACTTAAATAAAAAACTTCTTTTGAATAACGGAATGAAGGGCATTTTTTTTAAATGCTGTTTGTTTTTTTCACGTGAGTTCTATTATTGTAGCACGGTAAAATTCTACTTGGATGAGATTTAAATGATACTTAATTACAAGTTTCATTAAACAAGGAAAAAAAATTTAATTACTTTTTTCTAGAATGTTTAAACTAAAAATATAATTATTATTAGGCTTCTTTTTTTAAAACAATTATTTCTGTATAAAAAATACAAAAACTCAAATCATATCTTTACAAAGAATGTTAATGCGTTCTTCCAACTATTAAGCCATTTCGATTAAAATATCAGCGAATATTTAATTTGATGGCATATTCATCAAAATACCTTGACCTTCTGGTAGATATATTACATTACGAGACATAGACAAGTTTTGAGCTATCTCCTCACTAGCTTCAATTTTTCGAAGCTCAATAAGTCCATTACCAACCTTTTTAAACGAGTCAGATAAAAGTTTGGCTCCCTGAGCATCACCTTCAGCACTAATAATAGCAGCTTGCTTCTGTTGCTCAGCCTTAATAAAAAAAAGTTTATGCATTAAAAAAGAGTATCTAAATAAAAAATATTAAATTAAAACATATAGAAACATTACACAGTATAACCCCTATTAAATCCCAATCCAGCATCTTTAGCTCCACAGCAATAATAACTAAACTGTTATTGGTAAGTAATACTTTGGACTCAGATTTTTAAAATTAAGTTCAAAGAATTAACTTACTATGAACCATGAAAAAATAATGTTTTTTTCAGCAAAAAACCTGGATTCAGCAAAACTTAGGACTTAAGTGGGGTTATTCTGTAGCGGAAAAAGTTGGCACTCACTCTTTCTACTAGGAATCTTGCACGTTCTGCTTCTTGTTGAGCTGTAAGAAATAATGATGTTAAATTTATAACGATAATAATTGTAAGCATAAAAATTCAATTCATTTTAAATGATTTCCCACAGAAACTTACCAACTTGTTTCAACTCAACTGCTTCAGTAAATTCTTTACCAAATGTAAGATGTGTCTAAGATGTAATGTAATAAACAGAATAAGAATTTATACTAGAAACCATAAAATACCACTCAACCTTTATTCTAATACATTTAAACAATTTATTTTATTCAAAATATTTAAATGCAAATCTTATAGTAACAATAAATATTTTACTTTATGATAAAAATTTTCCAAAAAAAAGATTCTTTTTCTTGGGTTAAACCATAAAAAACATTCTTTTTTTTTAACTTTAAAATTATAATAAAAAAGTAATACAAATAGGAATATAATAAAAGCCTACTAAAGAAATATCATCTAAAATGAGACCAAATGCTGTTGCTCTTTCAACAAGTGCATCTTGGACAGCAAGTGATACCTGGAAAAGAAATAATATAATAAACTATTACATAATTAAAAAATTGCAGTATAAATTGCATCAGTTTGAACAAAATTAATTAGTTAACAGAATTATGTGTAAAAAAATCTAAAGTGAAATCTTAAGTTACTAAAATAAAAAATGATAAAAAAATTAAAATATGCATGTTAAATCTCTAGATTGGCTCAGACAACAAACAACATGTTGTTCAGTCAATATATGTACTGAAGCCTTCACTTCTTTCTATTACTTGTTCCTTTTATATCATCAGTGACATTTCATATATAGCTAAGTGTGCTGTGTTGTATACGCATGCGCACACACACACACACACACACACACACACACACACACACACACACATATATATGTGTGTGTGCGTGTTTTGCATAAATTAAAATTTTGAAGACCAGATATTTTTCCAGATATCGCAAATCAAGATTGCTTAACTCAACCCTTGATATATAACAACAATATATATATATATATATATATATATTATATATATATATATATATATATATATATATATATATATATATATATATTGTTGTGGTTTGATTTGTTATTAAAAAAAATCTTGATCGTTGTAGAGTGCTCAATATTTAAGAAATATATATATTTTGAAGTTTTAAAATTTTAGTTATAACCTTTAGGTCATATTAGAGCTAAAAATCAAGTTAAAAAAAATAGATTAAAAATGTTTAAGTGAAAGTGAAATTGAGGAAATGGTGGACCACCATTACCCCAATTTCACTCACCAAACTTTTTTTACATACACAAATTAATATCAGAGATTAAGTTTAAAAGAACAAAATAAGGTTAAATATCTAGTTAATGAGCATAAAAATCATAAAAATACTTACAAGTTCTCTTTGAGTAATCAACTCACTAGCATCAAACTGTGCCTGAAATAAAAGCAATGCTAATCATAAACCAAAACAAAATGTTTATAACAATTGGTCAAATAATTTACTTTAGGGTAATTCAGCATCAACACATTTTTTTGGAGTAACTATTGTTACAACCTTCGACTTTGATAATTTTTGTATAACTAAGCTACCCTGCTTAACGCTAACGCTAGGTAAGCTGCTAAGCTGCTTGAAAATTTATTCTAAAAAAAAAGAGTCTGTCATGGTTAGTAAAAATAAACAAAAAAATATAGTTTAATATAGCAGTTTCATATATAGCTTATCTAGTAGGGTGTGTAATACTTTATGATTTTTTGAAAAAGCTTTTCCTAAAACCCCGTAAATAGAAAACGTGTGTACAACTATTTTAACATTAAAACCAAAAAAAAAACTAAAAATAATTTATGTTAAGCTACCGGGAAGTGTGTTTTAAAATTACATATTTATTGTCAATTTTTTGTAATTAGCATTGAACCACAGATACTGTTTTGTGTCCACACACTTTTATACACAAGTAATTGTTTACACCCACTTACATTGAATTCTATTTGATATCAAAACTATATAAAGTTGTCAATTTACAAATTGTTGAACATAATAATTTGTATGTTAAATGTTAAAAATTTTTTAAAAAATTTTAAAAAATAAAAAATTTATACAAAAAGTTTGCAAGTTATGAACTTTGCTATTTAATCATGGCAATGATTAAATATCTTCAATATCTTCAAGAACTAGAAAAAGAAGCGGATCAAAGCTTTCGGAATATATAGGTTCTGGAACAGATATTCTTGTATCAGAGATACCAACGCTAAAAGATCTTTTTAGAATGGTCTGTTTGTACAAGAAAGAAACAATAGAAACAAAAGAAATTATCAGATAAAATCACTAATGAACTATGTTTACTCAAAGTTGATATATCCTGTAACACATATTGAACATTATATTACTGCAACATTGGTAAATGAATGGAATGCAGCCAACCTGGTTGCTAGGGGAAAAGCAAGCTTAAAGAATAAAGATAGATTTTTGGCAAAACTTGACAAATTGTTTAATATACTGAATTGTAATTGCCAAATTATTACTTGTCAAGAGAAAAATTGTTTTTCAGAATGTAATGATGAAGCCCATATTAACTGTATGTGCGAAAAGAAGAAAAAGATTCCACAGGAAAAGTTAGTTTTTATACTTGGGCAAAGAGCTAAAATAGGGACTATCGGTCTGCATCAAATTGGATTAGCTGACTTGAAAGAAAACAAAAAGCTACATAAAATGAGAAAGAAGATTGAAGGAAGAATTAAGATTTGTTTAATTAGTTATGTTTTTAATTAGTAATTAGTTAATAAAGAAAAATTAATTAAACTCCAATGTTAATTTTAGTTATATTACAAATATTACAAATATATCTGTCTGTTTCAACTTAAAAATAACAAAATCTAATTAAACTCAAAATGAAATTTTTACATACGACTATTTATATTTTACTTATATTGGAAATGTACTTACAATATTTTACAAAACATTATTTAATGAAACTTCAATTATTTAATCCATAGCTAAAGCAAAAAGCGTCTAAAGAATTTCAAAAAAACAATTAGAAGTCAGGAAGAAAAGTTTGAATTTGAACTTAGCAAAACAAATGAACTATTTAGTAATGAATGTTTCATAACAAACAGCAATACTGAACTCAATCTAATGTGTCGATCAGGAACATTTATGAGAACAAAAGAATTATGAAAGTATTTCCAACATAGTGTTAGCAAGCATACATAGTTAGCAAACATTACAAGCAAGTATGGTACAGGTTTACAGGAAACAGCTGCAATTGCAACGGCAGCTTGGATGGATGCAGGAATAGTTAAAGAAAATGATACCAAATTGGTTATTGACCACAGCAAAGTCAAGAGAACTCAAGAAAAATTATGCAGTCTCTTTTTAGATAGTTTGATACTCAATGCAGGTCTATCATTATTGATTTTTTTTTTTTTTACGGCAGAATTGATAATACAAAAGTTCAAATAGTAGTTGAAGGTTCACCTAAATGTTATCCTGCTACAATCAAAGAGGAACATTATACAGTATGTCAAGAGCTCGGTGGTAGGTATCTTTTCCATTTCACACCTGAAAAAGTTCAATAACATATGAAACACGCTGAAGTAATTGCTCAGAATATATAAGAATTTTTTAAGAGTAATGGTGCCGATAAAAGATTAACAGCGATCAGTTGTGATTCTACTAGTGTTAACACAGGGTGGTCAGGCTGAGCAATACATTGACTGGAAGTAAAGTTAGGAAGAAAGCTTAACTGACTGCTTTGCGCCCTTCATACTAATGAACTTCCTCTGCATCATCTGATAACAACTCTTGATGGAGAGACTCTGAGCAGCATCAAATGGAGAGGCAGCATTGAAAAATTATTAAATGACACAACTGCTCTGGAAATAATTCCATCCTTTAAAAAAATTGATGTCGGAAAATCCGTTTATTATTCTAAAGGATAAAGTAATCAAAAATTTATCCTCTGATCAGTTTTATGGGTATAAAACAGTCTCGCTATTATAAGTGAAAATATACCCGCAGACTTGGCTTTACTTGAAATTGGGCTAGTTAATCATTCTAGATGGTTGAAAACAACCAACAGACTTTGCAGAGTTTGAAAAATCTTAAATTAATAATTGAGTTCATTGTTGGAGTTTACATGCCTATGTGGTTTAAAATTAAAGTCGAACACAAGTTTACTGAAAGACCGAGACATATTCTTTACCAGCTCAGCCTTCTGAAACATCAATCAAGTGAAGTAGTAGAAATTGTTATGCCAACAGTTCGACATTCAGCGTGCTATGCTTTCTCTGAGTGCATCACACAGATTATGCTCTGCTCAGAGAATGTAGAGGAAAGAAAGAACGGTATAGAATGAAAATCAGAGGTCCTGGTGATGAAAAACTTCAAACTGGTGATAAAAATGTGAGAGCTAGAATAACTCCAGAAATAAAACCTGATGCAACAACGCTTATACAGCTAATCGACAGGAATATATCCTATAAGCCTATTCTTACTTGTGATCTGACAACAGAAGAAGTAAAACAGATAATATTTCAACCTATGATTGTTCCAAATTGGCCTTGTCATGGACAGTCAATTGAAAGATGAGTTAAACAGGTGACAGAAGCAGCAATCAAAGTTTATTCTCAAGAAAAAAGAGATGGTTTTAAAAGAGGGCAGGACTTATCGAGAGAATTCATGTCTACTAATCGGTCAAAGAAAGATTTAATTTTAATGACAAAAAAAAATAGAAATGTAAATTTTATTTTGTTAAAAACAAATATATTTGCCTGTCAGATATATCATCAGATATATTTTGTTTTGTTATCGTCATTAATTTGTTATCACCATCAGATATATGTTATTTTGTTAAAAAATGATTATAAAAAAAATCTATTTTTACTAAATAAAAAACTAAATGGTAGAAAAATGATTATAAACGAAAACTATTATAAACATTTTAATAATAATAATTTTAAAAATTTGAAAAAAATAAATTTAAGCCGACAAAAATATACAACCACAAGCAAAAATTTGCTTAGTAAGATATTTTCCGCAAATTTGAGTGAATACTAAATATCGACTCCCGGTAGCTAAATCATTTCGGATTTTTAAATCTAAGCTTTTTTTAGTAAAATTATATATAAATGCAAGTTTTTAAAATACAAGGTTTTGGCACAGCCTTTTATCTAGGCTATATATGATTAATTGCCCAAACTTCACCCCTTGTTAAACCTAAAGTTGACCATAGGAATTATGTTCAACAACAACAAGATATTTATTTTCAATAAATCATTTTTACAATAGCTTAAAAAAATAATAATAACAATAATAATACATAATAATATGAGATAACAAATTTATTACAAATTATAGTAATAGTAATAATGTTTACAATAATTACAATGAAATAATATTAATAAATATTAAAATGGTAGTTTTAAGCATAAAATTATTTATAATAATAAGTTAATGATTTTTTAGGATGGTGTCACTCATACAGAAATCTGATCAAAATAGTGACAATAAATTTATCCTGGCCAGAATCGAGACTAACAGTTGATATATGATTATGAGGTTGTACAATAACTTTCTGGTACCATAATAAAAGTTTCAAATTTATTTAATTTTCATTTATGTTGTTATTTTGAAAGTCTTCTTGGCAATGCTTAGATAAAAGCAGACTAAAACTAACATGTTTTTGATAGATTACTGATAGGTTTAAAATTTTGCAAAAATCTATTTAATCTAGCCTTTAAAAGCACATGTGCTAAACTATTTATATTTTATAAATACTTTAATAAAAAAAACCTTCAATTGCTCAATCAGAAAGGTAAAAGTTGACAGCAAAATTAGGGAAATATTGAAAAATATAGAAAGACTAGATCAGGCAGAGGTAATAATCAACAGCAAGAGTAGAGAAAATGATAGAACTACTAATTTAAATCAGAAACCAACAACCATTTCAATGGAAATTATGTTTTAATTTGTTTAATTTTTTTTTTTTTTCAGTATGCTATTCTTCCTGTTTCATAACATATTTATGAAACAAAAAGAATAACAAAAAATGAAAATTTTAAAGATTATGTTTTTAAAATTAAGAACTGAAATTCCACATAAACAATAAAAATGGAACTTTGTTGAAAAAAGAGCAATTATGTGACTTCAAATATTGTTTTGATTTTGGACATGTTGAGGATTCACTTTATGCTATGTAGAAAACTTTGAAAGCTTCAGAACTAATATCCAATCTGAAATTCGCCATCCAATCAAGGCAAGTTCTGATTCAGATAAGCCTGCAAAAGGAAGCAAAGGAATTAACTAATTTTTTTGCATCTTTAAATGAATCCACAAGTGTTGAGACAAGTTGTGCTCATACCTTAAATAAATCTTAGAAAATAATTTTAGATTTAATGTACCATAACAAACTATTTATAAAGATATTATCAAACTTTATTGTTTTCAATGCCATGCTTTTTTTTTGCGAATGAAATTTATGGCTTAATGATTTTTTTTTTCAAAAATCTAGTCTGATTAATTTGCTTACCTTCAACAAATGATGTCATTTCAAGTATTGTTGTAAATGTTAAATTATGTAAAGTACTTTAAATATAATTTGCTTAAAATAAAATAAAAATAAACACTGTAAAAAAAAAAAAAAAAATCAAATTTTTAAATATTTTTGATAAATTTTATTTAAAAAAAAGATTAAATAAATGTCAATATTTTATACTAAAAATAGCTCATCAAATATTCCTCAATTCATCTCTATATATTATTGTAGAACTTAATAGTTTTAGTAATAGTAATAACCCTTTCGAGCGTGTTTGACGAAAAACTCTTTGCAGCTAAGCAAGTGGAAAGAAGTCACAGCACTTTTTTTAATAAGAAAATGTGAATGAAAGTGTATGCAAATATCTAACTTATGTAAACTTCAAATTATGTTAAAACATACTTAAACATGTATCAAATTCTACAGTTTCACTTTCACTTAAAAATTGCGGCAACATCTTAATTTTGATCTATAGCATTTGATTCTGTTTTATAAAACGTTTTTTTTTTTTTTGTTAAATAGTTTTAAAATTTGCATCAGATAACAAGCCTGCATGGAGTTGTTAACTCACAGAGTTTCTAAAGCAAAAAGCTGTGGTTCAACCGCAGCTTTTTGATTTAGAAACTCTGAAAACGTTTTATAAAACAGAATCAAATGCTATAAATCAAAATTAAGATCTACTACTGGCGTCTTTTTTTTTTTTAAATCTTTTTTGATTTTTCTAAAATATAAAATAAAACACTAAAGTTATAGATATTATATTCATAACATACATAAAGTTGTTATACACTATAACAAACAAAATGAAATTATATTTGTTATAGTGTATAACAACTTTATGTATGTTATGAATGAAATTTTCCTATTTATGAAATTTTCTTATTTATGTTATTGCACTTAAAAAAAACTGTTTTTTAATTCTTTTTTTAAAGTGAAAAAAACAAATTTTCCACTAATTTTCCACAGACAACTATTGTCTTATTCAGGTGGAAAATTTGAAACTTTGATTTTAGATTTGTCATGACTCTTTCCTCTCTTGATAATTTTTGTTTGCTAAAATTATGTCATCTTCTTAGTTCCGCCATTTGTATAGCGTTAGGTACAAACATCTATAAGTGTAAACCTATAAGTTGAGTTTGCCATATATATTGAACGATTGTGTATAATATATTTATTATTTGAGAAAACTTTAAATTTTTATTTTAACAACCAGAAGTTTTTTTGCTATATGTAATTTTTGGCTATAAATATATACAGCAAGATTAGGGTTGCCAGATGTCCAGATTTTACCAAGAAGAACACAGTAAAAAAAATTTCTACAGGCTTGGCGCTGAATTTTCTTCCGTAAAAGCCAGACATTTGGTAACCCTAAGCAAGATTGAAAAAATTTATTTTGTTTTGCGGAGGACTTGAACCCTCCGAAACAACATTAATGACAGCACACTAAACCACTGAGCCGTTGAAGAAATGCACCTAGAAGTAAAACAAACTCTTTTACAAATCTCTTATAAGCTCTACGTATGCAGAAAAGGTCCGCATTTTTTTGCTCTTAAAGCAATTTTTTAGAATAAATTTGTTTACTAAAAAATATTGAAGTAAATAAGGAATAAGTATATAAATGATTGGTTTTGAATAGATAAGAATAGAAATTGTCAGTTTGACAATTTCTATACTTATCTATTAAGACCTGTATTTTATGGTCTGGACTGCTAGGATATATAAATAAATAAAAAGTAGAAAATGTCTGTGGAATAGACTTACAAAGACCCATATTTTTACGGGTCCAGTCAGCAAGTAAATACATTATTTCTATAGAAGGAAAAAAACATAGTGATAAATAGACGAGACCAAACTAAACAATGTTCAGATAGTTTAAAGATGTAGAATATATTATAAAATAATCAGCTTCCTTTTTTCGTGAGAAGAAAAAACCTTAATTTTAAATAGCATTTGTGTAGCACTCTCCTACACAAAACGTAGGCTGTGGCATTTTATATAAAATTCAATGAAATAAGTAATACCTATAAAAAATCGAATAAAAAAAAACTAAAATGAGTGTTTTAAAATTAAAAGTGATTGTTAAAGGTTTTTAAGCTACATATGAGTGAATGTGCATGATTAAAACACTACATCTTGGCAGCTCACCTTTCTTTTACCGAAATAGCGCTAAAACTCACGTACAGCAATTTCAAATTCCAAAAAATATTTTCGACTATTTAAGTAAATATTTTCGATTATTTAAGTAAACCTTATTTCTCAGTAACCTTAGTAACAACCTAATTTACTGTTAACCTAACTTAGTTTAACAATAATAGCTTTAATGAAAATGACTTCACACGTGTTCAGCAAGTGGTTGGTTGAAATCTCCTAAACCATAAAAGTGTGAAATTACCTTAAATACTCGACTGGTTTCTTTATCTGGTTTCTAATTTTTTTATAACCTTTGGGATCGTCCATAAATTACGCAACAAAAAGCTTATTTTAAAAATATAAGTAGGAGAACATTTTGCTCTTTTAAGCGGCGGTTTTCGCTGGACTTAAAGGGTTATTTTTACATGGTTTAATTAAAGACTCTGCGAGGGAAAACTTTTAACACTTTTTCTTTTGTCTATTAGTTGAATTTTGCGTTACTTAATTTATGGACGATCCCTTTTATAAAGTATTTTAACTTTTATAAACTTGTTGTGAACTCATAATAATATTATTAATTGACAATAGTTTAACAGTTGTTACATTACAAACAGATTACAAACTGTGTGATAATCTCTCTTTTTATTTAAGTAAGACAATATTCTTTAATTATTTTTTTATTAATGTTTAGTTTTATTACATGCTTAAAATAAAATGTTGACAGATTTCTATTTCAAATAGCATATCACATCCAAAAAATCAATGAGTGATTTTTCAGATATTATATATTGTTTCAAAGTATAAAATTGCCACAAATATAAAAATTTGTAACTACAATTTAAGCAAGTTAATCTATACAGTTAATCTATTACACAATCTATAAGTTAATCTATTACACTAAATCACCATAAATTTGGAGTTTCAAGTTATTAAAATAAACTCTTACTTAAAATAAATTAAAATGATGTTGATGTTAACATAGGAATTAACTAAATTTTACTAATCAAAGGATCAGATATAAAAACCTTTTTCTTTTTCTAAATACTTTATTTTTTAAAAACTTAAAGTATTGTAATGATACTTAGTATAAATGTTGATTTGTGCATTTCTACTTCACAGACAAAACACTAATTTAAAAACGTGTCACAAATCTTTAATTGCTAAAAAAAAAATTATTATTATTTATAATATAAAGTCTATATATTATCATGTAATGTTCCAGGGACTTGCAAACATGATTTCTAAAACAGTGCAGTAATGAATACTACTGAAACAGCAAGTTGTCTCTCCTATCTATAAATCAATAAGACGCTGATTGTTTTATTTTTTAATGTTCAAGGAAAATAAACTTATATCAGGTACAATATAAAGTTTAATAAAAAAAAGTACCCGATAAAGAGAAAATTGACTAATAATAAAAATCTGTTGTTGTTAAAAATTTATGTTTTTTGTTATAGTATTAGTATGATGTAAATAACAAAATTGTATAAAAATTTCAGATCTAACTAAAAAATAAAAAAAAATAAGTCAAATACCAAACATAAAGTTAGTCTACATAAAATTACATGAATACATTAAAATTATATGTATATATTAAAACTTGAACAACTTACAACTACAGCTTTCAAAACCTCAGTAGTAATTGAAGGAAGAACCTTTTCAGCATAATCTTCGCCTAAACTCATGTATATCTTAGGAAGTTCAGATGCTTTCGGTCGAAAAAGTATTCTGAGAGTTATATTGACATTTTGTAAATCTAAACATAAAAAGTATATAGAGGTTTTAGATACGGGAAAGTAAATGTAGTCTTTATGCTATCATTAGGTAAGATCAAGCATAAAAGATGAAGATACAAATATTTTAAAAATTCAAATAGCAAAAATCATAACTTTTTATCTTGATGGGTATGCTAAATATTAACCAAAGATTTTATCAAAAAGGATTTATCCAGAAGTAAATTTGATTAAAAAACTGAATGCAATATACAATCATAAAAAAAAAAAAAAAAAAAAAAAAAAAAAAAAAAAGTTAGATTAGAAAAGATTTCACTAGACAATAATTGCAATATTTAGATATTAATTTATAGCTTCAAAATTATGCTTTAACAAATATTTTTGTTAAAGCATAAAACTAAACCAGGATTTGAAGAAATTTCAGGTGATAGATTTTTAACAAAAAACAAATTATAATCTCCATATTAATACTTTCTTTGTTGTGCTTATGCCCACACTATTATTGTAACTTTTATCTAAATATCAGTTTTCAAAAAAGATTTTTCTCTTTAGAACACATCCTCTTTATAAATAATATATATCTGGGCCATGGTGGAGTATTACCAAAGTAGCGCAGATCTTTTTTGAATCATAAAAAGTAAGTTCCTCTTTTAAGGCAATTTTGGTGGATCAAAAACTTAGCTAAACCAACACAATCAATTTAAACTTTGAAAGCAAATACAAAACTTTTATATATTCTTTTCATCAAACATCGTTGATCTCTGACTTAAAGCTTGCGACTTAAATTATTTCCCATACATTAGTTTACTGTTACTTCAATGTATACTGCTTAATTTTAAATAGCATTTTTGGGATGTGTTTACACCAAAACCAGGTTACAAATGTCTTTCAATAACGCAACAATGATGATCACCTCTGCTTTAATCACAAAAATAAAATCTCACATTTTATGCAAAAGATGAATTACTTTATTATCTTGACAATGCTTTAGTAAAAGATTGGAAACGATTCTTTAAATATTGGTTGAAAATTATAGCTTTCCTTTTTTTTCTAACCACATTGACAACTTGAGCTTTATTATATTTTTCGAATTTTTTGTTTTCTTATATCATTTTTAATTTCCTTAAAAGTGATTTCAATAATTATATTAAACTTTACACAAAAAATGTTTATATAAGCAGAAATACGTCTATTCCACACAAATATTTTCTATAATTTTTCCTTATATATATATATATATATATATATATATATATATATATATATATATATATATATATATATATATATATATATACATATATATATATACATATATATATACAAATAGTATTGCGTACTAAGGTAAGCAATCTGACGTCATACTAAAATAGCCTGCTGCTAGGGGCTTCAGTACATACATCGACTGACAAATAGCCTGACTCGCAGTGGAGTGCTGCTACATTGACTGAGGGTTTGGGATGGGGCAGCAATCGTTTCATTCATCACTCTTCGTTTTTTTCTTCTTTTTCTAAAAAAGCCGTATGGGTTAAGGTAAGCAAAAAAAGTGAGCAAATGCTTATAAAAATACGTTTTAGTAAGTGTGTGTGTATATATATATATATATATATATATATATATATATATATATATATATATATATATATATATATATATATATATATATATACATATATATATATATATATATATATATATATATATATATATATATCCTATCTGTGCAGACCTGTAAAATATGGGCCTTCACTAAACCAAACAATTCTATACTTATCTATTCCACACAGAGCATTTCTATACTTATTCCTTATTCACTTCAATATTTTTTAGTCAATGGTAGGAAAATAATTCTTATAAAAATTGCCTCAAGAGCAAAAAAACTGCCTAAATTTTTTTTTTCCTGGAATAGACCCTGTACATGCATAAGTTCCATAACTCAGTGGTTTAGTGCACTGTCATTGGTTTTTTTTGCAAGGATTAAAATCTACCCCTTAATACAAAACATCTTTAATTTTTAGTCTTGCTGTATATAATTTAGGTGATGGCATCATTTTATTAAAGTTAAAGTTAAAAAGGTAATTTTTTTTATTAACAAAACCCCATATAAATTCAGGGATTAAATCATTAAGAAATTTAAAGAAACATTTGAAGAAACAGTGAATTTCAGACAAAAAGTTATTGTTTAGTTTTAAAACATAGATAATTAAAAAACACAAATCAAATTTCTTATGGACTGTGTGAGAAGTGCTTTTATATAAAAAAAAAATTATGTATAAAAAGCAAAACTCCAAAATAAAATTAATTGGGGCCATTTTGTATAACAATTATTAGTGATACTTAAAAAAGTTTTTAATAATAGTAGTTTTTAAAGCCTAAAATTGTATTAAAAATAATACAAAAATAATTACTAATTTAAATATTATTAAGCAAATATTTATAATGCAACTGAAATAGTGTATATAAACTATCATCTCATTCTCATCTCAATCTTGTGTTAAATAACTTGCTACTTATTAAGTTACATTTAGCACTGGTCATTATATATTGCTGTAATGACCATATAAGAACTCAAACAGCACAAGAAAAATGTTTATTTTTATTGCAAAAAATTCCCCCCTGCCCAAAAATATTAGGATGTTCTACTGTACATGACCTGAAAAAAACTACTGCATACATTATTGAGTTTATTTCAACTGATTTAAATTGCAAATTGTGTTAACCATAAAATATTTGCAGATTAAATAATTTACAAGCTTCAAAAATAAAAGTTTAAAAGATAATTATCTCAAAGATAAAACTTGCAAAAATTATACATAACAACTTCATCAATTTAAATTTGCACCCCAAAAATATTTACCTTTGCTGCCAGTTATTACAGGAATATTTCTTGGTTTGCTGCGAATATCAAATATAATTGGACGTTGAACCATTGGAATCAAAAAATGTGTTCCTTCATCGGATACTTCAGGGAGTACACCCCTAAACCGATCAAATAAGACGGCTCTATGACCACCATCAACTAAAAAATACAATTAAACCAACAATGAATAAATGATTACTATAAAAATGACTATTATCAAAAAATCTTTTATTATCAAAAAAATCAAAACACCAAGCAAGAGTATATATATATATATATATATATATATATATATATATATATATATATATATATATATATATATATATATATATATTAGGGTGCATCACAAAACAACAATTTAACAATTTAGATTTTGTCTGACACCTTATTGTAATGTGTAGATTAGAAAAACACTGTATTTCAAATATTTTGGTACTAAAAATATTTTTAGAGGTCCCACAACACCCTTGAATATTTAATGTATCCCTAATATTTTCAAAAAAATAGTTTTTTCAAAGTAGGTCATGTTTGGTCTTAAATGAAGCGAAATTTTATAAAAAATGTTAAAATAATAAGTATTTTATAAAAAAAATGTTTCTTCAGATTTTTCTGCCATATGACATGTCAAATAAAAAAAAAGTGCAATTTTTTTGTTATTTTGTCAGAAAAATCAAAAGTAATAAAGAAAAACCAAAAAAATATTTTTAGTACCAAAATATTTGAAATACAGTGTTTTTTTAATCTACACAACACAATAAGGTGTCAGACAAAATCAAAATTGTTAAATTGTTGTTTTGTGATGCACCCTAATATATATATATATATATATATATATATATATATATATATATATATATATATATATATATATATATATATATATATATATATATATATATATATATATATATATATTTGTGTGTGTGCGTTTCAAATATGCAATTTTGTAATATATTTTGTGCACTTTAATTCTTAAAATATGCACTTTAAATTGTCATGAAAAGAAAAAACAAAGAATATTGAAAAAATTTATTGCTACCACAACCCATACCCTCAGACAATGCAGCATCTTTTCTCTAAATCAATCAATGTATTTACTGGTGCCATTTAGCTCCCTTATTTCAGTACAACCTAGTACTGCATTTATTTGCATTTTTATTTTTATTGCACACACACACACACACACACACACACACACACACACACACACACACACACACACACACACACACCCACGTATATATATAAAAATGATAAATTTTATTCATATCATCATTTGTAAATCTTTAGTCATATTGAATAAGAACAAGTATATTATGTGTGGAACCAGACATTGAAAATAAAAAGTTTAGTATCTTTTAACCCTGAAAACAATAGTTTTCAACATGATAAAACAATATTAATGAAAACAATAGCTTTTTTGTAAGTAAATATTTTCTAATATAAAACCAAAGAAATATCTCTAATAAAATAGTAATTCTATAATTACACTCTAAAATAAATATAAATACATTACAAAAATCACTTTCCAGTTTTTTTAAAACTCTGATTTAACCAATAATCAAAAATTTTGAATCGCATACAAATGATTTTAAGTTACATAATAGAAATATTACTAAAATGTTAATAATATTAAAATATAACGCTAAATTTTTAACTACAAATTCAAAAACATGGTTCGTAACTATTTTTGAACAAGTTTAATATCTAAATGTATGGTTTCTCATTTTTTTTGGAGCAAATTTAATATTTTAAAACGTGGTTTCTAATTATTTTAATAATGTAAAAAGTAATAACTTGATTACTTTTTGGAATATTGATAAGTAATTACTTTAAAAACCGTCAAGCTGATTTTTTTTTAATAAGTTAAACTTTAATCATTTATTATTGTCTAAATTATATATATATATATATATATATATATATATATATATATATATATATATATATATATATATATATATATATATATATATATATATATATATATTATGTATCTATAAATTTTACAAATATAAATACATATAAATATATGCAGAAACTGAAATTTAAGTCTGCTTCTTAATCATTAATTTTAAGGCATTAAATTGGGTAGAAATACTAATACTAAACACAACACACCATTATATAAAGCATTGTTAACTATGCCACCAGTAATGGCTAAACCAAGTCCAAGTTTGGTTAATTTATTTAAGGCCATTGATATTTTGTAGGAAGCACTGGTTTCACTCGTGCGCACTCTTCTCGTACGGCCTAAAACTTTTTTATTGCATTATTTAAAAGTTATTGTCTTAAACAACTTATTAAGTTTTGAAAATAAAGCTCAGCATTTTAAATAGTTTTTAACCATTTTAAAAGTAACAAAAAATCATTTAGATAATAACCAAATAGAAAACAATAGGACTAAAAAATTTGATCCTTCTTTGAAAATAGAAGCCACAATTAAGAAAAATTATAAATTTAATTCTAATATTGATCTTCACAGAGGCAAAATTGTTACATTACTATTTAATAGATTTTGCTTTTACAGTCACTTTTTGAAATACGTAAGAAAAAACATACTCATAAAATTAAACAAAAATTTTAAGTAGCTCTCTATACACTAAACGAAATTCCAAAAAATAACTGTCGAGCCCAAAATTTAAAAATAAATTTTTTGTTTTTTCTTTGAGAAAGAGAGCAAATTTCATACAAAAACTTTATAAGGAAATGTTTTTTTACAAAAAATCAACTACCATTTTAAGATTATTTGTGCATTTTTGAGGTTAAATGCAAGTAAATACGATTTCAATATCAGCAACCCCCGATTTTGATATGTTCTTTAAAAGTGTGTCTTTTAAATGGTCAGCGGTCGTTTAACGACCCATGCTCTAAAACTTGTTCTTTGCCTGAGCTTTCTTTCTAGATCGAATTGCGTCGCAGACATGGTAAAATTTTAAATCTACCATGATTATGTTTAAAACAATATATTTCCTATAAATAATAACAGCGTTCGCTATATTTTTTCTGGGTTTGACATTTAATTCTTGTATTGGTATTTTTTAATTTGTTTTCTGGTATTTTTTTAAAATAATGCTTTTATGATGACTTTTTTATCTTCACTTTGAACTGAATCGTCATGTCGATTTTTTTTATCTGAAAAGCATTAATATTGTTTTTAATTAAATTTTTTTGAGTGTGTATAAAATCTAACATATATAAATCCATATTCATTAAATGAATGAAGTGTTCTACGTGAATTTTTTTTAATACTGGACTTAATGATATTAAATTTTTGATTTAACTGTGCGTTATCCTAAAGATTTTTTAAATGTTTGAAGAATTATTCTGATTTCTGTTAAATCTTTTATATCATTGATAAAAAAATGTAGGAAATAAGAGTTATAATCTATGTTTCTCTACATCTTTCTTTACCTTAATATCCAATATCAGGTAGAGGACAGTTAGAGATAAATTAAATGAAACATGTACACTGTATTTTTCTATTAACTAAGTTCTACAGTTCAATTTGTTTCATATAAATTATAAGATTTGCTTACCAGTCTAAAATATTGTACGATTTGAATTTTAAAATATGCATTGTAATTTATTTAGACTGTCAAGCGAAGGAATGGTGGGCGTAACAAAAGTGGTCGTGGTCATGTCAGAGCAGTAAGATGTACAAACTGCGCTCGATGTGTGCCTAAAGATAAAGCCATTAAAAAGTTTGTTATAAGAAATATTGTTGAAGCTGCTGCTGTCAGAGATTTGTCTGAAGCCAGTGTTTATGATGGTAGATTTTTTCAAAATCAAAATTACTTTTTTTATTTACTTTGTTTTAGTACTAGCACTTCACTTCAGTTCTGATTTCATATTTTAAGTATTGCTATTTTTACATTGTGGTTTTTTAATTAAGTTTCTTTCTATGCACTTGATTTTGTTATTAAAATAAAAATACTAAATGATTGAGGCTTTTATAAATGCATTAAAGTCAAAATATAAAGCAAAATAATTAATAAAAATAAAAAATAATTAATTAAAATAAATGAAAAATATAATAGCGATAATTTTTTTAGTTTCATGACTAATTGTTGTTCACTTACAATTGAAATTTAAAATAACCCCTGATTAAACACCCAGGTTAATTCATCTACACTTTTAAACACCATAAATAATCCCTATATAAAATAATAATTGTTTATTAAATATATTAGGTAATCCTACAGTTACGCGGCCTAAAATAATTTTATTTTTCCGCTTGTCAGTAGAGGCTTTACAAACAAAAAGAAATAAAATTGAAATAATGAAATAAAAAATTCAAAGAAAAAAGATTGCTTTCCCATGCCAACCCTCAGTCGATGTAGCAGCATTTCCTTGTTGCAGCAGGCAATAAGATAGTCAATGTAGCAGCACTCCATTGCAAGTCAGGCTATAAGATGGTCGATGTAGCAAAACCCCCTGGCTAAAATTATTTTAGGCCGCGTAACTGTAGCTTTACCATATATTATATATTTAAAATAACAAAATTATAAACAAAATAAGAAAATGTTGAAAATTGTTTTTATTTTTTGACCAGTGTACATAGATAAAGTTTTTTTACTTGTTACCTTTTAGTTCACCTCCTAAATTAGTGCTTATTTTGATAAGAAATTTAATAAGTTGTATCATCCTAATATATTTGTTACAATATTTAACCCTTGATCTCTAAAGCACTATATATTTTTAAAATACATATTAAATAGATACTTTAGCACAGCAATTTGTTTGATATCTTAACATAAAGTCATAGTTTTAAAAATTCCTTTTACTTTGATGAGAACAAAGATTGTAGTTTCCATAATATATGACTTTTTTTAGTAATTTAAATGTAAAAATGCTTTTAGATAAAAGTCTAATGTGTATTAATTTCTTGACCAAATTCCTGTTTACTGACCAGTTAATTTTATGAAATTAATATGATAATCAACTATTGAGCTTTGAAATAGAATGAAACATTTCGTTGTTTAAAATTGCTTTAACTCTTCCATAGTGTCATACTTGTTATAGGCACCTGCAGCTTTATAAGTTTTTAGAATAAAGTTTATATATATATTTTTGTAATTTCTAGTGTAGTTAGTAGAGCATAATGTTTTCACGAGTATGCTATAATTATTGATTAATATTCTAGAATCAGGCTTTCACAGAAAGTCGTGCGATTTTAAATCTTTATATGACCACGCAAAAAAAAATGTTTTAACAATGTGGCCATGGCATATTTTTAAAATTTAAAAACGCGCTACAAAAACTTACCTAAACTTATCTGAAAAAAAAAATTTTTTATAAAGAAAAATATTAACAAAAGAGAAAATTTAAAAAAAATACTTGGTTAAAGCAAAATACAAAAAAATATGTATATATAACGCAATTAAAACAAAGCTTGTCAAACTAAAATGCTTAGTCTATTTAATTTACTTATTAAAAAACCATTTCAATCTTTGTTTCAACATTTTTATATATTTTTTATTTGTTTAATATGTTCAAAAGTTAAAGATTTCTCATAAAAAGTACATAGTTATATAAATAAAATAAAAATACATTTTATAAATACTTTATTTAAATTAATTAGAAGTGTTGTTTTTTTTTTACTTCATTAAAAGTGTTTCGATAATATAAAAGCATTTAAGATCAAACTTTTTAAGTTGTAACCGTTTTCTAAAACTTTTTTTTAACAAAATCTTATCTTTTTAAATGCATTAACTTTAATCATTCTTATATTTAAATTTCTTAAAGAGATTTTTGCAGTCGTAGAATGTCATCGCTTATAAAAACAAAACAATTTTTTATTTTTTAATAAGATTTATTTTAGAAATGAACACTTAAACAATTTATGTTTCAAATTAAAAAAATATATACAAGTGTCAATTATATTTAAAAGACAACTTTTTTGCTGTAAGTTGTCACTTTATTTAAAATCGTTTCACTAATATAAAAACATTTGTTAAGAGGTTTTGATGTAATTCATTTCACTTTTTTAGAATATTTTTTATTTAGCGCATTTCTAAAATGTTTTTTGAATTAGCTGTGGTCAAACCGTCATAGCTGAATGTAACTTGTGTGGTCATATAGGCGTTAAATTGCACATCTTCCTGTGAAAGCCTGAGAATCCTAATTTTTTTCGATTAGAGTCATAAAATATTGATTTATCAAATTAATAGCTGAATTATTTGAATTAATAAAATATTGTGATCACCTTGTTAATTAAATTTGTGCATTTAGCTTTTATAATGGAAAGAAACACTCTTTTTAATCAAGCTTAATGCTAAATAAATTTCTGATCTCCACCCTGGTCTCTGCAGTATTAGATTAAGAACCAGAACTAAATCAACAGAAAACAATGTTTTATTTAGTCTAAGTGGTTATCTTTTTTAGTATCTTAATCACAAATAAGAAACGAAAATTTATTCTGTATTTTAGGTGTATTGGTATAATATAACTGTTTTTTAAGGGACAAGACTTTGATTTCATTATTGCTTCAAAATCATTCTCTGGACTGTTAAAACCATTTTATATATTTTGCTTTTGATAGAGCGTGATCGCCATATGCCTCCATTGCGACTCATTGCAGCGCTTCAGATTTGCTTTCTTGTAATCATCTCTTTAGTCAAAAACTTGGCATTTCTAACATAATAAAATGTTGTTTGTTAATGACTTGATGGCCAGGTGAACAAAAAAAGGAATTGCTCATTCTCAGTAATTGGCCATCTTTACGTAAATTAAAGCTTCAACAATTTTGGTTAAGTTTTTATTTATGTAAAGCTGACCAATTACTGAGTAAATTGCTTAACTTTATGTAAATAAAAATTTGTGCACAACTGCTGGAATTTTTATTCACATATAACTGACCTATTACTGAATAAAAGTAATTACTTTTTATTATCTTAATTTTTTTTTTTTTTTTTTTTTTTCGTTCACCCGGCCTAATGTTTTTTAAATGCTTACTAAATGTTATACCAACTAAACAAAATATTAGGTCCTGTTCACTAAATATTCCCTATTGATACATTTATATCACTTCAGTACATCTGGTATATTCAAAATCCTATGTGTATTTTTCAACTATTTTTTCAATTTTTCTAAAAAAAAATTTTGTTAATACAAATTTAAATGTGTATTTTTTAACTTCTTAAGTTGTTAGCCCCATACATAAAATAAGAACATTTCGAAAATGTGTGAAAACCATCTTGAATCAAAATTAAGGGTATTAAATTTCAGTAATAGTAATATTTCACAATAAGTGTTAAATTATTTAATTTAACAAGTTTACAAGTTCTCACGATTAACAAGATGGTAAGCTAAAAAATCAAGAATTAAGTTTTTTAGCTTACTGTTTTTCAAAAAATTACACGAATACTCTTAATTTTCTTAAATATTTTGCTAATTTAAGGTAAAATAAAAGTAGAAAAAAACAGACAGCTTATTACTATTATAATATCAATCACAGTATAAATTAAGTTTTATAAATTTATACATTTTTAAAATTTTATTTTGTTTGAGTCAATTTGTTGTGTACTAAACAAGGTTATAGATACCATGTTTATGCTATGCATTTATTTCTTTAAATGAAAAGAAGTTATCTTTTTGTTAGAGTTGAATGCTAAATAAACTTCTGATCTCCACCCTGGTTGCATCACTTAATTGGGAACCAGAACTAAATCAACAGAATATAATTATTAGTTTTAAAATAATTTTTAAGTTCTATTTTATTTAAATGTGAATAATGATATTCACCTTTGTTAAAATTGTTTTATAGATGTCTTATCGCAATAAAAAATCTTTTTTATTACAGCTTACTTATTGATCTCTCCTTCCATAAGTTAAACTCACAATATTACTAATTGTTTTCCAGGCTTATGAGGTTTTTTCGAAAGGTTGTTGGGAAGTTTTTACATTTTTTTTTTTAACTTCTTTATTCCTCTCATAGAGGCTGTATAATTTTAAAGTAATGTTTTCTGACTTACAAAATACATTTCAAAACTTAGTGTGTGAAAAGAACTGCATGTTTTTCTTATTTTTGATTTCTTTTTTGTAAATTTTAAATTAATTCAAAACCATTACAAACATGTTGATCCAATTATTACCAACACCAAACCTGATCTTGTGTACTGCATAAAAAACTAATTCAACTTTATTGCATTAAGTTTTTTAAATAGAAAAGAGTTGCTTTTTTATTCAAGCTTAATGCTAAATAAACTTCTGATCTCCACCCTGGTCACAGTACTTAATTGAGAACCAGAACTAAATCAACAGAGAACATGTCAGTTTAACATTATTGATATGGTTTGGATTGTGTTTTTCCGTTGGTAATAAACTAATTTCTTTATTTTAAACTAATTTTTTTATAGTCTCTTAATTCTTATTTTATAATTTTGTAAGTCTTTTCTAAAATTAAAAGATATTTGTAACTGCTTGTTTCATATGTTCAATAATAGTATTTTTAATTAATTTTGTATGATTACTTATAAAAGGTTATGCATTGCCTAAACTCTATGCCAAACTAAGCTATTGCATTAGTTGCGCCATACATTCAAAGGTTGTACGTAATCGTTCCAAAGAAGATCGCAAAATAAGGACTCCACCTCCTAGATTTGGTTTAAGAGTACGTTTTGTTATTTTGATATATATATATTTTTTAATTATTTTTAATTGTTTTCATGATTAATTGAGCTTTATTTACATTTTATAAATTTAGCCGGAAAATAAACGTACACCTGGGCAACAACGACCTAATATTGCCGGCGGAGTTCCTATGAAGAATTAATTAGTGAAATATATTGTTTAATACACTAAGCATTTTTTATTTATTATCGCATGTGGAGTGTTAACTCGGTTTAATCTCGTTGTCTTAAAACTAAATTTTTACCTACAAATCTTAAGTCCAAGGTCCTAAAATAATACTGATTTCTTTTAATTCGTCTCAATTCGATACGTGTCAGGCTTGTAATTTTTGATCTAAAATCCTTAAATATTTTTTAGATAATTATTTGTGTTGGGTTTTCCATCTTCTATTGATCTAAAGAAAATTCTTTTAATATAAAGCTTTTTTAGTATTTAGATTGATAAAGGTTCAAATCTGTCGTGGCAATTTAAAAAAAAGTGTAAGAAGTTTAAAAAAATTTATTTTTATTCGTTATTTTTTTTCAAAACAAAGATGGTTGAGTTCCTTTTAGGAAAACGCTCTTTAATTGCCTGTGGTTGGCTGATAAAATTTTATATCAGTTTATTTTAACTCACTTTAAGGTATAAGACCCCTCAAAAAAGAAATTATTAAAAGAAGTTTTTTAACAAAAAAACAATTTTATCTTGAGAAACAACTAGATAAAAGGATTTAAAAAAATACAAAATAAATCTATTAATTGTCATGGCTACCAAGCAAAATGGCCGACATTTAATAACATTGATCTACAAACTGAACTAAAATTATTTAAAAAAACTTAGTACTTGACCTATAATGAAATTTTCAAAATGGCGTCCTAAAATTATGATTTTTTTGTAACTTGAAACTTCTATAAATCAAAAACTCTTGATTGCATTAAAAAGCTTTTAGTTCCAATTGTACAACCAGATGCAATTAACATTTAGTGAAAATTTCATACAAATTTAACTTACGGTTAATGAGATAGGATGGCTGGGAGGTCAAAAATTTACATTTTGAGAAAAACTCGTTTGAATGTTATATTCATAAATTTTCATAATATTTTCTCTCGTATACTCAATTGAAAAACTTTTGTTCATATGAACATGAACCAGGGTCATAAAGACATCCTTCTTGATCATTCTCTGCATCATCCTTTTTGTTTTGCATCCACGAATAACTTTTCGTCGCTTTTTAGATGTAATCCGATTTTGATATTCTGCAAAAATTAGGCGCTTTTTGTTCATGGTTGAACAGCCTTGGAGAGTATAAATACCAGGAATCATATTCAACTTTTCAAACAAAAGTATGCTTTCTTTTCTTCCAATATTAAAATTTGAAACAGCATCATAAACTCCTAACTCCAACTGCGTTAATGAAACATACTTTGTTTTAGGTATGCGCTGCCATATCATTCCATTAAAACTTTCATTCTGGTTTTGGGTTTTACCATGAAGGCATTTTTTTAAGAGTTCTTCTTGAGATAAATCTATATATATAGGCTTTAGATGACTGACAACTGAGAGTGGAAGACCTGCACCTGGCTTGTAGGTAGACGTTAAATTAGCTTTACCCTGTTTATAACGACACCAACTATTGATGCCATCTGGGTAATGAGCATGCCAATTATTTTCAGCTGATGATGAAACATGAAACAATGTTGCAAGTATGGCCTTTTTCATACCTTCTAAATCATTGGCATTTTGCCTAACAGCAATTCCATAGTAGTTTTGTAGGCGATCAATAATAGCATATGTTAATTTGCCTTTGCCTCCAAGTCCTTTTACATTTATTTTCAAAATTCGCAATCTGCTACCAACACGTTTCTGTACATGTCCAACACACTCCAACTTACACACTGTTATACCAGGATAAGTATCTTTAACATACGAATAGCTTTTACAATCACCGTCACCATAATACTTTACATACCTCAGTTTATTTTGTGAAATAGAACGGCTAAATATTCTTTGAGCACCAGTTACTTCCATTCCAGGAGCAGAGCCACGATAATTTAGTTTACATACATGTGATGATTTCCAAGCTTCAAAGGCATTTGGGTTATTTTCTTTAAGTTTTAGTTTTAAACTACATGCTTTACATGATTGACTCATTGGTTCACAATCAAGAATTTTACCTGTGTCCATTGATATAGCAGTAACCACTCCATTTAATGAAGAAAATCCACGACGTTGCCAGCTACCATCAACTGATACTGCAGTATCAACAATATTTGAAGAATATTGACAAATATCTTTAACAGCGTCAGACATTGTTTCTTTTGCAACAACTTTAGCACAATCAGAGACATGTTGAATTATTTTGTTGTAATTGTTCTTAGTCATTGGTGTAGGAATGTTCATTAAAGAAGTAAATTTTTCTAGTCCTGAATAACCTTGACCACATGCACGCATAGAATAAATTATTCTATTATTTACATCAAAATTTTTCTTCCCAGAGCATGTCTTTGAAGTATAAAATTCAATTTTTTTGCTGCAATTAGGGCAGCATATATTCAACATCGAGCTAAAACCTTTTTTTTTAGGAAAACATTCTTCAAGGAATAATCCAGATTGTAAACAATTTTTGCAACATAATTGACTTATTACACCAGATAAAATTTCAATGTCAATAATACGATAACCAACAGTTTTATTATTACTTTGATGTGGTGTTTCAATTTTTTCAATTTTTTTCGAGGATATAGATAAATCTAATGAACTATTATTGAAAATAAGGTCATTTTCAGAACAGGTAACATTGTTATTAACAGGAGCTACTGATAAAGTTGAATTGTTTGTCAAATTTTTGGTATACCTATTTCTATGAAATCGATTTTGGATTTTTTACTTTGAGTACTTTGTTTAACTCTGCATAATTTACCCATTATTGAAAAAGTTTATTAAATAACACAAAAATAACTAAATAGCTGGCAATTCTTATAAAAAACCCGTTGCTATGCGTGTTGCTAAGCAGATCAAATTTACCCAGTTGAAGGAAACCTTTTATATCTGAAGAACTAAGCCTTATTTTTAAAAAATGTTTTCAAATTCGGATTCAGCGATAAATTTCGTGTAAGAAATACACAAATTATTTTTTTTGAATTTTTTAGGAATTTGGAGGGGTCTTATACCTTAAGTGGGAGGCCGAATAAGTGCGAAGCAGCTCCAATAACTGGCATAAGTGCGCCGAACGAATTTACAAACATTAGCATAAGAGCGAAATAACAAACATCACTAATATTTTAATCGGCGCACTTATGTCTTTTCTGTAACTGCTTCTCACTTATGACATTTGCGCTTATTCAGCTGTCCTAAGTTAACATTTAAAGTCGTATCTAAATCAATCAAACTCCTCTCCCGAAGTAGCGTAAGACGTGTTTCACAGTTTTAAAACGTACTCAACCTCCTTAAACAGTGTGTCAAAAGTTAAGATTCAGAACATGCCATAATCCTAACCCTGCTTTAAACAAGTAACAGCTTGATGTTTAAATTTTTTTAAAGAATTCAAATACTAACTAGTTGCAGCTGTGTTTCTAATGGAATTAGTGATTCAATCAACTTTTAAAACTTCTACTCTTGACTTGGTTCCAGCATTTAACAGCTGCCCAGTTTTTCAATTGCTTAAAGAATTTTTTATTTGACCGCGAGATAAGGTATTGAGGTATTTTCAACAATAACTCCTCAAATTCATTCTAATTTTGTGTGGGTCTTATTAAACAACAATTACACAATGAGTTTCTCATTGTGTATGATTTGTGAAAGGAACAAATCAAATTGGATTTCGTTTATCAGCGTCATACTGTGATGGGTTTCACATCAAGTATCAATTTACTTGGGACAATAGAATGCCGATTCTCTAAAGATTTTAAACTGCCCTGAAAGTCTCACAAGCTATTCTGCAAAAAATATTAAAGCAAATTGCCCCAAAAAAATTGTTTTTGCTAAACCAAGCAGAGATCAGTAGGAAGAATCAAGTACGTTACACATTACATCAATCACATAACCTGCCAGGGTGAATTCAACAGGATTGAATCTCAAAGAGAATAATAAACATTATAATTACTGGGATTCAGGCTCCTTGTAATACGGGTCATAATAATTCTTTGTTTCTCACTCTACTGTTTGATCTTTATACTATTTTTATTTGATGAATTTGTTAGAAAAAAAACCCTATCGTGTATATCAAGTGAAAAAATATCCTATAAAGAATTTAGCCAAGCTCTGACTAAGCTAAAGCGAAATAAGTCATGCGGATATGATGACATTACTAGCTATGTAGCAATACACATCATTGAATGTATTAGAAAACCCTTATTTCATCTAATATTGTCTTCTTTTGAACACAGTACTTTTCCTGATATATTAAAAATTGCTTAAGTCAATCCTGTTTATAAAAATGGAGATTGTAATAATGTCTAACTACCGTCTAATTTCCCTCCTACCAGTGTTCTCTAAAGTTTATGAAAAAGTAATCTACAATCGAATATATAATTATTTGAAGTTAAACAAACTTTTATATGAAAATCAATTTGATTTTCAAAAAAGTTGCTCAACAGAACATCCTATCAGTGAACTTACTAATATAATATTTCAATTTTTTGATAAAGGGGATCATGTACTGGGAGTATTTATAGACCTTTCAAAGGCATTTGATTTAAAATCGATGTTTGGAATACTGAACTAGAAAACTTTAATTTATGGTTTAGAGCAAATAAACTATCCTTAAACTGTGAAAAAACTAACTACATCTTATTTCATAAAACAGGTCAATCAATATCTCTACCGTCAAAAATTCCAGGATTGCTCATTAACAACATAAGAATAAAACGCAAAAAACATGCAAAGTTTCTTGGTGTTCAAATTAAGTACCTTAATAGCCGCTCAAAATAAAAATATTCAAAGTCTCGAGTTAAACGTCATTGTAGTCGGTCTTAACAAGTCTAGTACAGTAAACAATAAAAAGCTTGTTGAGAATTTTTTTTTAAACAACGGAATTGAAGGATGCTACTGGTATTGTACGTGTTAACCGCATCAAAACAAGTAACAACAAAGTAAAGATGTCAAACTCGAACATTATCCACGTTTCACTATCTAATCTTTCATCTCGAACTGAAATACACAAAACATGCGCCCACCACAAGCAAGAGACATATAAGGGTGTCTACGTTCGCGAAGACCGAACGCCAGAGCAACAAACTGAGTTTAACGCCACTCGTACCCAGCTCAAGAAGCTAAATGACGAACTTGCTGCTGCTAACATTCTAGATAAACCGTTTTGGAATGTTATACATTGAAGGACAGGTCGCATCAGTTGCATCAATGTCATCGAATCAACGTCCAACCAGTGCTATGTGTTTGCATCCCCAGCTAGAGCCCTGGCTGACTACGCCAATTGAAGAGCCGCTCCTAAATCAGAAATCTCTACTGCCATCTAGACGTCCTAGACTAATATCTAATGCAAAAATAAAGCCAAACTCTTCCACTGTTCCACCTAGCCATTTACGCTACTGGGCAAACAACCCATACTCACTCAATAATAAGAAATGCCAAGAGCTGTTGGCCAGACTCTCTGCTCTGCCTAAATCTAGTTAGCCATAAGTCATATTTTTTGCGGAAACTTGGTTCACAGTTTTCTCAGACGTTGCCATACCCGGCTACCAACCTCATCGCAAAGACAGAGAAAATAGGGGTGGTTGAGTTGCTATTTACACAAAAGACAATATTATAGTCAATGAAGTTAATTCTACTCAGCTCAACTCAACATCAATTGAGCAAATTTGGCGAAAAATAAAAATGGGCGAAGAATCGTTTCTCCTCGGCTGCATATATCGTCCTCACGACCTAAATGATCAGGTTCTACTCAGTGTATCACATCGATCACGGCCGCTCGGCATATAATGCCTAATATAAACTGCTCGACAATGTTACTATATGGAGATTTTAATTTCAGCCATACATCTTATGAGTCTATTGAAGTTAACGGTGGCATTGCAACAGTTGCCCACATGAGAGATGAGTATCAGGTTTCAAAAGTGCCTTGATGAATGTCACCTAACTTAGCTTGTCACATTCCCAACATATCGTAGTAGTCGACACGTCGAGCCCACTAGCATATTTGATCTGATCATAACAAGCAAACCAGACAAGTGCCATCTTCATCGAACAAGGTGATTCTCTCGATAACACAACAATGGGCCAGGCACACTGTTTCATTGAAGGTCAACTCGCTGTTGTAAACCTGACAACTTATCTACTTTGCCATTACGACCTCGACTTATTTGGATTCGAGCAAACTACGCAGCAATACACTCGCACGTTGCAGCTGTTGATTGGGAAACAGAATTCACTGGTCTAAATGCAAACGATAGCTCCCAGCTCCTAGTAAACGTGTATAATAAAGCTATTAATCTATACATCCCATCAACAACTACTCCCTTCACTGAAAAACAGGAGCAATGGGTAACACTAGATCTTATTAAGACGGTCAAAGCTAAACGCGCCTCTTGGGCCAAGTTTATTAATGCAGGTTGTGATGCGCGCTAATTAATCAAAAAATCACATCGTACCGCCTGCAAAAACATTACTAAAATGGTATAATCTGCCAGGCTTAATTACGAAGAAAAACTCGCCAGTGAGTGCAAAAACAACCCTAAACGCTTACATGCACATGTAAAAAGCAAACAGAGCGTTAGGAACACTATTACATCGTAAAAAACGGCTAATAGCAATATCACTACCGATACCGGGGATATATGCTTATTATTGAATAACTATTTTCATTCGGTTTTTGTTTTAGAGCCCGAAGGTCCATTGTCAGCTTTCGAAAGTCGTACTGAAGCAGTTTGTGTTGTCGACCCAGCAAGTTTTCTATCGATATAATACAAAAGTGCCTCTACCACCTTGATGAAAGAAAATCAACTAGCAACGATGGTTTACATCCACGGGTCCTTAGTAAATGTGCAACTAGCTTCACCAAACCACTTTCACTTATCTATAAGTGCTCGTTCGCGACTGGTGTAGTTCCCGACTTGTGGAGAAAATCGAATGCAACACCAATTTTCAAGAAGCGGAGTAAAATAAATGCATCAAACTACCGGCTTATCTCGCTAACATCCATTTCATGCAAAATAATAGAAAGTATTCTTAAAAGAAGTATAATGGAACACTGTGTTGCTAATGACTTAATTACTCCGAAGCAACATGGCTTTGTTTATCGCAAGGGTTGCGTCTCAAAGCTGCTAGAAACTCGGGGTATCATGACAGAAGCCATTCATCGCACCCATGCAGTAAACGTCATATACACAGACTTTGCAAAGGCGTTTAACAAAGTGCCGATGAAACACCTTCTTCATAAACTAAGAGCCTACGGTATTCAAGGCACGCTGTTAGACTGGATCTCAGCTTGGTTACACGACCAAAGTCAACGAGTGGTCATCAACGGCATCACATCTGGATGGCAAACGGTTATTAGCTCGGTCTTGGGCCCATTGCTCATTGTAATCTTCATTAATGACCTGCAAGATAGAATTAGTCATCATATGAAACTGTATGCCGACGACAGTAAAATTATGGATATAGAAATCATTGTTTAATTTTTACAGGTATAAGTAAGTTACGACGCCTTTATCACCATCAGAAACATGCAATGCACGTGATATATTTTTCAAATCGTTTTCTAAATACAAAACTTTTATTTATAGATATGAATGTTTTAAACGTTTATGAACTTAACATTTATAATACATTATGTTTTACGTTTTGTTGTATAAATGACCCAATATTAAATGTTTTTAAATTTATATACATCATTAGAGCAAAGAATAAATATAGTTTGCGAAATAATAACTATTTTAATGAACCTTTTTGTCATACAAAGTTTAATTAATTTTATATAACTAATTTAGCGCTTTATAATTGAAATAAAGTTTTTTAGCCCAATTTGAAATGATTTATCAATCTCTTTTCCAGTTTTTAAAAATAAGTTAAAGAATATTATTATTTCAATCATATAATAAATAATATATTAAAATATTTTTGAGATATAATATTTAACCATTTATTGTTTCAACTATTTTAGATCGCTTTTTTGATTTTAACTACATGTATTATATTTATCTTCCAATTTTTATATGGTTCTGGCGAAAAGATCAGTACGATCTTCTTCCAGATTCCAAGTTTATATTGTATGACATGTAATCAATCTAAACTAAAAGATTTAAAAAAAAAAAGAATACTAACTACTGACTAAAAAAAAGAATAGGTTTAAGTGAAGAAATTTATAAAAATCTATTTTTCCACGCCTCTCAATAGAAAAATGTTTTAATATTAAGTTATATTCTTATAATATTTTTAACATATACTAAGTCTAAAAATAACATAATTTCTGGATTTAAATGTGTTGGATATAGTTCTTGAATGAAGGCTGACATATATATAAAAAAAAGCAACATAAATTTTAATTTTCAAGATTGGTAAAAACTCGCCGTTTATTTAGTGCTTAACGTACAATAAAAAAAAAAATTTTTCCGACCGTTTTAATCAAGGTTAGTTTTATTACAACATTCTTTATGATTCTTTAGGAAACTCTAAAAAGTGGTTTTATTAAAGAGCACCGTCAAAAAATAATGAGGGGGTTCTCTTCACCAATTCATTCTTGCAATGATACTTTTATGCCTTAAGCAAAATTTGAACTTCAGACTCTCAGATTTGAAGTCCACGCCCTCGAATCTGAAGCTACTAACAATTAGTGATTACATCATTCATTACAGTGATTAAATTAAACCAATTAAAAAGAACTGATAAATTAGTTTTTCCGCATCTCGTTAACCACAACAAAATATACCTGGTTGACTTTCTTTGTAAAGAATATAAACACGACAATGATAAATATTAATTTGACTACCTATTCTTTGTACAACTGTAATGCACAGTAATAAATACATTGATAAAAACATATTATAACATATTTACATAAACTAAATATTGCTATTTTTATTATTGCAAATATTTTTAAATGACAAAAAAAAGAGAGAAATAAAGATGGGATATACTAAAAACATTCTATATAAAGCGTTTTTCTCTAATAAAAATTTTTATTGCGCGCGTTTTGCCTTGGTTATAAATTGTTTTCCCCATTTTATAGAAAAATATTGAACAAGTTCAGAACAGTTTAACACTTTTCTTCTTTTCGTCTTTTTTCCATTGCGGCAGTTGATCGTATTGAGCTAGTGTCATTCCAAAAGTAGAAAGAAACTCTTCGGGTGTTAAATAGTACTAAAGCAGTAGAATAAAATGCCGTGAAACAAATAAAGAACCGTGTAAAAAATGACAAATAAAATATTAGTTAACTCAACGATAAAATAAACGAAACAATATTTTTTTTTTAAATAATTGTTAAAAGTAATTAGTTACTTCTTTTCTTCTTGGGTCGACACCATTTGGAATGTTGTTAGTTTGAAGAGCTGACAGGGGAAGCTTTCGATCAAGTGAAAACTCTTTGATGTACTCGTCAACCATTATGATCCCAGCAAACTTGTTATTAAGTTCCTGTTTTAACCTCTCGTAGCTTTTTCCGTGCTAACAAACATAAAATTAAAAAGTGAAACATGCGCGTAATAAATAAAATATAACATAAAATATAACAAATAACCACTTACTGAAAAAACAGTACTATCCCAAGCCGGAAAACAACCTGTAAAATTTAGCGGCTCAAAACCCTGTTTAACTACTAGTTTTTGGACCTTCTCAGGATCACGACCAGAAGGATCAGTGTTGACGTAGTCCTTAAATAATGATAATAATAAAAAAAAAAGGATTTTAGAATGAATAAACATTGCTTATAGCTGTAGATAAGTATTTACATCATAATGAAAACTAATTTTTGATATCATTGTCATTTCATTCGTTATGAATGGTTATACGAAAGCAGCAAGTTTCAGAAACGATATCTTCTTTATAAAGACGTTTCTTATATCTTTATTCAATGATTAATTCTAGGGAATATATAATGCACTCCACTCACAACAGTTACGCAAGTTTAGTTAAAATCCATAATATATAAAAATTTATAACAACTTATATAATTATAAACAATACAACAAACATTTTGAATTTTTTGTAGAAAATAACAAAGAAACAATAAAATAAAAAAAAAAAACAACGGCGAAACTATTATTACCATAGCAGTTTTCGATGCAAGTTTTCTTTCTGTTTCTGTGCACTGATTACCCAACCAAATAAAGACTGTATCATGTGTATCAAGAATCATCACGTCATTTACATCTAGATCGCTTTGTGTAAAATTAAAGAGTTCCTCTACCTCAAACTTTCCACTTGCAGTTGAACACAAGAATAAACGTGGAGGATATTCTGGGATAGCTTCCTAAAGAAATCAAAAATTGTCAACATAATTTATACAACTTTTATATATATATATTTAAAAAATCTCTAATTTCTAACCTGGAAAATACTTCCACTAGAATATTCTCCAATGCCACCAAGTAAATCCCAAAATTCTTTAGGTTCTTTTCCTTCAGGGATTACAACAAAATCATTAGAGTAACGTGGCGCCACACGAAAAGCAAGTTCTTTTGCCAACTCTCTCTCATCTCCTATGCAGCCCTTACCATACCAAAGATAACCATTTTTTTGGGACACCAAGACAAAAACATCATTTGAATTTAATGATGCTGCACAAGGTTCAACCTGAAAATAAAAAAAAAAATTAAAAAATTTTGTAATTTTAAATTGTTTGAGGGATTAAAAAAAAAGCATTACCTCTAATGCTTTTTTGATTGTCTGGCCTCGAACTTGAAAGAGTCTAGGAAAACCGCTTTCTTGTAACTCTTGTTGATGCCCACGAAAACCACTTGCTTTACCACCCTGAAATAACATAACATAAATAACATAAAATAACCACCCTGAAATAACATAAAATGTGACAAAAATGTGGAAACAAATTCTCTTCATAAAATTTTTAAACAGCAACTATTTAAATTAAAAACTTACTCTATACACAATCATTTTGTTGTTAAATATTTTCAAAAAATGTAGTGGTTCTTTCCCTTGAACAACACGAACCTTAACAAACAAACAAAAAAATTCCTAACAACAAAACTTTTTTTTAGGTGCAATCCATTTAAATTTGAAAACTTATTAAAATAAAGAAAACTAGAAACAAAAAGCAATATTAAAAGCTAAAGTAAAAATAAAACAATAACAAACAAACCTGAACTGCAGCACCCCCAAGGCTCTCATCCATTTTAACAGTCATAGCTGCTGCTGTACCTTTTTCATCAGGTGTACTTTTTAATCCCTTTGCATTAAAAAATTTAAAAGATGCATAAAATACCCAAAATAACAACTGAAACACCCTTAATATTACATATTTCCTACACCACCACCCAAAATTTAAACAATTTTAAACCTTGGTGATAAACAAATAATTTTAAAATAATCATTTCCTAAAATTAAAAGATTATCTTTATGTTTATCAAAATTTAAAACATATTTGACTGAAAAAGTTTACCAGCCAGTAGTAGATCAAGTAACATTCTTTTCGATCAACTACATATGTGTACAAGATGACATAGCAATCACCACCAAAAAATACACCAGTAGCTTCTTTGGGTACAGGTATTAATTTAAAATTTTCTACTCTCCATACGTCAACTTTACCTCTACCATCATCTATCATTTTTTCCTCTTGACGCTTTTGCTGCAAATGCAACTTTGATGTATCAATAGCCATTTGAGGAATACTTTTGGCTGAAAAAATAAATTTTAAATGTTTTTTATTTACATACATTTTTTTCATGTTTCGAAATATATATATATACATATATATATATATATATATATATATATATATATATATATATATATATATATATATATATATATATATATATATATATATATATATATATATATATATATATATATAGTTAGTTAGTTAGTGGTAAACTGCGTGGATCTTATCCACAAGACGTTGTAACATTCAGCTATAGCAGCCCAGTACTTTTTTTTTTTTTTTTTTTTCTTTTAAATTAATATTTTCTTATTTTTCTTAAGCCATTCGTCTAAACTTGCTTTAAAACTATTCAAATTCTCGGAATCTACAACTTTTTCTGGAAGTTTGTTCCAAATTTGGCAAACTCTGTTTGTGAAGAAATGGATTCTGGAGCTAACCGATGCATGAAAGTCATTTATTTCGCGAGGAGTAAAACACTGCATTCTAATTTTATGTTTGAGACCTCTAATGGAAGAACATGGACCATCTAATTTAATACTTGACTTATAGACTGGTTTGACATTAAGATTGACAAATTCTAGATTGTTTAATATCTTATATAAATAAATAAGGTCTCCTCGTTTTCTTCTGAGATTTAAATTAATTAAATCCATTTTAACTAGCCGTTTCTCATAACTTAGCATTCGGTTTGAGTATGGTATTTTTGTGGCCCTACGTTGAACTCTTTCAAGCATTGAGATTTCAGCCACATTTGGAGGACTCCACGCTGGAGCCGCAAATTCAAGATGAGGTCGCACATAAGTAGTATACAAAATTTTCCACATATAACAATCTCTACTTTCAAAGGCATTTTTCAATAACCCCAGTATTTTTGAAGCTTTGTTAACACATACTTGCGTTTGATGCTTCCACCTCATATCCGGTTGTACAAAGACACCTAGATCTCTTTCTAATACACTCTTTGAGAGGTCATAAATCATTCCATTTATATTCATTGTGTATGTTTTATCAATACCTCGAAAAACTTTCTGATTGCCGAATCTCATCACCTTACATTTTTTGCAGTTTAGTTCCATACCCCAATTGTTGCACCATTTCACAATGTTGTCAAGGTCGGTTTGTATTTCCGCTTGTTTATCAATGGAATCTTCTATGGCTATTATTTTGCTATCATCAGCATACATTTTAAATGTGTTTAGCACAACTTCTGGGAGGTCATTTATGAATAGTAGAAACAACATTGGACCCAAAACGGAACCCTGAGGCACGCCACTGGTAACTGATACCCATTCTGAAACTGTATTACTAAGAGCAACTCTTTGTTTCCTATTTGCAAGAAAACTTTTAATCCAGTTATATATTTTACCAGTTATACCATACACTTTAATCTTTGTCAATAATCTTTTGTGTTCTACTTTATCAAAAGCCTTTGCGAAGTCAAGATATATGACGCATAACCGTTTACCTTTTGCAGTTTCAAATGTAATTGTGTCAATTGTCTCAATAAGATTTGTTGTGCATGATTTGTTTGGAACAAAACCAGTTTGCTCCTCACATATAAGTCTATTTGAAACTAAATGTTGCAGAATTGTGTCCCGAATGAGCTTTTCGAACATTTTACAAATAACAGATGTTAGGGATACTGGTCTGTAGTTTTCTGGTTCAAGTTTTGATCCCCCTTTGTAAATTGGTGATATATTTGCAACAGACCAGTGTCAAAGCTTAATTTGAAAATATGAACAATTGGGTCCACAAAACCTTCTGCAGTATGCTTTAAAACAAATGGACTAACTCCATCAAAACCCATCGCTTTTGCCTCATCCATACCTTCTAACATTTTGAGAATTTTTTCATAGGTAATCATATTAGATAACTTACTGGAATCGCACTGGTTTTCGCATCTTTGCGAGAATTCGGGTATTGGTTGGTCATTATCATTAACAAAGACTGACTGAAATTGCCTATTTAATATATCTGAAATGTCTGATATCTCAGTTGTAACTTGATCTTTTTTGTTCTTGATTGCTCTAATTTGCGTTTTAATGTTTTTGTTTTCTATTTATGTATGAAAATAAAAGTTTTGGTGCAAGGTTTGCTCTCTTTAAATCTATTTCGTATTCTCGAGTTGATCTTTTGATTTGCTTTTTAACATTAGCACACATTTTGTTAAAAGCCTTTCGAGATTCTTGACTTTGCCGATGCAAATTTGAATAAAACATTGAATTTTTAATCTTTATTGCTTTTTTAACTTTTGCATCCAACCAGGGTTGACTATTTTTTTATTATTCAAAATAGGAATAAACAATCGACAAGATTCATTATATGTATGCAAAAATAACTCATAACATTCACAGGCTGATTTGTTATAAAAATGCTCAACCCAGTTGACTTGTTTCAAGTATTTATTCATTTGAAAAAAATTACCTTTTCTAAAGCAAAACTTATCTTTTGTGAGTACTGTATTGTTACTAAGACTAGTAAAATATTGCCAAGCGATGGAGTAATGGTATCTTCCCTTTTCATAGTGGCCTAACTGTGGACCACATTGAAGAAAATCAAGATCAAGGGTGTTAACTGCTGAAACAGAGTCATTTTGTTTGAATGTTGGAAAATTTTTTTTTTTTTTTTTTATTTTAATTCACCTCCTCAAGGCCGAGAAGGCCACTACAGACGAGGAGGCTACTTATTTGTGGTTATAACCCTCTCTCAACTCTATAACTCCAAAACACGAACCTTGACGAGCAAGGCCGCTGCGCGGAGAAACGAGTTGAGCGCGGTACTACCAGGGACGTGGTGGGGATCGAACTCGGAACCACTCGTTTATGAAGCGAGCGCTCTACCACTACACCACTACCGCATACTTTACTATTTATATACCGCATAATTTACTATTTGGTATAGAAAACAATCATTTAAAACTTTAATAAATTCATGTTCAATTGAGTTTGCATTTGAATGAATTATTGGACCATCATCTGTCCATTCTATATTAGGAAAATTGAAATCTCCGACCACTATGAGATCAGTGTATTTTTTTCCGCTTTTGTGGAAAAAAATACACTCTGGTCTATATACACAACCAACAATTAAATGAAAATTATTACAATTTATTGTGCACCAGACTTGTTCGATCTTTTTGTTGTTAAGATGCACATTTACAATTTCTATATTTGTAAGTCTTTTACTTACATAAATGGCAACACCTCCTCCAATTCTATCTCTATCTGCCTGATACAGTTCATAGCCATCAATTATTTTAATCGAATCCAATTTAAACCAAGTTTCTGCAATTGCAATAACATCAATTTCATATGCCAAAGCAAGTGTGGACAGCTCAGATAATTTATTAGAGTTACAGGAGGTAGCATTAGTATAATAAAATTTAATTGGTTTATAGTTAGTACTAGTATTTTGCTTTAAATAAATAGGAAGTTTTACATTACTCAAGTTTTGGTAATATAATATATATATATATATATAATAAGATAAGATAATATATATATATATATATATATATATATATATATATATATATATATATATATATATATATATATATATATATATATATATATATATATATATATATATATATATATATATATATATATATATATATATATATATATATATATATATATATATATATATATATATTATCTTATCTGAGGGTTTGGTATGGGTCAGCAACCTTTTCATTCATTATTCTTCGTTTTCCCTCATCGTTTTCTAAAAACGCTCACTTAAATTAGGCTAGCAAAAAAAGTGAGCAACTGCGCATACAAATATGCTATAGTAGATATATATATATTTATATATAACTATATAAAAAATATTATATACAAGCATATTTATTTGTATATAATCTACAAACTGAACTGAACTAATTTCAATTAAAGGTATTCTTGGTATTGGCAGAAGTTAGATCAACACAGATATTAAATGCATATAAAATAAAAAAGCAAAGAGAAAAATTGAAATTACAAAAAATTTCTGTTTTTTTAAAGATTATTAAAGAAGGGAATAACAATTTTTTTTTAATAGAAAATCAGTCATAACATAAAGAGAAAAAAAAAAAAAAAAAAAATTAGGATTTTTTTTTTTTTGTTCATGTATTTTTTGAATAATTCTTTTAACAAAAAATTACTAAAAATACATAAACAAATGCTAAAAGATTTTGAATAACTGAGACCATTAGCTATATAACAAAAAGATAACTCTAATAGTGAACTTTTTAAGGTTTAGAATTCATTTTAAACCTTATGATATAATGAATTCAAGATTTTGTGAACATTTTTAAAATTAGAATACTGCAAAATAAAATTCAAAAACTGCAGCATTTTGTAGCAGTAGCGTGCCACAATTAAATATGTCAAATATATACACACAACTTTCAAATATTAACCTATGAGCATTTATGTTACTGTAAAGTGTCATCAAATTCTTTTAGTAAACAATATACAAAAAAAACATGATCCAAGAAGAAACCTTTTTACTCTTAATATGTCATAAATTACATCTAATTTATCTCCTTTTTCAACAATCAATTTTTAAATTCTTCTTTTCTGTTACCCTAATTATATATACAACACTATTTAAACAACCCAGAAAACCACAGAATCTCTAACAAGTTTATAACTTACAAGCAACATTAAGACGACTTCAGTTTTTTGACAGATGACAGATTCCAGATTTTTTTATGACACTATATGTGTTGGTAAGCTCTGGTTATAAACACAATTTTTCCTATCAACTTAGTTTAAAACAACAACAAATAAAAATTTGTAAACATAAAATAATTTATAACAACCTTACTCCAAGTAAAAAGGTCATTAAAAGTATAAGAAAATATTAAAAAGTTGTATAAAAAAAGAAAACATAAAAATGGGTAAGAGTTATGAGGTTTTTTTGATGTTCAAGGAAAAAAATTGGATTAATAAATATAGCATGAAGCGACAGGTATAATAAAGGCTGTATAATAGGAACAGGTATAATAAAGGACAGGGATAGGTATAACAAAGGAAGGAATAATAATATAAATATAATAAAGGAATAATATAAGGAAGGGACAGGTATAATAAAGGACAGGTATAATAAAGGCTACATGAGAGAGATCAGATTTAAAATTGGCTGCTTGTTCTAAGCAATGAAAAAATGAAGATTTTAGGAGAGGCATAACTTTAAACAGATTAGAAAAAACGTTTGTATCGAACAACGTTTGTTAGAAAAGAATAAAGTAATTTAGGTATCAGCATGTACAGAGGTACCAGCTTCAGTAGAAAATGGTAGTGGTAGAAGTAAGAAAACTTGCAGAGAGTGCCTCACATTTGTATAAATGAGCTTTGGTTAAGAAAAAAAAAGGCTCTAGATTGTTTATGTTTGAGAAACAGCAAAAAAGAGGAAGGCTAAAGCCTGATGATGATAATGATGATCACTATCACGATCATGATGATGAAAATGAGCAAATCAGCAATATAATGATTATACATATATATATATGCTGATTTGCTCATTATATATATATATATATATATATATATATATATATATATATATATATATATATATATATATATATATATATATATATATATATATATATATATATATATATATATATATATGATGAGCAAATCAGCATATATATATATGTATAATCATTATATTGCTGATTTGCTCATTATATATATATATATATATATATATATATATATATATATATATATATATATATATATATATATATATATATATATATATATATACACATATAATTTTCAGAATTTTAAAAAATTATTAACAATACTTTACCTATTCCTCTGCCAGAGACAAATGTCACTTGCTGCGGATCTAAAGGTTTGATTGGCCAATCAATGAAGCACTGCTTAAAAGCTGGTGTTTCTGAACCTTGTTTAACCATAACCACTTGTGTGTAATCAGGATATCCTTTGCTTCGTAAAAAGTTCACAGCTACCTTCATACCTTGAAGCTTTTCTTCATTACTTGAATTTTTTCCCACCCAGACCCACAAGCTTATTCCTCCATTATCCAAAACAAAGGTATCATCATTATCAAGCATGCTGTATTTCAAATCTCCAGTAGCTTCTTCAATCACGCGCAATTGCCCATGCATACCATTACCAGCTGAATCAGTAATTTTTACTCTAAAAATAATTAAAAATTTTTACTATAATTTTGGTCAAATAAAAATACAAATTTTTAACAATTAAAAAAAAAAAAAAAAAACCTATGCAAAGTGATAAACTTCATCTTCTCTCTTTCAACTAATTCATCTGAACTTTTACCACCTGATGGTTTAATATGCCCAAATGAACCCAAGTGCTCAAAAAAAAGTGCCAAAGGGTCATTTTTACTTGCTTTTGCAGGGTGCATAGAAGGGTCATCATCTAAATAAGTGTCAATTTTTCTCATTGCAAATTTCAAAAAAATTATTTATCTATCTATACATAGTGACAGTTCAATTAACTTTATTTTTTCAAGGTTCCATAATATTTAAAAAAAAAAGTTTTTCAAAAGTATATCATGTGGAGTCAAAAGAAGCAAAACTATAAGAAAATTTCAAAAATAATTACATCAATTAATAATTAGTATAATTAAACTGAATTAATTATTTATATTCAATTTCTATACTTAAAATATATAAAAATTTATATATAAAAATTAGATATAAAAACTATAGTTTTTTAAAAAATAAAAATAACACAACTAAAAACAAAAAAGTGCATTTTGACAAGTTTTGAATTAAAAAAAAAAAGTTTAACATTTTTTATAAAATATACAAAATTTTATAACCACAATTAAGAAGCCTCCTCATCTGTAGTGGCCTTCTTAGCCTTGGGGAGGTGAATTAACATAAAAAATAAAATAAAATAAAAAAGATTATAATTTTTGAAATTTATATATTATTTCGCTTCTTTTAAGTACCAGGTTGACTTACTTTATAAGAACTTTTTTTTCAAAATATTAGGACCTTGCTGAATAGTAAAGTTAATTGAGCTGTTACTCTAACATTTTTTGTTTATCAAGATACGAATTTCAAAATTGGCAAATCCACTAAGATCTTCTTTTGTGAATTTAAAATTATTTAGCAAATTTAATAGCCTCATAAACAATTCAATTTACATTATTTTATTTTAAATGAACAAATAATGTTTATTAAAATAGAATGTCAAAATTAATTGGTTTTTAAATTTTATTTCAGTTTTTATTTATTTATTTCTAGTTTGTATCATTATATAAACTTATAACTATGTAATATTAATCGGTAATTTATTTAATTACAAAATTAAAAACATTTTTTTTTCAACGATTCTTTAAAATCAGGGAATATTTATATACATTTTTATACACAATATTTAAGTCATACATACTAAGTCTTCTCCATTTGGTCAGCACTTTTGCGTTCAAGACTTTTAGCGCTCACCCTCACACCCACTTTTTTGGGAAGCTTTTAAAAAAGCATTTACCAAAAAAAAAATAAAAGCATTTTTTTTTTAAATAGCAATAAATCTTTTTTGTTATAAAATACTTTTACAAAAAATCATGAAAAAATATTTTTTGTATGAATACTTTGATGAATGAATTACCGTATTTAGAATATAAATAAAATGCTTAATTTTTAATACCATTTTTAATAACCTGCTCCATGTCCTGCTGCCTTGTAGGATACGCTTTTTTAGGCAAAGGCTAGGAGAAGTTAACTCTGAATTAAAACACCCCCTGCCTTGGGGCTCTTGGTTGAGTAAAGGCTAGAGATGGTGTCTCGATAAAAATACTCATCTTGGGCAGATGTTACATGCATCCAGCTGCTGTCTTGTAGAAGGCCTCCTAGGCAAAGACTTAAGGGGTAAACAGATTCTATCTGTTGACCAGCCTCGCACCCCTTCCTCATCTATTAGGCTGGCGCAGATGTATTCTTAATACATTGTTTCCAGTTTAGGATGTTGAACGCTGGATCTTCTTGACTCAATGCGTGGGTATTGCTTGTGTCTCTATTTTTATGACTGGGCAACTCATTCTATTATCTCCAAATGAGGGTACAGCTCTAAAACTCAGTTTTATGGTTCTGAGGCCGGCTGGTAGTCAGGTTTCCCGAACTCTGTGGTAGCTCTCAGAGAGGCTGATTCCATCAACAGCCGAAAAATATCAGAGTACTAACAGTGCCATGTTGCGCATGGATGGTGTCCCTGTTTGTACTTTTGGTGTGCATTGCAGAGGCCACATTTGGAGCCCTTTGTTACGGCTTAGGGTTTATTAAGAGTAATGAGGCTATTGCTTAGTTGTTAAATAGTGTACTGAGTACTATCTATACTTGAGTCAAGTTCTTTATAAATTTAAAATGACTAAAGTACCTAAAACTAAAAAACACAAAAAACCATTGTCATCACCAAGTTCTCTAAACCTATCATTTACTAATATTCGTGGTCTTCGAAGTAACTTTTCTTCTGTTGAGTCTTATCTCTTGCAAAGTTCACCAGACCTACTTGCTTTTTGTGAGACTAATTTAAGTTCGGCTGTCCCATCTTGTGATCTTAGTGTTGATGGTTATCTTCCTTTAATTCGTAAAGACTCCAATAATCACATGCTTGGCCTGGGCATCTACATTCGTAAGAACTCACCCATTTGTCGTGAAACTAGGTTTGAATCTACAGACTATTCATTTATGTGCTTTCGTTTAGCACAACTTCACTCTATCGCCTTTCTCTTTGTTCTATATCGCTCTCCTTCATCCCAAGATTGCACTATTCTTGATGTTATTTCTGATCAAATTGACCAAGCCCTCTCTCTTTATCCATCGGCCAATATCGTCGTTGTTGGTGACTTTAATGCCCATCACACCGATTGGCTTGGCTCTAGTGTCAGTGACTCTGCTGGCGTTAAGGCCCTCAACTTTTGCCTTTCTCAATCTCTAACTCAAATAGTCAACTTTCCAACTCGTTTTCCAGACAACCCTAATCATTTACCTTCTCTACTCGACTTATGTCTTGTTTTGGATCCTAGTCAGTGCTCAATTTCTCCACATTCACCCTTAGGTACTTCTGATCACGGTTTGATCTCTCTAAAACTATTATCAAATTCTTCTACTTCATCAGAATCCCCCTATCATCGTACCACATACAACTACCTTAAAGCTGACTGGGACTCTTTCCGTGATTTTCTTCGTGATGGCCCTTGGGTAGAAATCTTTCGTCTTCCTGCTGACAAATGTGCTTCTTACATAACTTCGTGGATTCAGGCTGGCATGGAAACTTTTATTCCCTCTCGACGATTCCAGGTTAAGCCTCACTCTTCTCCTTGGTTTTCCTCACATTGCGCTGCAGCAATTTCTAATCGAAACCGTTACTTCCATGTCTATCAGCAAAACAATTCTCCAGAAAACAGACATCTGTTCACTATCGCCAGAAACCATTGTAAAAAGGTTTTGTCTGACGCCAAAACTCGCTATTCCCAGGTCATTAAATCTCGTATCTCATCACAAAAATTAGGCTCTCGAGACTTCTGGAGAATCTTTAACAGTATCAATAATAAGGGCAAATCTGTTATTCCTTCTCTCTTGTATGGTTCAGACTTTGTCACCTCACCTAAAGACAAAGCTGAATTGTTTGCTAAGAACTTTTCATCAATATCATCTCTTGATTCCACTAGTTGCGTTTTACCTGACATAGCCGTCAAACAGGTTGATCCCTTGCTTGACATTCGCATCACTTCAGCTTCTGTATCTAAAGTAATTTCCTGCTTAGACTCTTCAACAGCTTGTGGTCCTGACAACATTCCTGTTGTAGTTTTGCAGAGGTGTTCTCCGGAGCTTTCATCCATACTTTCTAAACTATTTAACAAGTGCTTATCAGAGTCTTGTTTTCCATCATGCTGGAAAGCAGCATCTGTTATCCCTATTTTCAAAAATTCCGGAGAGCAATCTGATTCATCTAACTACCGTCCCATTAGTCTTCTTCCTGTCATAAGCAAGGTTTTTGAATCTTTAATTAACAAACACTTAATCTCTCATCTTGAATCAAATAACTTACTTTCTGACCATCAATATGGATTTCGGTCTTCTCGTTCTACAGCTGATGTGCTAACAGTAATAACCGATAGGTTTTACCGTGCATTAGATAGAGGTGGAGAGGTTAAGGCTATCGCACTTGACATTTCTAAAGCTTTTGATAAAGTTTGGCATGCTGGTCTTCTCCATAAGCTTTCTTCTTATGGTGTAGCTGGTAACGTCTTTAAGATTATTGAGTCCTTTCTTTCCAATCGTAGTATAAAAGTTGTCCTCGATGGACAACACTCTTCTTCACATCCTGTAACTTCAGGGGTTCCTCAAGGTTCAATCCTTGGCCCTATACTCTTTTTAATTTACATTAACGATCTTCCAGATATTCTCACATCTAAGGTGGCATTATTCGCTGACGACACTACCATTTACTCTTGTCATGATAAGAAGCCTACACTCTCTGATTGCTTGGAGGGGGTATCTGAGCTTGAAAAGGATCTCACTTCTGCTACAGCATGGGGCTCACAGTGGCTGGTGAACTTTAATTCAGATAAAACTCAATTTTATTCGGCCAATCGTTATCGTAATAATTTAGATCTTCCTATATTTATGAATGGTAATGTACTAGATGAGTCATCTACCATTCATCTTCTAGGATTAACTCTTACTTCTGATCTTTCTTTTAAACCGTATATCAAATCCATTGCAAAATTAGCATCTGCTAAGGTTGCATCTCTTTATCGAGCTCGACACTTTCTTACTCCAGATTCTATTCTCTATCTCTATAAATCTCAAATCCGTCCCTGTATGGAATACTGTTGCCACATCTGGGGCGGATCTTCTAATGATGCTCTTTCTCTTTTAGACAAGGTGCAAAAACGAATTGTAAACATAGTTGGACCTGCTCTGGCAGCCAATCTCCAACCTTTGTCACATCGTCGTAATGTTGCTTCTCTTTCTCTTTTCTACAAATACTATAATGGGCACTGCTCTAAAGAGCTAGCGTCCCTTGTGCCATCTACTAAAATTCATTCTCGTGTTACTCGCCATTCAATTAAGTCTCATCCTTTTTCTGTGACTGTTCCTAAGTGCTTCAAAAACTCTTATTCTTCTAGTTTTTTTCCTCGAACATCAGTTCTTTGGAACTCGCTTCCTTCATCTTGCTTTCCTGATTCATATAATTTGCAATCTTTTAAGTCATCAGTCAATCGTTATCTTGCTCTACAGATTTAGTCTTTTCTCTTCCAGTAACTTCCAACTCTTATAGTGGTTGCTTGCAGCCTTGTTGGAAGTGAAAAAGAAAAACAAACAAACAACAATAAAAAATAAAAATGAACTTAAATAAAATGTTCGTTTTACTGTTTTTAATGTAATTATTATATTTTAGTGTCAGGTCAGGAGTATGGTCTTCATGATCATCCTGCTACTGGTAACATGTAACCCAGTGCAACCTGTTCCATGTTCTGCTGCCTTGCAGGATTTGCTTTCTAAGCAAAGGCTGGAAGGAGTGTTCTTCCTGTCATCAGTACTATCTTATATCAGTCATGCCTATAGTAAAAGTTTTTTTTTTTTTTTCATATAGTTGGAGGTGCCTTAGTTACTGTATTAGCTCACCTGTAATCTACGTTATATGTATGTTTGTGTTCTGTCTAAATCTCAGGCGCGGTGTTCGTTCACCCGTAAGTTACTTTATGTTCTTTATGTATGTCTGTGTTCTGTCTGAACCTCTGGCGCGGTGTTCGCTCACCCGTAAGTTACTCTATGTTTATGTTTATGTTTTTTATGTTTTTTTATGTATGTTTGTGTTCTGTCTGAACCTCTGGCGTGGTGTTGGCTCACCCGTAAGTTACTTTATGTTTTTTATGTATGTTTGTGTTCAATCTGAACCTCTGGCGCGGTGTTGACTCACCCGTAAGTTGATTTATGTTTGTTTGTGTTCTGTTTATACTCTAATGCAACATGAGTTCAGTAACTAACTACTTACTCCAACTACAAAACCTACACTCACCTTAGACTCCTGTATTTTGTTAGATGTAGTGTTTTTCCTAATGCACTTCCAAAATATCATGCCTGGTTTTCTCAAAGTACTGTTGCAGGAAGTAACTCCTTTTAACTACTCCAGGTCAGGTCAGGATAATCGAGATCAATCTTGCTACTGGTTTCACGTAACCCAGTACCACCTGCCACAAGCCCTGCTGCCTTGCAGAGTGTGCTCTTCTTAGGCAAAGGCTAGGAGAAATAAACTCCAACTAAAAATTCCCCTGCCTTGGGGCTCTTGGTTGAGTAAAGGTTAGAGATGGTGTCTCGATAAAAATACTCATCTTGGGCAGATGTTAACTGCATCCAGCTACTGTCTTGTAGAAGGCAAAGACTTTAGGGGTAAGCAGAAAAATTCTGCTAACCAGCCTCGAACCCCTTCTTTATCTATTAGGCTGGCGTAGATGTTACCTGTGTTACATTGTTTCCTGCCTAGGATGATGAATGCTGGATCTCCTTGACTCTACTCATAGAATTTTGAAGAAAGGAGTTATCATCACTAGTTCCATCAACTAAAATTCATTCTCGTTTTTCTCGTCATTCAACTAAGTCTCATTCGTTTACTGTATCTGTCCCTGCATGCTCTAAAAACTTTTATTCATCTAGTTTTTTTCCCCGCACTTCAATTTTTTGGAACTCTCTCCCATCTTCATGTTTTCCTGACTCATACAACCTTCAACTTTTCAAGTCTACTGTCAACCGTTTCCTTGCTCTATAACTCTGTTCTTTTTTTTCCTAGTAACTCCCAACTTAATAGTGGTTGCTTGCAGCCTTGTTGAGAGTGAATGCAAATAAAAAAATAAAAAATAAAAATTTAGAATATGTTTTTTTTTTCCTTTTATTTGAATAATTTTAATTTAGAACTTAAACAAAACATTAATTTTGATGTTATTTATTAAATTTTATTTAGAATTTAAATAAAATGCTTTTTTGTTTTTATTTTAATTATTTTTCTTAAAATTTACGTAAAACTTTTTTTGTCGTTTTTATTTTTTTGTTGTTTTTTGTCGTTTTGCCTTTTTTTAAATTATTATTAGAATTTCAATTAGAATTTCTGCAAAGCATTTTTTTCACTGTTTTTAATTATTTCATGTTTTTAATATTTTAATTTAAATAGCAAATAAAAATGAATTTGTAAAATCATGCACGATTTTAAAAATTCATCTTTACTTTATTTTAAAAATGACCCAAATGATCTGACCCATTTGATTTTCATGCGCTGGCATTAAGTTTTTAATAGAGAAGACTGCATATCTTTTAAAAATTTAAAAATTTATAGATTTATTTTAAAAATATATATAAAAAATACATTAATGCATAATATATAATATAAAATTTATATATATATAAGTAAAGTTCATCAAAATAAGTCTATTTAAAAAAGTATAATTTTCAAATAAAACATTTACCAACAACTATAATTCGTGTATCATTTGTTGAAATACCAGTCCCTGCTCTACCTTCATCTCTTAAGGCTTGAGCAACCTCCATTCCCTAAAATATTTCCAATAATTAACTTAAAATCTAATTTTAGATATTACAAATTCAATATCAAAAGTTTATTACCTTTCTCTTTTCAGCTTCTGAACTTTCTTTACCGCACCAAACCCAGATACAACCACCATTGTCCAAAATAAAAACATCTCCATGATTTAAAGAATCACAATGGCAAGGAACCTAATAACAAAATTATTTTAAAATTGTCAAAAAAAAAAATATGTACACAAAATAATTTGTTTCAAAACATCAACAATTTTTTCAATCTGTAGCATAGTACAAACTCATCATTAGTTCATTTAAAATAATTGATTGTAATAGATGTGGTCAAGAAGTTTTTGGCCAAGTTCTGGAGTCTGGATACCAAAGATAGTTAAAAGTTCAATACATTTTTAAAATAATATCTTTTACAACTATCTTTTATAAAAAAAAAAAAAATAATGAAATTTATAAGTTAGGGTGGATTATAAAATACCCTGGCTACCCTGATACACTTAACAATATAAGAGAACAGACTCAGCATCTAATGACTGGGATACATACAGTGACAGGAAAAAAAATTTGGAATTTCAAAGTTTTAATCAAAAATTTGTTTAAATTATTTATTTAAATCAACTTTTATCATAAAATATTTATACTGACATTTCCAGAAAGGTTAGTTATTTATTAGTTTTTAAATGTTTTTTGAAATCATTTCTACTTTAATAAAGTTGGTAGAAAAACAAACCTTGTTGAAAATATGTTTCCTTTTATTAAGAAAAAATACCTCTCTTTTTGTGACAAAAAATTTAAAAAGTCTGCCGGCAGACTTAACAAATTTTTTGACACTTCAAATTTAATAAGAAGGAATGCCATGTTATTAAATTTGAAGTTTGAAGGTTACTATATTTCTTACGATTGTATTTTTATATAGATATCAAAAGTAAAAAAAAACTTTATAATATATAAAATAAAATAAAAAAAACTCGGTATTGCTTACTTTCTTATTCAAAATAAAAAGACAAAAACATATTTTACAATGAGGAAGAAGACAAGAAGTCTGTAAAGCCATTTACAGTTTTTTAATCAAAAAAGCAAAAACAAATATTGGTTCAAATAACTTTATTGATGAGCACAATCATTTTTAGCATCACACAAAGTATTTTCTAAATCTGAGGAATGATTGTGTTTTCTTCATTTGGTGGCCTAGATATATTTGAGCCATTATGCAAAACATATAATTAGCACCTGATTATATGTATAATTTGTAACAATATTATTTTCATTTTAAAAAAGCCCCCCCCCCCTCGACTCAAGTTACATGTATGGTTGAATGCATAAAAACAACTCAGTGTATGCCCTATAGTTTCACTAAATTCTGTTCAGAAATCAGAAGTTTGATAAGTCAGAATTTTTTGAACATGAAGGAATAATAACAGTAATAGAATGCAACTTTGTTAAACGACAAGTCAGATGATTTGAGTTTTAATTAATGAAACACGATGATAACTCGCTTGTGAGTAGTATTTGTAGGCTCAAACTTGGTAGCTGAAGCAATATTTATGGACCTTGTCAAAAAAGAGAGAGAACCTCATTAAAAGAAGCAGTCAAATATGATAATAGTATTGCATAAAAGAATAATATATGATAACAGTAAATAAAATAAAAAACTTATAGAGAGAAAAATAAAAGATTTATAGAGAAAAAGATAAAGTCTTAAGTTATAAAAAATAGTCAACAGCCATTGCAAGCCAAAAGATGTTACAAAAGAAAGATCACATTCATGTAAGGCTGTCTACTCTAAGCAATTCTAAAGAGAAGACTTTTTGTCAAGACTGAAGTATGTGTGTTCAGCAAATAAAGACTAGAGTATATAGTTATGTCACCAGCAAATAAGGACTGGAATATATAGTTGTGTCTTCAGCAAATAAAGCCACTTTAGAGGTAAGTTTGTTAGAAAGATTATTATTTAAGATATTTTTTGTTTGTTTTCACCTTTTTGCATATTTTCATGTATTAACCACATGAGGAGCCCATTTTGCCAATTTTTGTAATAAAATACTTAAATTTTGTTTTGAGGCATACAGAACTTATAGTAAAAGAACATATTGTAGGCTATCAGATTAAGTTTTGAAATATAATAAATCTTTTTTAAAATAACAAGTAGGATTGAAAAGGCAGCAAGTCTGTACAGCGTAAACCAAAAGAGGATCACTTTACTACTAAGTTACTAAATTTAATAAATCAAAAATGCTGAACTCACAAAAACCTCAAAGAAACAACTGATAAAATTTACTCAAAGGTTTTTGAAAATTTGATATTTTTCTAAACCAAACAAAAATCATCATAACAAAAAATCACTCCTCGCTAATATATGTAAAAAAAAAAAACACTTTTAACACCCACTCAACACAACAACTGCTCATTAAGGTTGTTAATATAATTTTATGGTAACCATGGTAACTTGTTTTAGTTATTATGAAAAACTGTTTAGTAAATGAACAACTTTTAAATGAATCATTAGTAATAAAAATCAACAAGCTTTTCTGTACACAAAACCAACATTGCTGTAAAATCAAAATTTTGCTTTAAGTAAAAAAAAACACTTTTAAATCAAAATTTTGTTTATATTTTTAAATTTTATATGATTATTTCCTAAAATTTTTCGATTAATGTTGAATCAAAATCTACTTACAAACTTCAACTTTGAAAATGTTTTAACCTGCAGATTTCTAATGTAAAATTGATAATTAAAATTTTTAAGATTTAAATCTATAATTTTCGAGAGTTAAATCTAAGGTTTTAGATTTAAAAAATCAAACTGATAACTATTGCAATAAGGTCGACATTCCGATAGTAATAAATGGCAACCCTCTTACTGAGTCCTCTTCTTTACATCTTCTTGGATTATTGTTTACTACTGACTTTCCATGGAAATCATATATACAATTGATTGCTGAATTACCATCTGCTAAGGTTGCTTCTCTTTATCGTGCTTGCAATTTTTTCTCTCCTGATTTCATTCTCTACCTATACAAATCTCTTATTCATCCCAGTATGGAATACTGTTGTCATTTTGGGCTGGTTCTTCTAATGATGCTCTTTCTCTTTTTGACAAGGTCCAAAAACATATTGTAAACATAGTTGGACCTGCTCTGTCTGCTAGACATGACTGCTAGACTCTGTCTGCTAGACTTGAGCCTCTTTTCTATTGTCTAAATTTGCTTTTTCTCTTTTCTACAAATACTATCATGGTCAATTCTCAAAGGAGTTATCACCTCTAGTTCCATCAACTAAAACTCATTCTTTTTTGACTTGTCATTCAGCAAAGTCTAATTCATTTGCTGTAACTATCCCTACATGCTCTAAAAACTTTTATTTGTCTAACTTTTTTCCCCGCACTTCAAGCCTTTAGAACTTTCTCGAATCTTCATGGTTTCCTGACTCATACAACATACAACTTTTCTTGTCTTCTGTCAACTGCTTCCTTGCTCTATAACTCTATTCTTAATAAATGTTGCTTGCAGCATTGTTGGAAGTGAATTAAAAAAAAAAGAAAAAAGATAAATAAATAAAACTTTAAATTAAATGTAAAACAATAACAAAACAATACAATAAAGTAGTTAATGATTATAGATATAAATTAATTTGTTTACCCTTAAATATATATTTTTCTTATAAATTAATTTGTTTCCCCTTGCTTATATCCGATTCCACCCTTATAACTTCTACATCTCGAATTATCAAAATCTGAGAAGATGTAAAGTAGAACACTTGGACAGTATGTTCCCATTCACATATACAAAAATTATAGTATTAAAAGGCCAAAAAATTTAAGTTTAATTCACCAGCAAACCCCAAACAGCCATAAAGAAGTAATTTTAAAACTATTTTATGCTTCTTTTTATTCTGCAGTTTTGAGAAAACTTTTTAAATTTACTTTTTATTGTAATTTAATTAACATAAAATAAAAAATTGTACCTCAAAAACCCGTGGTCTTTTACGGCCCTTTATTTGCATTAGCCTTTTGATTTTTTTGGTCTCAACGTGTTTGAAACCAGATCGAACTCCTCCTTCTTCATACCTTAATAAAATTCAAAAAACTCAAATTTGCGATGAATTATTTTTATAATGATTAAAAAAAAAAAAAAAAACTTAAAATTTTTTTTTTTAAATAAAATAAAAAAAATTTCAAATAAAGCCAACTAGCCAGAGCACTGGGTTCAGTTTTAACAATTTTTTAAAATAAATTATTAGGAATAAACTAGAACCCAGAACTAACATAACTAGTAAGCAAATGTTGATAAAACATCTCATTAAAAATAAGAACTAATACAACAATATAAAAATAAATTTACTTACTTAATGCCTAATGGAAAATAAGAAAGAAACTTTCTACTTTCATGTTGTTGAATCTATTATATGAAAAAATGAGAAAAAAATAAAATAATAATAATAATAAAAAAATAAAATGTATACAAGATATCAATTCTATATGACAAAAAACCTCTCTATATTGAGTTGGACTCCCTCCGAGCAAATCATCTAGCTCAACTGATTTTAGTGCTGCTGTACCAGCTTCATCCTGAAAAACATAGAAGCATAGCAACATAGCAACAAAAAAAAAGAAGCATAGCAACATAGCAACAATTAAAAAATATCGTTTTATATCTTATATTAATAAAATGTGCTTATATTAATAAAATTAACAACTAATTAAATATAAGTGATAAGTGGGAAACTATTGAAAATAAAAATATTAATTTGTCTGCATCCAAGAAAAGAAATTGAAAAAAAATGTGGCTTTTAAAAATTTACAAATGGGCTTATATTCTCAAATATTATATTTAAAAATATAAGTCCATTTGTTAATTTTTTAATGTCAAAAACTTATAAAAATGATGAAGAACAAATAACTATTGCATTTAGGATTTTATCTGGAAAGATACTTTTTATTGAAAAAGAGTATTTTCATGAAATTAGTAAATATGTCCAATTAATAGATACAGACAGGGCCGGGTTAAGTACTTCATGGCCTTCCGGCACTTTAGGCTTCCTGGCCTCTGTTGGCCTCCTAGTATTCAAATTTAACAGTGGTTTAAAATAAAAAAATCTTTGTAATTGTTGCGCTATGGCTTTATGATGTATTTTCTTTTGTATTTAAACAAGATTCTCACGTTATTTATCATTAAAAGCACGTTGCAACTAGTATAGGTTTTAAAATACCTTTCGTCTGTATTTTATGCTTGCAAATGCTGATTTTAGTTAGATTGGAATCCAATACCCGGTTTTCTATTTGAACGAAAGAAAAATCTAAAAGACGTTCATGAAAAAAGCTCCAAAAGGAAGACATTTGTTCAACAAGTGATAGTTTAGATCAGTAGGATATCGGTCAACAAGTTGTTGTGCACTGCAAGTAATCTCCAAGATATCCATGCTGCGAAGATTCGCAAGAAAACGAAACAGAGAGTTCTATTCAGAACAGACTTTCTTTTTTTCATCTATATCATTCATTAGTTTGTCTGTGATCTCATTATCGTCGGCAATCATTTAAAATTGCGCAGAAAACACTATAGTTTCCCCACTGTTAATTTCATCATCGTAATGCCTTTTGTGTACCCTTAGGAGCATTTGAACATAGACCTATTCATCCGTGTTGACCAAAGACACGGCTAGCTTTTTAATTGCTCAAAATTAGAGCAAGCTTGCTTTACCTTTTCATTTGCCTAATAAGCATCAGCACGAGCTGACCAACGAGTTTGTGAGAGAGTCTAGGAAACCTTAAAACATTCCACAAAGAATTTTGACTTTAAGACATCGATGCGTTGATGCAGAAAAAAAGTTATACATTTTTTGAAGAAAGCTAAAAAAATTAACAGCAGCTCCATTGGATTCCGCAGCATTTACTCCTACAAGGTTCAAATAGTGAGAACACACGGAATTTATTGATCTCTTTGATTCTTGCTTGTAAACCAAAGTAGATACCAGACATATTACTAACAATTTTCTTCTTTGTTTCCATGAGTTATCAAATGTTGGGCAAAGAAAGGATCAAATTTTACTAATAGCTCAATACATCCAATAAAGTTTCTGTTGCGTATTGATCCTAGTTTTTTGTCTGATCCGCAGAATGATAATCCTATAAGAATGAGCAATGAATAAAGTCTCGAAGTATTTTAAATTTTTTTTTTCAACATTATGTTCGAACTCAAAAGTTCCCAGTCGTTAAAAAAATAAAACGTCCAGTTTGCAATGCGTCGTATGCGCTGTTATGCAAAAATTAAAAATCTCTGGGACATGAGAGGAAGTCAAGGATAAAGGCTGATAATAGTTTTTATTTTAAATTTATCTCTCTCAAATATTCACTTAAATGCTCTGGCCCCTTGAACTCTGTGCCCTCCAGTCACATGTCCAGTGTGTCCAGTGGTTAAACCGGCACTGGATACAGTCAATAAACATATTATTTACCCTATATAATATAAGGTACGTTAAAATTGCAAGATGGTGATTGCTTGGTGTCATGCTCTAATGTTATATGCCTAACTTCTACACCACACCAGCAATAACAACAATATCAACAATATAAGTGCAAAAACTGGATTTAGAAAACATCAACAGTTAAGAAAAATAAGTTCAAAAGTGTTGTTTTTTTGTATACCTAAAAATTCCTTATATGTAAAAAATTTAAATATTTAACAAAAACAAATTAATCTAACTTAAACATCCTAACAATTGTTTTGGTTGAAATTCACATTTGATTTTTTATTGAAATATTCAAAACATTTATTCACTGGCATAAACATGACTTTATCAATAATTCTTCTTAAATACTTGGGATCCCATAAAGTATTTGATAATTAATTGAGAAAATACGCTGAACAAACATTAAATAACAATATTTATAAATAAAAGTAAAAATAAGCAAAATTATAAAAGGCTATAATAATTTAAAAAATGCATAACATAAATTATATTTAATTAATAATTAAAAAAATTAGAGTATAACAACAATAAAAAAAGTATTTACAAATAAATAAAGTTATAACAAAAAACATTACTTGTGAAGTTTTCTTTCCGAGCCAAAAATGAATATGGCAGCTGTATGGAGGTGATTTTCCTTCACACTAAAAATATGAATTTAATCAATTAACCTTGGTCCCTTAAAAAAAAAGTCTGAAAATGCAAAGAGAAATTTTTGTTAATTTGATAGTTGTTTTGTCTTCTTGCTATAAACAAAACTTTTTTTTTTAGTGTTAGATATTATCATTACACTTTTGCTTCTACAAAAAAAAAAATTTCTTTTTCATTTACAGTATGATAATAATATTAATTCTTTAAATATCATATAAATTAAAAGATATTTTTAATATATAGAAAAAATAAAAAAAATGTTTTTACCTTTAAAACAACATATGAGTCACCATTGTAGAAAACGGGTACTTCAGTTATCTCAACTTTTTTTAAGCCAAAATCCTGTGCAAAAAATATTTATCAAAAATTTTAGCAATTTAAAAAATATCTTACATTCTTTCAAACTAGTTTATTTATATAGTTATATACTATCTTACATTCCTTCAAACTAGTTTATTTATATAGTTATATAATAAATAAAACTAATTGTATAACAATACCTCAACTCTCCAAATAGTAAGTCCAGGTGTTTTTCCTGCATCAGTAAATACAACATCTCCTTTACGAGATTGGCGAGTATTATGTCTAAAACAGCATTAGGTAAATACAATAATAATGAAGTACTAATAACAATTAAAAATAAAGTAAAAATGTAAATACTTTGTTTTTAACAATAACAATTCAGAATGAAAAGTCCCAATAAAGACTCCAAGGTTTAGGATCAAAAAACATTCCGCTGTAAACACTGATGCCTATATTAACCCTGCTAGATTCATATATTGTTTACTATTACCTCTGTTGCCTCAGATTTAAAAAAATTAGTAATCAAAGTACCTGGTTACAATAAAATAAAAAGTCAATTACTAAAGTGTACTTTATTTATATAGAATTTAAAAGTTCTTTGACTTATTTGGAAAATTTCAAATAAAAATAATGAATATTTAAATATAAATTCTGGATTCTAATCAGAGCTTTAAGAATAAGCTAACATTTACTGAAAAATATAAAAATGAATATTTAAAATAATTCATATATATATATATATATATATATATATATATATATATATATATATATATATATATATATATATATATATATATATATATATATATATATATATATATATATGTATATATATATATATATATATATATATATATATATATATATATATATATATATATATATATATATATATATATATATATATATATATAGGTATACCATAATTTTAAAGTTGTAAACCAGGACAGGCAGATAGAGGTTGAAAAGAGGGGGAGGGGGGTTAAAAAGAGGTTTCAGAGTGTGCTGGAAGGGGGAGGGGTGATGCAAAATGCTGAAATAAAAGACCAGAGAGTGAGGAGGGAGAGAGAGAAATAGTGTTTTTTTATGCTTCAAAAAACATGGCACCCTGTAACTAGGTTCCATGAAAATCTTTATATAAATAAGGGATTTTCTTTATATAAAATGGGATTTAGAGCAAAGAAACAACACCAAAATATTTTTTTGTTCTTTAATTCCTCAAGATTAGATTCATTTATTCATTCTTTCCTCAAGATTAGATTTTAACTTTTTAGTTCCAAAACAATGTTTGTTGCAATTGCTAAAGTTTTGTTAAAATTATTTAGCTGTCCATGCACAAACCAGAAATATAATTCACCAGTTTCACTTTAAAAAAATGCTTGCAAAGCACGTGGGCAGTTTTCTTGAGAAACAAAATACGATTTCAGTGCCTCAAACTTATACAAAACTTTCAACTGCCAACAACAGAAAAAAAAATCTAGTACTTTCATGCTGGATTATTTTACTATATTCCACATCTACAAAATCACAAATTTCCTTTAACTCAGTTACTCAAACTGTTTAAATATGAAAATACTTATATATTTTTACAACAAGAGCTTCTATTTCAATTGGAAGACTATCCACAGCAGATTGAAGTGTATTGTGCATAATATTTGCACCACAACCAATGCTAACAATATTAGCACCACGTTCTTGTTTGAGCCTGTTGTAAACGTTATTTTTACATTTTCTATGTACTCAAAATTTATGTTGCAATTGTCAGAGCAAAAAGCAGCAATTTAATATTTTTATCAATCTTATGATGCTGCAATGTTGCACATTATGCTGCAATGTTGCACATTAGCTGCAATGTTGCACATTAGCTTATCAGTCAATATTTTAGATGTTTCACCATCAACAGATTCAAAATCCAGCAGTTTTAATTTGACAGTGGTAAAAAGTATCTAATAACAACAGGTGGTAGTTTTCTTTTCTATTTGATGTGTCATTAGAAACACTTATTATTACTTTAAATTCTTGATAAAATAAAGACTTCAAAAGTAATTGTTATTAATTGTATTATTATAAAAATATTATGACTTTTTGTACTTATTATTTTATTCAAAATTCAAAATCCTGAACTTTGTTTGGAACAAAATGAAACTTTTTTTCATTTTTACCTAAAAACGGGTCAAAACAAAAACTGTTTGGACACTGGGACAAATAGCATAAAACCAGGACAACCCCGGTCAAAATAGGATATATGGTAAGCCTATATATACATATATATATATATATATATATATATATATATATATATATATATATATATATATATATATATATATATATATATATATATATATATATATATATATATATAACTAGACATAGAATATCAGCTTTTTTGAAAAAGGCACAACCAAACACCCAGCTTTTGTAATTCTAGGCAGGTAACAATGCAATATGGGTTTACACCTGATAGATAAAGAAGGGGTGTGACGCTTGTCAGCAGAACTTTTCTAGTAACCCCTATGTCTTTGCCAAGGAGACTTTATGCAGTTAACGCCTGCCCAAGATGAGTATTTTTATTGAGACAATCTCAACATCCATGCCTTGGACCATGAGCCTCCAAGACAGGAATGTTTTAAGTTACCTTCTCCTAGCCTAAAAAAGTGAATCCTATGAGGCATCCTAGAGCAGGTTGTATTGGGTTAGAGGGTAACAGTTGTAGGGTGATTATGATCATCTTTAATGTATGTATATATACAATAACATTTTATTCAATAAAAACAACAAGATTCATTATTATTGTTATTATTACTTTTATTATTATTATTAGTATTTTTACTATTATTATTATTATTATTATTATTATTATTATTACACTAATAACAAAAAAAAATATTTATGGAATAATAATAATTATAACTGATCAATAAATTTAAAAATTTTTTCTGCATTTATTATTTTAAAGTACACTTTCTTATTTTAGTTTGAATAGATGCTAATAAATCATTTATTTTATATAAATATTTAATCATATTCAGTGTGAGTGTTAACTTTGATAGAGAATAAGTTGAAATGAAATTTGTACACCTTCAATTAGTAACAGTTTTATTAGTGAGAAAAATATATTGCAAAATCAATAACCCATTTGTGATATATAATTTTTGTATTTTATTGTTTTAATATAATGAAATTATAAAAGATATTTAATCAAAAACAATATGTAAAAGCAATTTTTTAAAATAAAAATAATACTTTGAATGTGTTAGTGTGAGATAATGTATAAACAAAAAATAAGAAATATTTTTCAGATGTTTTTTTATGAAATACTTCAAATTGAACAAAAACAAATTTTTAGTATTCAATAAAAAAGTTTTTTTACAGAGTGTTTAAGGTAAGATTCTCAATCTTACCTTAAACACACTGCTTACAGCACAAATGTAAAAAACAATATATATATATATATATATATATATATATATATATATATATATATATATATATATATATATATATATATATATGTATATATATATATATATGTTTTATACATTTTATAACTGTTTTATACATTTTTACATGAGTGGATATTAACTTAAAAAATATCAACAACAAAATTACAAAATTAAAAATCAATAATATTAAACTTATTATCATGCATAACTATTACTATGACTTTTCAAACAATTAATTTATCAAATGTTTTTTTTTCAAATAAATTAACTCACCCAGCAACTTGCATAATGAAGAATTTAACAATATAAAAATTTTAATGTCACAGAATTACATCATAAAGCTAGAACTAAAAATCATGATTTTGATTTTTAGCTCACTTCTTTCAAACTCAAACATAAAACTGTTTGAAAGCAATTGCAAGACTAAATAATTCATTCTGTAATAAATAATATTCATTTGATTAAATCAGATTAAATATGGATGAAATCTATTCAAATTTTGAATGCTTTCAATAGCTTTTGTGTTTGTTTAAATTTAAAAGAAAATTTTTTTTATAGTTTACAATGCTTTAATCTTTTGGAATCTTTTAATGACAAATATTACATAGTTTAATTGATAAATATTTTCATCAGATGCTTTTTAGAGATAAAGATATCAGAGAGGAATATTAGGACACTAAAACTTTTAACATATATATTTATTTCAAGAAAATTAACTTTCAACCCCAAAAAGACATTTAAATAAATAACCTATATTATTATCTTTTAAAAATGTGAAAAATTTTCCCATATCATTATGATAGTTTTTAGAGCTATTAGATCCAAATGAAAGCTCTTGAAATTCATTGAACTTCCTTTTTTCACAAACATCTTTAAGTTTACAAGTCATTTTTTTCCAACTTAGTTTGCGCAAACGTTCAAAGTACTCTTCAATATCATATGCTGCACCTTCTACGTAAACAACGCCAGGTTTTCCTGGCAGCAAAAATCCTGTTAACAACAGCTCTTCAGCCCAATAGCAAATGTTTTTACGTTTTTCTTTATTATAAATATGATGCATGTATAAACACATGAACTGTTCACTTTTACTTTCAGAAATTTTTGCTTTCAGGCATTGTGGACTTGAAAGATCCACATAATATTTGTGAGCATTATTCTGCAACCAAAGTACTATTTCAAGGATCATCATTGAGCCAAGATCAAGACTTACAATAAAATTATTCATGCTCAGACTGAGTGCAGTCTGTTTGTTTCGTGGCAAATCATTCGAAATAAGAAATACTTCTGGATATTGTTCTTTAGGGTATAAACTTGGAAATGTAACATTTAATTTTAAAAAATATGTTTTATCTTTACTTTTCTCTATTTCATTGTTTTCAATTTTAACAATAACATTAAAATTAATTTCAAAGCAAAGAAACTTTAGGTTAACACCAATTTGATTATCTAAAGTTGGCGGACCATCAAGTAAAAACTGCTTAGCATTTAAATAAAGAGTTTTATTGTGCCAGTATAGTTCATTTTCAGCTGGAAACATTGATTCCAAAATTTCTATTTCTTGAATTTGAGCACTAATGTTTTCATACAATGCCATTATGAAACAACAACCTTTTCAGCAAACAAAAAACTTTTAATTTTCATAAAACATTTGATAAATTTAAATCTAAAAAGTTTAATTAATTAATATCATAAAATGGATATTTATTATAGTAACAAATAATGGTAAATAAGAATTTTGTAAAATTTTTCACAATATAAAATGTCATTTTCAATTATTTTGTTTGGAAACTTATTTAATTTGTATTAATTAAAAAAAAAACATTATATTATATTTGTATCATTTAAAAAAAAAAAACTAAATAATTTCAAGCCAAGAATACTTTAATTGAATAAAAAAAATTAAAATAAAATAAAAATTCAAGCCAAGAATACTTTAACTGAATAAAAAAGTAATTGAATAGCAAATAACAATTTTTACAAAAATGCAATTACACAATTCCTACAAAAACAAAAAAAAATTTAAACGAAAGTTTGTGTAAATGAAATTTCCAATTAATAAACATCAAGCTAAGTTAAATATTACTTATTGGTTTTTATTAAGTTAAATATAAAGCAATTTAATTGGTAATTCTTATTCATGTTTAATATAATTGCATCGATATAATAATTTATAAACAATATTATGCAAAAACTATTTATAGAATAACATTATATTCATACTGTCATATTTTATGGCAAGGCTTATTCATAAAATTATTATATAATTTATAGAACAGTATAATATAAAAATTCTACTAGTAAAATTTTTTAGTTTTATTATTTTGTTCACTTTTATATATTCTTTTTTTATCTTTAAGATAAAACATACTCTAAACAAACTTGCAGTATCTTATTATTATTTTCAAAATGGTAATATATTTTTTTTTAATTTAAATACAGCCCTTTTATAATACTTTTTTTAAAGGAAAAACAATAATATTTTCATTAAAAAATATTAATTTATAAAAGGGCTGTACTCAGATTTAAAAAATATATATTACCATTTTGAAAATAATAATAAGATACTGCGTGTATGTTTAGATTCATTTTGAAAATGAGACAAGCTAGAGGGCTAGGGGCTTTATGTTTTCACCAAATATCACACTTTTATTTAATACCCTACTTATAAGAACACTTAAATCACTTACAAAAAGTGCTACGTTATTTTTGTAACAAAATGAGTAAATAATTCCCTCCCAAAACTATCATTAAAAATATCATATTTGTTTAATAAGCTGATAATATCAGCTATATATATCAGTGATATATATAATCAATGTTAAAAAAAATATTTTAAGAACATCGATTCAATGGTACACAATTTAATGATAAAAATCATTTGTATCATCAAATCGTTTTGTCAAATAATGCAATTCTACAATTCAAAGCTCTAATAAAATAGCGTTAGAGTTATTTTTCAAAAATTTATTTTCTTGTTTAAAAATTTTTTAATAAATTAAATCATTTCAACATAGCAAAACAAAGTAAGAACTAATATGTATGCTATTGGCACAATTATTATTTTTTATTTTAATTAAAAAGCTATCTACACCCTCCACCCTTTTTAAAAACAAAAAAAAAATTAAATAAAATCAAGTCGGATTACTTGTACTTTAAGGGTTGAGCTTTTACGGTAAAAACGGTAAAAAGGTACACAATACCTTTTAGGTATAAACGGTAAAAAGGTATACATTCGTAAATGCACAATAAGCATCGAAATCATTATAATAAATAACTTTAACCGTAACTTACCCATTAAAAGCTTTTTGTTTTTACTGTTTCTAATATTATCTTAAATTGAAAGTTTAACTTTAATTAGTGTAATATAGTGTAAGTTACAGGCCAATGATGCTTATCGTGCATTTATGTTAAATAAATGTTACTATTCGTTAAACGAACAGTATTACTCGTTAAACGAATTGTACTATTCGTTAAGCAAATAGTACTACTTGTTTAACGAATAGTACTATTCCTTAGAATTCGCTAAACAAATATTACCATTCGTTTAATCGGTAAATGCTTATCGTGCATTAACCGTTTTTACCGTAAAATCTCAACCCTAGTCACGGCGTGACAAATCGATGTCACGTAGTGACGCGCGTATTTTTAGCTATATCTGTAAAAATATTTTAAAAAATTATGAAAAGTTTAGTTTTTATATTACAGTTAGGCTTTTTCAATATTATAATAAAGTTTATTTTTTGTTTTAAAAATCTAAATATCGCAAACTTTTGTTTCCTCGATTAAAAACGCATTAACGCGTGTCATGGAATTGCTGTCATATTATTGTACTATTCATTTAACAAATACTAGTTTTACTTTTTCGTAAAAAAAAGGAGCAAATAGTACTATTCATTAATACTTTAGCTATTCGTTAGCTATTTGCTATTCGTGAACAGACGTGCTTTTGTAGCGTAGATTAAGCATTTATATATATTTAAAAAAAAATGGACATCACAATGAAAAACATTGAAAAAATAATTTCAAGTAAACTTGAGGAGCACAAAAAAAGTATCCTAAAAGAAACGGAAAGATTATTAAAAGACCAGGAAAAATTATTTACCTCAATTATCAGTGCAAATCTCAAAATTATTACAGATAGATTGGACATGCTAGAGAAAGACATTAATAACAACAAATGTAAAATATCAAATATAGAAAAAGACTTATGCGACATTAAAGACAGCCTAAATTTTCAAGAAAATGATATCTCGGAAAAAATATCACAAATAAAGAAATACTATGACAAAGAAATCAATTCATTATATAAAAAATCTATAGATCTAGAAAAAAGATCAAGAAGGAACAACTTGAGAATTGATGGACAACAAGAAACACCAGGCGAAAGTTGGGAAGATTGCAAAAAAGCTGTTAAAGACATTTTCATAACACTATTGAAAATACCTAGTGAAGTGGTGGTCGAACGAGCTCATCGAATCGGACAATTTAAAGAAAACAAACCAAGAACATTAGTCTTAAAACTCTTGAACTACCAAGACAAAAACAAAACTCTCAAAGCAGTAAAACAACTTAAAGGAACTGGACTATACATAAATGAAGACTTCGCTCAAGAAACAATATATCATCGAATAAAGTTATGGGAAGAAGTCAAAAAACTAAAAAGCGAAGGCAAATACGCCATTTTAAAATATGATAAAATATTTACACGAGATTTTAAAAAATAGCGCTACACTTTTTTTCAACTAAGTAAACGCGTTTTCAATTTTAAATTTTAAAACTGATCAACAAAACAATAGCTTTGAATCAATGCGCTTTAATGTTTTCGAAACTGCTAATAATATACTTAAAAAGGCTGATACGCATATTTTTCAAATGAATAATTTTGATTCTCAATATGTTAAAACTGAAACTTTTAAAACTGAACTTGAAACTATCAAAAATAATTTTACAGTAATTCACATAAATATAAGAAGCATAGATAAAAATTTTGACAAACTTAAGCACTTCCTAATTGATTGTAATTACTTATTCAGTATGATTTTTTCTAACAGAAACTTGGTGTTCTGACGAATCAATCCAAAATAACACTAACTTTCAAAATCCCAATTATAAATTAATATCTTCTGAAAGAAAAACATCCAAAAAAGGAGGAGGGATCGCAACTTATGTTCGGAATGATCAAGCAACAAAAGTAAGAAAAGACCACTCCATTTCTAATCCCGATAGTGAAGTCTTTACAATAGAAATCATAAACTCCAAGTTTAAAAATATTATTGTTTCTACCTGTTATAGACAACCTGAAGGTAATATTGAAACTTTTTCTAATTATCTAGAAAAAATTTTTCTCAAAATCAATAAAGAACAAAAAAAGTTATTCTGTATTGGGGACCTCAACATAGATTGTTTAAAATACAATGAGTTTCTGATTACTAAATTATTTTTTGATAACCTTTTTCAACATTGTATTTTTCCAATTATTAATAAACCCACACAGGTAATCTTAAATTCTATTTCTGCCATAGATAACATACTAACAAACTCATTTCTAGATACCTCCTTAAAAGCAGGAATAGTAAAAATTGATATAACAGATCATTTTCCAATTTACTTTACAATAAAAAAATGATAAAAGAGTAAATAATAATTTGAAAAAAATAACTTAAAAAAGAAAAATAAATAAATTTTCAATTCAAAATTTTAAAGACACACTATCGGCATATTGGGTTAAAGTGTATCAAGAATGTAACTTTGGGAACACAAACTCAGCATATTAAGGTGAGCTTCCATTTTTTCTACGGGAATGGGATAGGAAAGGGAAAAATAATCACGTAAGCATGCGTAGTTTTACTTCGGACAAATTAAAACTTATAATACGCATGCCCACGTAATTACTTTTCTTTTCCCTTTCCCGTTCCCGTGAAAAAACGGATGAGTGGAAGTTCACCTTAATACTTTTACAGATATATTTCTAAAGCACTATAATAATCATTTTCCAATTAAAGGAAAAGAAATCAAAGTAAAATGTTTGAGCTGCCATGGATCACCAGCGGTATTAAAAAATCTTTAAAAACAAAACAAAAACTATACGTTAAATATTTGAAAAACAGAAATGAGATTAACCTATCTACTTATAAACAAAACAAAAATCTTTTCGAAAAAATCAAAAAACATTCTAAAAAAATTTACTACTCTAAATTACTTAAAAAAACAAATAGAGACATGAAAAAAACATGAAACATTATGAAAGAAATAATCGGGAAAAAAAACAAAAAAACAAATAGTTTACCAGATAGAATCGTTATAAATGAAACTGAACACGATGATAAGAACTCAATTGCCGAACACTTCAACAATTTCTTTGCAAACATAGGCCCAAACATGGCGTCTAAAATTTTAACTACAAATGACTCCTTTGAAAATTACCTTACAGATCTAAATAGCGAACTAATTTTCAATAGATTAAGCTATGAAGAACTTGAAAATGCAAAAAACTCTTTAAAAATTAACAAAGCACCAAGAATTGATGAAATTTGTAGCAGTGTAGTAATAAATATCTTTCCGATAATAAAAAAACCCCTATTCAAAATATTTAAATCTTCAATTATAACAGGAACCGTTCCAGAAAAATTAAAAATTGCAAAAATTGTACCTATATATAAAACTGGAGAA